GATCGACCCAACTGGATCGTCCTGCTCTGATAGCATGTCGTGATAGTAAGCATGATGAGGAGCCATAGCTAGGGTTGACCTAGCTAGGCAAGAGAGAATGAAGCAAAGGAGAGGGTTTGCACTAGCAACAATGGTGGTACAAATAGCTAACCCTAGAAGGGTTGTACTCGCTATAGAGCACCCCACTGCAGGCTAGAGCATAATATTCTGACAGTTGAGTACATATAGGAAACCCTAATTTGGGCTGTACTCGCTATAGAGTACCCCACTACAGGCTAGACAAATACAACATTCTGACACACCCCCATAGCCAAAGTGGGGTATAATCAGCACAATAAGCAGGCAGGACAATAGTTCACAATGATAAGCAAAGCTAGAGGCTATCACAGAGGGCAAGTGAGGAGGAGGAGAAACTGTAGGGGCGAGAAGATGGGAGGCGACGGCTGAAGCTGCAGACACACGGGCAACAGGAGCGCGCACACTGTGGCTACCAGGCGCAGAGCCCGGGACTAAAGGAGCTGCGGACGACAAGACGGCTGCCTCCACTCAACCTCCCCCAGCTGTCTCACACACTTTTCACACACTCCCTACTGTACCCCTAGCAATGCTCACACGCCACCCCCCTAGTACCACTCCGACGGCTCCCACACATCCACCCCCCTCAGCGGCAGCTGCAGCAGTGGGAGACGGAGGAGGAGGAGGAGCAAGGGAGGCCTCACACACCCGTCACCCCCATACTCGCCACCCCACTGCGGAACGCGCAGCAGGGAGGCGAAGGAGAAGGTGGGGGGGGAGAGGGTGGGGGGGGGGGGGGGGGGGGGGGGACCAGTAGGAGGCTGCGCGCGGGTCCCTGGGGGCGGCCGCGGAGGTCCCCAGGGGTGGAGCGCGGGTCCACGGAGGGGGCGCGCAGGTCGACGGGGGGCCGCGCGCGGGTCGACGGGGCCGCCGCGAAGGGCGACGGGGAGCCGCCCGCGTGTCCCCGGGGTGACGCGACGGTGGGAAACCGCCGCGCGCCTCGGGGCGCACGGCGGGCAGAAAACCGCCGCGCGCTCCGAGCGCGGAGCGGCCAGAAAACTGTCATGCGCCCCGAGCGCATGGCGAGAAGAAAAAACGTCGCGCGCCACGGGGCGCGCGACAGACAGGACAGCAGCGGAAGCTAACGGTGGGCCCACAGGCCAGGAGCGTAACCGCTCTGATAGCATGTCAGAAAAGCAGGTAGAAACGATAGAACAGAAAAGAGGGGTTGCACTAGGAGGCAGTTGAGTACATATAGGAAACCCTAATTTGGGTTGTACTCGCTATAGAGTACCCCACTGCAGGCTAGACAAATACAACATTCTGACAAGCTGGAGCTGTGTCGTGGAGGTCTACACGGTCGTCGTCTGTGGCTTCGTCCAGTGCAGAGGTAGAGATCTATGCCGGTGCTATGGCTGCGCAGGAGCTTCGCTGGTTGACCTTCTTGCTCACTGACCTTGGTGAGCGGCCTCGCTCTGCACCGACCTTGTTCGCCGACAACAAGGCCATGATTCCCTTGTGTCGCGAGTCTCGACTGGAGAGCAGGGTGAAGCACATTGACGTCAGGTACTTACTCATGTGAGAGCTGGAGTGTCGCGGCCAGGTGCACCTGGACTTTCTGGCCTCCGAGACCAACACTGCAGACCTATTCACCAAAGCCTTGGCGCCTGGTGACCACTGCCGGTTCTGTGTGCAGTTAGAGCTTGTTGATTCTGTTGCTCGATTGTAGTAGCCTTGCTCTGGTTACTTGCACCTATATATATGCGTGTGAACTCTTGGATTGGCCTTGTGGCCATTTGCTTGTCCTCAGACAATGTGGTGTCCTTGAGATCCACCCTGAGCTTTGTTATATTGGTTGCTTTGATGGATCTTGTGACCGTTTGTTGTCTTGCTTGCTTTGATGCCCCTCACTTAGCCTATGAGGGTGAGTCAAATATTATGATTTGTTATAGGCTGCAATGAGGTGCTCCTTAGCGAGCATAACTCAGTAAGAGTTTCATATTTGTACTGCCTTGCCCTCCTAGTTATACTATTCCGTTGCGTTCTAACTTTAAGATTCTCCTACAACCCTTACCTTTACCTCCCCATGTCGCATTTTTTTCCAGTTAGGTGGGCACCACAAGTAGTAGTTGTATCGATGTACAAGTGTATATTAAGGGTGTAACATTGAGGTGTGCTATTAAGGGTACAAGTTTGCATATACCCTCATGTATGTTCTTAATCCAATTCATTCATACTCTCTTTCACATGGTATAAACATACCCACCAACCCGCCTAACATCTCCCCTCCCCCACAAAACCCCTAGCGTGCTCGTTAGGCCCGCCGTCGCACCTCACTAAGCGCCCCTAGTAGCCCCAAGTCGCAAGCCTCCCTAATGCCCCACCCCTCCAAATCGCCACATCACGCTCCGCCCCAACACTTATTATAACGGCCCTGTCGTGCCCCTCTGGTGGGCCCGTCGCACACCTCTGGTGGGCCCCATCGCTCCAACGCCTGCTGTTCAAATGCACATCCATGTATTTGTATGTGCATGTATAGGCTAGATAAAAGTGGACTATACAGTTTGAATATATGTTTATAAGTATTCATGCTAGTCTATCATTCTCCATTTTACACATGGTATCACAAGTTGGTTAGGTGTCACTTTCGCTTCGCATGCTCTAGCCTCCCTAGTCCCTCCCTCTCCCGGTTGCTCCTAGTGCGCCCCTAGCGTGCCCCTTAGAGCGCCCTAGCGTGCCCCCTAGTGCGCATTTAGATGGGAGTGGGATACGGGGAAAAGGGGGAGATGTGGAGAGGGATGCATTGACAGCAGCGATTGCATGGCAGTCATGGAGATGGTTGTGTTGGTGGAAGGGAGACTGGGGAGAAGACTGGGACATGGAGGGAGGGGCGAGTGTTGAATTTTGAGACATGTCAAAAGGAGGATTCTCTGACAGCAACGATGGCAAAAGTGGTGGCATGGCAGTGATGGAGATGATTGTGTTGGTGGAAGGGAGACTGGGGGACATGTAGGGAGGGGCGAATGAGAAATAGGGTTCATGAAATCTGCAGGTCAAGGTGAAATGAGAATGGTGGCAGTGGTGGGAGTGATGGTGGTAGCAGTTGGATGGGCATGGGGAATGGCATCATAGTAGGTGTATGTTGCTACTACAGCAGCACCAGATCTCATCTTGCAACTCCATCTATGAGAGCCCATCGCAAAAGCCATATCGATTCTCCTTTGCTGACCATTGCAAATGTGTTGGATTAGTTAGCACTGTCAAACACATCAACTTGTAGCGTCATGAATGGTTTGATTCTCCAACTGTACAGAATTTGTTAAACATATCTATGTATGTTATAAGTTTGGGTAGGCTGTAGTGGGGTAGGCTATGTGGTGTACAACCCCTTAGGGTTCTTCCTTGTACCAAAATCACTCGACATTCTAGTCATACCACCTCCTATTATTGTGACAGAATATGGTACAGCCTGTTTTTCGCTAGTAAAAACTGCGTAAGCAATAACTGTTCCTTGTGTGTATGCGGCAGATAAATCATAACCGTTTTTAAAAGGTTGCAGTTGAGAGGGGAAGTTTGCAGTATTCAAATCTCCTAAATATAGTAGCTAGCCACTCCAAAGAGTGTGTTTCTACTAGAATCGGGCAGTACTGTGCCTGACACGGTGTGTTTCCACTAACCGATAGTTGAGTATACCAGAATCTATTATAGCGCGAATCAGGCAGTACTGTGCTATGTCCCCGACAGAATTTTGCCGCACCGATTTGGTGGCCCATGTTGTGCAGGGCTGCCGTTACAAGGGAAAATACTCTTCATGCCCTGAACACAAAGGGTTGAGTTTCGCCAAGTTGCTGGATTGGAGCCCAAGTTTTGGGACTAACCATTTCCCTCCGAACTTCCTTCCCTCTCCTCCTCTTACTCCAGTCGTAAGAGCTGAGGAAGGGGGTCGCGGCACTACAGTATTTAGTGCTAGTGATGGGTGAGAGGGAGCCACATACAAGTTCGTACCTGTACAAGAAAGGTCTCTGTGCTTCACACTTCCAAATTTAGCCAGTCGCAAAGCATCAATTTCGGAAGTGACAGGGTTATTGAGTTTGGGCCCAGCCCAGACGCATAAAGTGCTAGGTTAGGCCTCAATCCGGGCAAAATCTGGGGCACCTCAGCCTTCCAAGTTCTGGCCCCAGACCAATCGACAAGCCGGCCTGAGAGCAGTTGGCCTGGCAGTACTGTCGGTCGCCGTGGGTATTCCCGGGGGGAACCAGGTGGTTACGACCTAAGTACGTAACCTAAACCTAACCCGAGGGGAGCCAGGTAGTTCATCCATCAGAAATCCTAACGGGGTCAGGTCAGGTGGTTTTATAACCCATCGTGTGGTTCTCGTTTTTTGTTTCAACTCATTGGTCCCGTTCGGCAGGACCTCCTGAAAGGGAGGGGGCGTGGGTGAGATGGGCGAGAGGATCATGAAACCTCAGAGGAAGGCGCTACACCTAGCCACCGCTATTTTCAACTTCTGACCTTGGCACTGTTCCCGATTTTCATGTAATCCCTGCCCAGCTTTTGGGGTTTTCTGTTAGAAACCTCGTTATAGGGGACTATGAATGACATCAAATGGAGATTTCAATCGGGCGAGTGTAAGACAATTTCGGCTCGTGTGGAGTCTGCTTGTTGTTGCGCATCCCATTGCGTAGCTTTCAGGAGTCAGGAACTAACTCTGCGTAGAGCGTATGACGTCCGACACAACCCTCGGTCAAAAACGTTTTGAAGGGTGCCTACCCCTTTGCACACGTGGGGGTTGAAGATAGACCGAAAGAAAATAGCGGTGGTTAGGTGTAGTTACGTTTGGGGGTCTTGGCCCAAATGAAAATTTCGTGACGGGAGGGGATTGTTGGGCGTGGCGTGGCGAACGGGGTCGTTGTGCCTTTTCAGATCTGTTTTACCACCGAAGCGCCTGTTTTCCAGCTCTCCTAGCACGGTCTTGATTCGATGCCATGGAGAGTCACGGTCGTGGCGCGGTTGACGGAAGGCGGCTGCTGCTGCTAGCCGCGTCTACCTCCTTGACGTTTCTCGTCGTCACCGCGTCGATCGCCAGGGATCAGCCAAGTACGGAAGCAGATCGGGTGCTGAGACGTCGCGGAATAAGGGTCCATTCGAATTTAACTATCCGGTCGAGCGCACTGCGAGTTGTTACCTTTAGTTTGCAAGAACTTTTAAGAATTTCCAAAAGTGACGCAACGCAAGCAAGCGGAGAGCTCTGCGAAAAGAATGACGATTGTTGGGAACGTAGCACCAGGATTGCCGGTGTGGTTTAGCAGGGAGTCGACCAGGCAGAGAGGACTGGAGCGCTGAATATTCAACAGATCTAGAATTGTCAGCACAAGCTCTGCCAATCAACAATGGCGGAGATACACTGCAGCCTCGTTTCTGACCCGTTACTGCACTTTTACTCGATCCCACCTGTATTGGTCTAAGCTTTTGCGGAATGTCGCTTCTGAAATGTTGAGCCGAGTCGGCTCTGCTTCCCGAATTCTAGAACACGGTCGCGGTCACTAGCGCGTTAGTCAAGAACACCCCTCTCTCTCTTCAGTCCTCCCTCTCCATTCACTCCTCCTCACCTCACCTCCACTCCCCCTCCTCCCCATAACTTCTCCCAAAATACCTCTACCACCGCGTCGCCCCTCGCCTCGCCCCCTCTCATTCCGAATGAGTCGTCACTGCAAAGATTGCAAACCCCTCGAGCTTTGTGTTCTTAAGCTCCCGGTTTCCCACGTTCCTCTCATTACTCTCAGTCACCTCATCCCACTCCCCTCCTCATCCCGCCCATTCCCCCAAAATCCCCGCTTCCCCCGGTCCCCCCATTCCCCCCCTTTTCCGCGATCTTTTCCCCCCTCCCCTGGTCGCACTAGGCGCCAGCAATCAGCAGGCGGGGCAGCGGAATCTGGTGGGCAGAGTGGAGCAGTTTGAAGGCGAGCTGGGTTACCACGTGTCCCCCCTTTTTCCGCGCACCCCTCCCCCCTCCCCTGGCTGCACCAGGCGCTGGCAGGCAGCTAGTGCAGCAGCGGAACCTGGTGGGCCGAGTGGAGGAATTCGAAGGCGAACTGGGTTACCACGTGAAAGACAAAACCAGGTCCGTTGCACGTGCCAAAATGATTAGTAACACGTGCCGCGTTTATTAGTTACACCCTGGGATTGCCCATCCACCCCCTGGGATTTCCCCTGAACACGGCCCTGCTGCCCAACATCATGATGGGCTATTATGACCGTTTGCATCACATGGCTATATCCCCCATCCCGTTTTCCACCCCCCCTGCCCTCCAGGTCCCATCCTGAGCGCATCAGATTGGCCAACTACCCCCTGGGATTTCCCCTGGACACGGCCTTACTGCCCAACATAATGATGGGCTATTATGACCGCTTGAAAGGACCAAACCCCAAAGCCTTCGACCCGTTCAGGCACCTGGCCAGGCACCCCAGCGCCTCAGGTGGTTCTTCAGGTGGTTCCTCAGGTGCAGGCGACGCAAGCTCTCTCGTGAAGCTGGCCTGCCACGGGCCGCCGTGCCCCTCGTTCGGACCCTGCTCAGGTGAATTTCCAAACATCCAGGCGTGCTGGAACGAACACCTGGTGGATGAAGAAGAGAAGGACATAACCCCCCCAGTCAACTGCCCCCTTAAGAGCAGTGCAGAGGGAGAGGGAGCAGCAGCGGCAAGGGGAGGGAAGGCGAGGGGAGTGTTGGATTATAACGAGACATGCTCGCATAAGCAGGATTTCTCCCCGCATGACGCATCGGCGCTGCAGCTGTTCCGGGTGGAAAGCGTGTTTGTGACGTTCGATGGGCTTGTGGTGAACCGCTCGCACGCGTTTGTCAAGAACGGGTGCCGCCGCTGGTGGCGCAAGGTGAGGGGCGTGGGGGAGGGAGGAGGAGAGTGTGGGAGGGGAGAGAGGGCAAGGGAGAGGAGGGGAGGGGAGTAGGGGAGGTGAGGGTGCTGATGCTCTTGGGGGCGCACGAAGCGTCCCCTATTCTTGGTCTCCACCCCCATGTTTCTTCCCGTCATCTCCTCTTTTGCCTCCCAACATTCTAGCAACCGCCTACACCACACGACGCAGCACCTGCCAAACCGCGTCTGTTCTCCCCTACTCGTTTCCCCCACTTTCCATCCCCCCAAAAGGCCAACTACGGGCCAGAGCACAGGGTGCAGCAGCTTCCCACCTGATACTCAGTTGTCCTACTCCGCTACTCTTTCTGCTACGTCCCCCCTCCTCCCTGAAGGCCAATTCCGGGCCAGAGCACAGGGTGCAGCACCTTCCAATCTGCTACTCAGTCGTCCTACTCCCTTACACGTTTCCCCTGCTTTTCCCCTCCCACCAAAAGGCCAACTACGGGCCAGAGCACAGGGTGCAGCACGTGGCAGGAGCGGCGTTCAACTGGGCGTCCGTGCAGCTTCTACCACTTCATGATCGAGCTCCTCCCTCTCTTTCCTCCCGCTCTTCCTCGTTGCCCTGCCGGCTCAAGCACCCCCATCCATCGTCCGTCCATCCCCTCTTTCCCATCTCCAAAAGGGCAAGCTACCGCCTACACCACACAGTGTACCACCTGCCAACCCGCTATTCTTTTCTCCTACTCTTTTCCCCCTCTCCCTTTTAAAGGCCAACTACGGCCCAGAGCACAGGGTGCAGCATGTGGCAGGAGCGGCGTTCAACTGGGCGTCCGTGCCTGCAGCCAACTTCTATCACTTCATGATCGAGCTCCTCCCGCTCTTCCTCGTCGCTCTGCCGCTCATGCCCTCGCCTCTCCGGGACGTTCCATGGCTCGTGCGCGAGGGCCAGGTGCGTTGCGTTGGGGATGTGGGGTAGAGGAGAGAAGGTCAGGCGTGTGGGGGAAGGGGGGTCAGATGTGTGAGGGAGGAGTCAGAAAGGCCCATACCTGTCCCGTGCATGTCCCATGCCTGTCCCATGCCTGTCCCATACCTGTCCCATGCCTGTCTCATGTCTGTCATGCCGCCCCCCACTCCCTCACCCCTTTGCTTTCCCTATCACTGCATGCCTGCTCTCATGCCTCACTAGTGCCTTTTGAGTCGACTCAAAAGTCACCTTTGCTTTCCCTATCACTGCATGCCTGCTCTCATGCCCCGCTAGTGCCAGTTTGTGCGCCTGCCCTTTCTGCCTTTCACACCTCCACTGGCTGAGATATACAACCAGCTGGGCCCACCCCAGCCCAGTCATCATCAGCAGCAACATTATTCCACTGCCTTCCCCACTCTCGTGCCCGACCCCGTGCCTGCCCCGCTCCCTCACACCTTGACTGCCCTCATGCGCCCACTGCCCTCTAATTGCCTGTCCCTTCTGTTCCCTCTGGCTGCTGTACGAGCAGCTGAGGGCACCCATCATCGGAATCGACTCAAGCGCCATCCGCCTGCTCCCCATGGTTGAAACCCCTTTACGTTCCCATCATTCCCTGCCTCTCTGCATGTCCGCCCTGTCTGCATGACCACTTGCCTTGCCCACCTCTCTCCAGTGGCCGCTGTACGAGCAGCTGGGGGCACCAATCATCGGCATCGAGCCAAGCGCCATCCGCTTGCTCCCCATGGTTGAGAACGACCTCTTCTATGCTGACGTGCTCTTCCAGGTGAGCTACCAGAAAACGACGTGTCTTGTGAGTTGGCTCAAAAGCAGCCTGCCTGGCGCCATCCGCTTTTGAGTTGACTCAAATTCCGCCTGCTCCCCATGGTTGAGAACGACCTCTTCTATGCTGACGTGCTCTTCCAGGTGAGCTCACGTGCTCACAAAAGACGAGAGGCCTCTTGAGTCGACACAGAAGTAGCTGAGTGCCATCCTCTTGCTGCCAATGGTCACTTGCTCCCCATGGTTGAGAACGACCTCTTCTATGCCGACGTGCTCTTCCAGGTGAGCTCGCAAAAAGCGAGGTGCCTTGTGCGTCGACTTAGAAGCAGCCGAGTGCCATCAGCTTGCTTCGCATGCTTGCGTGTGGTGTGTTGTGTTTGAAGTGCCTCAAATACATGGCCTGTTCTCATGGTTGAGAACGATCTACTCTCTGCTCACGTGCTCTTCCAGGTGTGCTCACATGCCCTTCCAGTCCAGCTGTGCTTACAACCTTTTTCTGTGCTCACGTGCTCTTCCAGATGTGCATGGGTGTGTGCGCTCTAACGCGCGCGCGCGCGCGCGTGTGTGTGTGTGGGGGGGGGGAGGTGGGTGTGTGGTGTGTTTGAGCGCCTATTTCGGTGTGTTTGTACGGCTGTGGTCACGCCTTGAATGGGACGCTGAACCGCATTGCCGCATTCACACACACAATGTACCCTGCCTGCCAGATCACCCCACCTATATATTGGTGCAACTTTTGAGAATTCTCAAAAGTTGTACCCTGCCTGTCAGATCACCCCACCCGTCCCACTCGGCCATTTGCCAGCCACACCCAATTGCCTCCTACTACAAACCACCCTCCTTCTCTCCATTGGTCTGCTACGCCTACCTGCAATCCAACCAACGAACCACCTTGCCTCTCCCCACACCCCCACCCGCCCACCAGCCCATGTTCCAGGACTGTGACCAATCCAGCCGTCTCCTTTGGTGTCTCCTAATCCTACTTGTTTCCAACCAACGAACCACCTTCCCTCTTTCCCATCCTTCCCCCCCTCCCATCGTTTCACCCCCACCAGCCCATGTTCAAGGACTGCGACCATCCCAGTCGTCCCCTCTGGCATCTCCTAATCCTACTTGCCTCCAACCAACGAACCATCTTCCCTCTTTCTCATCCTTCCTCCTGTCCCATCCTTTCCCACACCCACCAGCCCATGTTCCAAGACTGCGACCACCCCAGTCGTCCCCTCTGGCGTCTACTGCGTCGCCACCACCTGCTGCACCCCACAGGCCTCCCCCTTTTCAACCCCGACTGGACCTACCGCGCCCAACCGCCCCTCACCGCACTCCAAGCTCAGGAACTCCCCAGCAACTGGGTGATTCTGCTGGCCAGGCGCCCTGAGGGGAAGCGGCGCTTCCTAGTGAACTACAAGGAGGTGGAAGCGGAGGTTATGCGGGTTTTTGGGCCCGAGAGAGTTGTTATATTCGAAGGCTCTCTGCCGATTCTAGAAGGTGTGTGTCTCGTGGGTGCTCTCTACCTCCACACTCACCCCTCCTTTGATTAAAGCTGTGGTTATTCGCTGTTCAGTAGTACTCCCTGTGTGTGCGCTATTGTCACCTTCAGTTTTGAGATGTTTCAGAAGAGGGTTGGTCATGGAATTCAACCAACTCCACACTCATCCAGTCCTGGGGCATGGATGTGAAGGGTTGTTGACTTTTGAGTTGACTCATTGTTGACTCAAAAGTCGGCTCAGATGCGACTGGCTGTTGAGGCGCGTCAACGGTTGCTGCTGTGTTCCTGGCAACTGCAGATCCAGACCCCATGGGAACACATGGTCTTGAAATAATAACAATGCGGTCCTCCTTGCAATGGCGAGGTGAGAACACCATAACTGACAAGGCAACGTGACCATTTGTGACCTCTACCACACCGTCCGATTGGATCCTGCAGGTTCAGATCAGGCGAAGCGAATTGCGAAATGCTCTAACCCTAAACCTGTTCCCCTCACCAGGTGTAGCTGCTTCCATGCTTCCATGGTTTCTGTCAATTACTGCTTCCGTCCCGTCCCCCTCCGTCCTCTTGGGCCTCCCTCACTCCCTTCCCTCCTCCCCTTCCCACCCTGCACCCCAGGTCCTCTCCATTCACAAAATTTCAACTTCCTCTCCCCCACCCCCTCTCCCTCTTCCATCTCCCCTCTCCCCTCTCCCCTCTCCCCTCTCCCCTCTCCCCTCTCTCCTCTCTCAGCCCGTGCGCTCTTCAGACGCACGCGCCTATTCATAGCAAGCCATGGGGCGTCCCTCACCAACATGATCTTCATGCCAGAAGGAACAACAGTGCTGGAAATCCGGCCGCACGAGTGTTTCGTGACGGTGTTCCACCTGCTTGCCAATGCCTGCTCGCTCTCCTACCACGTTGTGTTCAGTAAAGGAAACTGGTCGTCGAATTCCGTAGCTGATGTGCCTGAAGTAACGCGCGCGCTAGAAGATATTCAGACGATTTTCTTGGAAGAGGATAGAGGACTTGGGTAACACCCTCCCCTGGCAATTACAATTCAATAATATGAACGCATGCGACCAACGCACGCAGCCCCTTCCATGCCTGCATAGGAGTATACTGCTTGCCCTGGTTCTGTATGCATTACAGCATAGGCCACTCACAGTACAGTAGCCCACCTGCTCGCTGCAGATCCTTCCATGAAAAGCTCGCTCACGTTACATCGTTCGGCTTCCTTAGGGAACAAATGGCTCTTGGATGGGTTGGATCACACCTGTGCACGGTCAGCGTGCGATTCTTACATTGACAAGAATGCTCCCGTTGGCTCTACTTTCCATGTAATGTGTGTCTATGGGGTGCATTGGGCCACTGGTAGTCTCTTTTTATCTTTGCGTGATAGACGTTGTTCCATATGAAGAGTTGGATAGCTTGAATGAAAGGCTTTGAGTGCCAGCCATTTGTGGTGAGTCATGGGTATTGTGGTTGGTGGAAGACTTTTATCCGCTAGCAGATTGAGTCCCTGCTTGTATGTAACCAGTCAATACATGGAAACTTTGTCATTTCTCGTCCATGAAAATGTAAAGTTGCAATTTCCATACACAAAACTGCTACGTTTTCTTTAGAGTGGATGCGGTAGTTTGCAGTTGGGCTCCGATTGTGAGCTAACCAAAGTGAGTACACTATTCCGTTCGACATTGAAATGCTGTTATGAAGCACTCATAGCGACTAATTTTATGGGTGACCTCGAGTTGGGAGGGCCCACAACAGACAGTGTCTACCTGCGCTTCCAGACAACCTTCGGTATCTGCGTCAGGTGCGCAATGTTAAGTTGGTTATGTTGACGTGTGCGACGTTCTTCATACTGTACATACACTTTCATTTCTCATCGTTCTGGCAGTATCGTTTCTGACTCTTGCGGTCCTACTTTTCAAGGAATGTTTCTCCACTGTAACCCTTCCCGTGAAGGGCACCGAAAGGGAGTTTTCTAAAAGCCACGGTGTGAATGCTGAAGTGTTAAAAGTTAAGTTAGGACCTATCTTGCCGTTACGAGACGAGAATATCGAAACTGTTCCCTACCGCTACTGTACTAGCATTGCGAAGGTACAGTACAGTTTGGGCAAGGAAGTCACGAACGTCCTCTGGGGAAGATACAGGCATTGAGAGATCCAGAGCCGTGTCGCATGGAGTTGTTCAGGAGGGAAGGGGTGGGCCCACATCGTTCAAACGCCAAACCGAACCGCGCCAAACAGAATAATTTTTTTTTTGTTGATATTTGGTCAGCATATGAAATGGGGAAAAACTTCGTATTCCTATCGCGTCAGCATATATATTAGGCGAATAATGTCATCATATCCCTATGGTTGCCACGGGATTGTTTATTGAACGGTTTTCCGTACCCACTATCAAGTCAGGGTAACCAGCAACAACGTTCCCTTCCCAACTCACAAGCATTCATGCCTCCCTTCCCCTCTTCGTGGATGCTTGATCACGAACGTTCCTCGACGTTCGTACAGTGGCCTTTGCCATGCTGTGGCATCTGGATGGAAAAGCAAGTTTGGCTTGGCTGTGGTTCTCCTTCGTTGGCGCTGCGCCTAGGCCGTGGAGGGCTGAAGGGCGGCTCCTTCGGCTCTGTCGGCAAAATGCTGGCTCAACGTCGACTGCCCTTGTTGCCAACCTGATCGCACGTCATCCACTGGTCCCCCAGCCCGCTTCCTCGCAAGAGAAGGGCTTTGGTTCGGTTTGGTTGGATGAAATGGATGTGGAAGGGGCGGTGTGTGTGCAATGCGTATGCGCAGCACCCTGGGCATCGATGTGTGTTTGGGGGGGAAGGAAGGAATTCGCGACACGCCTGGTGTGCCTGGGCGCCGAATCCAGGACGTTCGATTTTTGAATCCCTCTCCCCTCCCTTCCTCCCCCGCACACCCCCCCGCACTGTACCTTACCCAAACCAATCCAGTCCGAGCCAAGCCCCTTTCAACACCAACAGAAACCTGACGGATCGTCGTCGACAGCTGCGGCAGCGTAAGGGAGACGCTCCACTCCATCCACTTCCACACCCCATCCCACCCCACCCCACACCACACCCACCAGAGAACCAAGCTGAGTCAGCCGACGTGTACAATTCTGTTGTTTACTGTAGTTTCGTAGGACGTTCTGTCGCAACAGCACCGCGAAGGCCAGGGGACCAGCATTTCTGAACGGGAGTGGTAAAATTGAGCTCGCACGAGTGAGTGCTCACTGTACACGATCAAACCAAACGATCAATCCATCCATTTCCCTGAGCGAAGCAGTTCTGTGCTTGCCTGCCACAGCCCCTTCCCTTCATCCTTCGGACCTCCTCCTCTCCCCTGCCATTTCTCCTGTGTGCCATTTTTTTCTGCGGCGTGTACACCGAAGCCCTCTCGTTCTCCCTCTTCGGACCCAGCGTGCACCACAAGGATTAGAGCAGCCCTTTCCATACTAATATTGCGCGCCTACGCCTTTCTCGTCTTCTTCCACTTCTAGCTTGACCCGTCTCTACTCGCCGCAAGAATTAGCTGAGTTGTGAACTACAGATAGCCTTACGCGAACCACTCCATCGCAACTAGCGTCTCGTTGCAATACCGTCTGCCCCTTGCTCGTAGCCTTTTCGAGGCGCTGCTTTTCAACTTGCAAATCGATCTCTCAAACTTCACGCCACCGCACCGAACCTCTAGCTACACCTCTCCGTCGCCGTTCGACAGTCTCCCTCCCACCCCTTTGACTGGACAAAAACACAATCCACGATGATTCTCGTGGCGGAAAATCTCCACCGCTTTCTCCCTGCCACAGAATCATCCTCCTTTTCCGCCGTTCCCTCCTCTTCCGCCAATTGCGCCCCCTGCGCCGATTCCGCCTCCGCGCAGCCCCTCCCCCAGCTCGTCCCCGTGGGGGATTCCTTGCCGCGCGCAACTCCCCGGCACCTGCGCATTCCGCCCATCTGCATCAACCCCCCGCTAGCGGAAATGGACGACTCCCCGACGTTTCACCGTTGCGCGGGCCCTTTTTCCCCCGATGCCAGCGAGCCGTCGAGCCCTCTACCTGTCTCTTTTGGTGGGTTCGGATCACTACACGACGAAGACATGCCGGATATTCCAATTCCCGACCTTCAGGGCCTCGAAGCCGCAGCAGCGAGCAGCGTCGCAGGCAGCGTCGCAAGCACTGGTGACGCCGCAAGCGACTGCGGTAGCGACAGTTTTAGCTGGGGCAGCAGCAGCGCCGGCAGCGCCGCAAGCGCTGATAGTTCTGAGGCAAAAGCACCTTCTTCGTCGTCGTCGCATGTGGCGACGAAAGGTGGTTACCGTCCCGTGCACGTAATTCGCAGCAGCAACGGGGTCGCTACGCCAGTTCGCGCGCCTCAGTCCGCCCCCGTCGCTCCCCCCAAGCGCCTAGTCATTCCCCTTGCGCCCACAGTTCCGCTCGCCTCCCCCACGATGCTCAGCCCGAGCGTGATGAGCCAGTTCCTCGCTTCCGCCACCACCGACCGCATCGTCCGCCTCCCTTCCCCCGCCCCCGCCTCCTCCGCGCCCTGCGCCACAATCGTCAGCGCCGGCGGGGAAGCCGTTGTGCCAGCGGCAGATTTTGTGCCAGCGCCGTTGTCGGTGCCGGCGGCGCCGTCGGTGACGCTGCCGGCAAGGCATGTATCTGGCGGCGTGGATGTAGCAGCTTGGGCTAGCGCGGCTGCGAGGGCACCCCAGGAGCAGCCGCATCAAGTGGAGATGGCCGCATGGCGGAGCCTTGAGGACGATATAGACACGTCACCTGCGGCAGGGGGGAAAGCCGCTGGTGCGTGGGAGGTGACTGGGTGGTTCCGGCAAATGGCGGGGTGGCAGGCTGTGAACACGGTGGACTCGTCAGAGGAACAGCTGCTGCCGGGGAAGGAGGGTCCCCAGACGAGCTTCGCCTGGAGTAAACCTCAGCGTAGCGAAGTTTGGTAGAAAAGGGGTATGGCACAACGTCACCTGAGAAGTCTGAGCAGAATAGGCATGTCTTCCCCCCCCCCCCCAACGGCAGACTGAAGTTTGCTCCTCCGGGGTTCCAGGAATTGTCATATCATAGGGCTTAGTGTCCTAGGAGTACCGTAGTCCCCGTTCTATGTGAAGCGTCAGTTAGCTCCATAGGGCATTTGTACAACAACTAGATTAGTTAATTCATTTATTCATCTGCTCTGCTCCTAAGGTACTGAAGAATCATACTTAACAACTTAGGCATAATGAATTGCAAGGGACGAATCAGGACAGGGCTACACAATCTTTCATTGCCACAGCAAGTCAACCTGGTTGCCTTTAGCACTCCATGGGAGCTCCAGCTCAACCTGACCACTAGTCTGATCGTAGGTGAAGTGTGCCTTTTCCCCATATATAAAACATTCGGCCGGAACAGTTGAAGCGTAGGCAATAAACCTGCCGCTGCCCTTGACACGAGTGCTCATCCAGTGGAGAGCACTGGTGACAGCTGGGAAGTTCTTCTGGTGTGTGGATGTGGACAACACAGCTCCTCCACTGTTGTACATGTCAGCCAGACCAATAGGAGCACACTTAACATGCCCAGCCCTCTGCAACAAGGGAAGCAGGCATGAAGCAGACACGTTGAGAAACCGGGAACACAGTTACTCTCTATAATCAATTGAGCCTGTACTTGAATCCCGTGTGCACTGATGGTTTGCAACAAGCTTACCTGGATGGGAGATACGGAAAGATTTCAAACTCCAGTCGCTTGAGCATAGTGACGAGGGACGCTCCCCGAGGAAGATCAACAAGTTCTCCTGTGACAGGTATAAAAACGGTCATTTCCCATACACATGGAATACAGCACCACAAACCATAACATTTCACAGATTTGATAGGAGTGGCACCTGAGTTGTGGGAGTAAATTGCAACATCTCCTTCCCAGTCAGCCCCAGCAAGTTCTTCCAGCCCTTCTATGTCGGCAGCACAGATGGTTCCTGCAAGCTCCTTGGTCTCGGAATCATGAAACTTGTACTTGCGTGAGTCTTTGCACCAGGCCGCACCCTGCAGGCAATTCGACGGAGGGTTATTCATTAAGGACACCATAGTATGTGGTTATAAGGAGCGCAAGCAGCTTGTGCACTCTTTACCTGGCAATTAAATGCTCCAAGGACTCCATTGCAAGAGTTGATGTTCCAGACCTTCAGCAGGCTGAAACAAAACGAGAGGTGAACTTCAACACAAGACACTGGTGTGTGTCAGAAACAATGTTTTGACGGTAGTGCCCCCCACCATTGAGGGAAAGGGGAGGGTGGAGGGTTGGGGTCGAGGGGAGGGAAGAGGAAGGGGGAAAAGGTGGTGGTGGAGCTCTTACCTTCGACCATCTCGTGCTGTATCCACAAACAGGCAATCCCTGGTGGGCCTCCCAGGGAGCCTGGCTCGAAGAATGGACCCATCATGGAGGACCAGCTTTCTCAACACCTCGAAGTTGTGCTGGCCAGGCTTGTCACTGCAATGAGCACAACAGGCTCAAATCCATCAGCCACAAAAACCAGGATGAGCTATCATAACTTATGACAACCATAACTTATGACACTACATCACAGGCCTTGTTTCCTGGCTAGTGTTGCATGCAAAATGCTTACCTGACATAGACAGGGCAGCCTCCAACAGCTCGCGCAGCAGCATGGAACTCAGCTGCTGGATGGAGAGACTGTGGAAGGCACATAAAAGGTCAGCTATTGCTAGAATTCGGCTGGTGCATGGATCTAGAAGTAGAACGCAAGCACTCACATGGAACATGTCCCAATCAGGCTGCATGAACTCTCCCAAAAACATGCTGTTGTATGCCACCTGTAAATGAAGATCATAGCCAAGTTAGATTGGACAGAAACAAGGAGAGTGATAAAAAATATTATGGCTTAGGGCAAATCCTTACCGCAAGCAGGTGAATCGTGTGCGATGCAGGATCATTAGGCCAAAAGTCGTCAGAAGCTCGGACTACTGCTGTCCGCTGGGTCCTGTGAGCTCATACACAGGAGAAAAAACCTCAGATGTTAATCAAGTCTGTTATCCGCTCAAGGTGCAGCAAAAGAAACACCACTCACATGTAAATGCCATCAGTGTTATGGCTCATGCACGCAATCACACCGTTCTCCTTGAAATTCTTGGCCACTGATGCCTCCAGAGCTGTGTGGTAAGCCCTTGCTATTTCGACCCTTCCTCCATGTCCTCCACCAACCAGCTCCAACATACTCTGAACATCCACCTTCACTCCATCCACGCCGCATGCTGCCAGGTAACTGTGCATCTCATCGTAAAACTCGTGGATCTTGGATGGACCTATCACCCCCAAACCATGCTTGGTTATCAGGTCCAGCACAGTGTCAGGCTTGTCCAGGACAGAAGGGGAGAAGTCAGGGTATTTGAGAGCCGCCAGGAACTTCTGCGTGGAAGCAGCAGTTGGGTTGACGCCTCCCCAATATCCCATGAGCGCATGCCAGACGTAGACGTATCTGCAAATAGTTTTTAGAAACGGTTAAAAACAGGTAATTACACCACCACAGGCCGGGTGCGGGTAGTTAGCTCACTTTAGGCCATAATCTTCTTTTGCTGATGTAACCAGCCCTTTGAGGTTTCCACGGCCGTTGGCACAAGCCTCCTGTTCATCCTCGCAATGAAATTTCTCATTGGGTTTAACATCCACAAGCCTGCTGAAATGCCTGCATGTTATATAGAAGAAAATCCTTGTTAGCAGAGACTAGGAACACAAAAAACAGGTCGTTCAAACGTGACACACTTACTGTGTCTCAGGGGTCAGAGTCGCCTTTGCATGAAAATCAGCGGCGACCGCTTGCCAGCCATCGTCAATAATCAGGAATTTTGCTGGTACTCCCCCCTCTGCAAGACTGTAAACGACAAAAACGTAAAACAGCTATGTAAGGATTCATCAACAAGGGAGTCCTCTACACCCAAAACAAGACCAGCTGCCCTGCTTCTGCTCACCTGGCCAGTCCTTTGCGAATTCCAGCTTTGTCAACGTCAGTGTAAAAGGCATCCCACGTGCACCATCCAAAGTAGTCAACGAATCCTGGAAGCTGAAATACCACACGGAACAACGTAAGATTCACTACAGAACTAAGAGAGAGAGAAAAAGCCTCACCAAGAATACTTACAGTCTTCTTCTCCCTGTGCTGGAAGTTCCCTGAGTGCTTCTCGAGAGACCTGCATAAACACAGAAAATTTGGAACCATTTAAGCACTTTCCCATGGAAGCGAGAAACAAAAGGAGGAGCTCATCTAATCAACAAACCTTATGGATTCATTCAGTAGCTTGTAAGGATCCCTGCCTGCGTTGACAAAAACAGCCTTGGTGCTTTCGAAGGTTCGGACTTCCGGATCTCCTGTAATCGCAGACACACAAGTAGGTCAGAGAAGACGCAAGAGCACCAAAGACCTTTAATTTGACCAGAATGTTTGAAACTTACCGCTTGCAGACTTCAAGCATATTATCCGATGAGCCCTGAATGGCTGCTCGGAAAGATCCATCAACGAGAGGGAGCATCACAACGTAAACTGGCTCGTTCGGAGATTGACTATCACGATCAGACTCCAAGAGCAAAAACTGTGTCTCGTTAGGTACATCTTTTCCGTTGCTGCCAACTCGTTGAGTCATCCACCACAGCTTGAAGCGATAGCAGCACAAGAACCGAAGGTTTCTGTACAGAATAGGAAACAACGATATGAGAAACTGCGGAAGTTTTACAAGAACTATCGGCACCAACGCTTGCTCCAACCTGAGAGTTCCAATCGGAAAGACGTGGCGACTCTTAGCGGAGTCGAACCGAGCTCCGAGAAAAACGCCGGAGCAGCCGATGGGTCCGTCCATTGGCGTGACGGTCACGTTCTCAGGCACGTCAGTTAGAATGGTATGCCCGAACGAGGTCAGCTCGTCGCCCGTCAACGCCAGATCGCATGAGTCGAGCATCTTGGGAAGACGATCCAGCACAGGCATTGCGAGGGTGCAATTCAGGCGAGAAGGAATGAGGCTGGTACGCAAGCGAGAGCTGGCGTAAACTGACTGTCCCGTTAGTAGAGAACTCAAGGCGTTGAACTGGAAGAAGGTGGGCTTCAACGCTGGTCGTCGTGCGGATGACAAGGAGGCGGATGGCACGAGTTTTGACAATAACCCGGCCTGGGAGAGGCGGGTGCACAAGGCTGGGCTGAAGCGCATTTGGTCTGGATCCGGCTGCTTCAAGGTGACTGCTTTGTAGGTGAGTGTCGATCGTGGATGGGTCGGAGGGCAACAGAGAACCTCTTCGTTGCTCACTGCGCATTCTCGATGGAACTTGCAAGGTCGCGGCTCTCAATGACTGCGAACTATTCTCCAAATAGCGACTCCGGAATTCACAGCACCGAGGAGTGACAGAAAGGCGACTCGCTGCCATGGAGTTATCCAGTGCGATGAGGACGTGCCAGGTGGAGAAATGAGGTGGAAGTGCTGAGCCTTCTGTGCTCCCTGAGGTCGGTCCCCCGAGATTATTGCTGTTTCGAATTCACGAGTCACGACGACGACCCTTTTCCAAGGTTACGTAACGGATTGGGTTTTTTTCGCCCAACCACCACGTAAGAAGGGCGTGTAGTCGTGGACTAACTCTAAAGTCCCTCTTTTATGCTTGTACATTTCATTCATGCTGTTATGAATGAACTTGTCAGAGTGCGCGGATATCGAATAACGAGAATGAGAAATTACAGAATGATTGAACAATGAAGTAGCGAGGCCTAAATAGGGGAAAACCTAGCTAGGCGGGGGGTTCGGGATGGGATGGCTCGGTGATGGCCACGATTGGAGCGGAGGCCGACTCGGGGGTGGTTCGGTGCGACGAAATAGGCATCGCAGGTTCGTCGCGACACCCTCGGGATGTCCTCGCTAACAACTTACTACAGTAAGGAATTCTAATTCCTTACACATACAGATCTTCTGCTACGCCCCGAACTCTATACAGTCAATAGTGTTAGATAATAAGGGCATTCAGCTCAGCATAGAGGAAAATGCTTTTTTTTTTTTTCAGAGGAAGGGAAGGAAAGGGAGAAGGGGGGTCAGAGGTGGAGGTTGGGAGAGGGGAAAGGATTGAAGGGGAGGTGGGGTGGTCCTTTATATAATGTGCGTTGCTTTTTAACTCTCCGTAAGCAAGCAAACGAAATTAGTGGTGTAACGTAACGGTCGGTGCCGACGGAGACGAAAGTGCTTCGTCGCGAATTGCGTGGACTCTGTGGTTGACGGAGGGAAGCTGGGTGTCTTCGAGTCGCTCAAACGCAACACTGGGCGCGAGCTCTAGGATCCCGCGTGTAACACAGCACAGCTGAGCGTGTAACATTGCTCACTCGCCTGTCAGTTGTCGTGACCACATTGGGGAGGCGGCAGAATGAGACACCAATCCAACACCCCAATCTCAAACCAGAATCCCGAAGCAGAGGGCGTCCCGGCGTCGCCATGACGTGGCAAACCAAGCAAGCGCCTCCGGAACTCACGCGCTCTTCCAGGAGTCCGAACTGAAACATCTGCTCTAAATAATCAGGGCAGGTAACTTGACGTTCTCTTGCTGCTCCTAGTCCTATCCACCTGCTTTTAGGGGCATTACGTTTACAAGTCCACACTGGTGGCTCAAGCATGGCAGTTAATTTCTCCATACCAGTTTTAGGGCAGGTATTGGAAACAGGTAAATAGTGCGGTTCTCTAGTTTCAACACATTTCGGCGGGCGAGATTCTCCACAAACGTCCGTTGCTGTCTGCAGCCGTCCGTCGGTACAGTTTGTGCGTGAGGGTCAAGGCTACGGCGATATCCAATCACCCCTAACCTGACCTAACCGAGCAAGGCGCGAACCAAAATACTTGTGGTGTCCGTTCCAGATATTCCAACCGAACCGAACTTCGAAGCTAGCCAGATCACACACCATACCTCTCGCTCAACCCCATGCAGCACGCAACATCATCGAACCAAAGCACACTCACACAAACAGGTGTTGGATTCTCTTTCTTTGTGAGCTTCGTTTGTGCAAGTCTGCCTGCCTGAGAATTTGGAGAACGATTCCTCTCCGAGCCGCCTTGGTTATCTTCTTTCCCCGTACGCACAGGAGGTCAGTTGATTAATGACGGCGCGGCATGAACAAACGCACTGGCCGAAGTAGAGCATCAGCTGGAGCGGCTGACTTATCCCTCACTTTCACCTGCCGAGACCCACGTCCTGGCCTCACCGCACACGTCCTCCCCACCGTCGATTCTGCTGCGCCCTCGCCGCCGTCCGATTCCTTAGACAGGCGTTTGTGCACTTCCGCTATTCGCGTCCGTTCCCGGCACGCAGCCACGCTGGATTCGCACGGTCGTTCAGGGAATCCGGATTTATTTGCAAGCACGCCGGGTTTGCCGGCGTGGGTTGCGGAGGAGCGTCCGGCTTTCGGTGGCGGTGGCAGCTATGGGCGGCACGGGCTTGTGAGAGAGGCGACAGGGGGAGGGCGTATCTTGGGCGGGTCGATCGACACTGTAATCTACGATGGTTTCAAGCCCTACTTCGAATCCGCTCCACGATGTATGTGCTGGCAGTGCCACGTCGGGGAACTGTGGGCCGACCGCACGCGTATGCTAGCGGCCCGACACGCGTTGAGCGCGCGCAGCGAGCTTGCTAGGACGCGCGTCGCGCTGCTCAATCCCAGCTTTTCGCATCCGTCCGTCACCGTGTCAGTGGAGAGTTGTGACCGTACTAGTGACGCGTCCGTGAATGCAGCAGCATGATAGTTTTGTGCCGTCTCACAGCTACAGCCCACAGCCGCCCACAACCGCCCACAACCGCCCACAACCGCCCACAACCGCCCTGTGGCTCTCGCTGCAGGCGGATTTTTTGTGCACCTCAGCTCGACGGTTCGAAGCATGGTTAGCGAGCTAGGAGGCGGCGTGGTGGATAGGTCAATGACTTATTGCGTGCTGCGCGGAAGCGCATCGCACGGGCGAGAGAATGGAGCTTACTGGTCGCATGCTCTCAGTGCTCCTCGTTCTTGCATCTTGCTGCGTGCTGCGCCGCCTCTTGGCTTCTTCCAACCCCGTTCTCTTTCCCCGTGTCCTCTTTCTCCGTCGCGCTCTCGCTCTCTCTCGCTCCCTCTCTCACCCCATCCGTTCCCCCCCCCCTCTTCCCCATCCGCCCCCCTCCCCTATTCCTCTGACCCACCTTATGTCATTCCCCCTTCCCCCACAACACAGGGCGGCAGGCCCCTTCCCCCGTCCCGCTGCGCGTTCTTTCCGCCTCCCTCCCCTCGGGGCGCTGCGCCCTCTCCATCCTCCGCCACCCCTCCCCCGCACCCCTCCCCCCAACGGAGTCCTCCGCCCAGCGCAGCGCCCTGCAGCAGCGCACGGCGCGCGTGCAGAGGAGAAGACGGCTAGCCGGCAGGATGCAAGAGGCGCTGCCGTTCCACCGTCAGTTCTGCCTGAAACCGTTTGAGCTGCCACGGGGGGTGCCAACGCTACCGTTGGAGATGTGCCGTGGGGATCACATCATCACTATCGTCACCACTGCTTCTCTGCCCTGGCTCACTGGTGGGTTTCCTCTCCTCCTCCCTCCCACACCCCCACCCACCCACCCCGCCCCCTCCCGCCGCTCTTTTGAGACGCCTCGATATATTCGTTTCTTTATCCAGGCGCCTAGAAAGCACATTATCACCATGGTCACCACTGCTTCCCTGCCGGGTGGCTCACTTGTGGGGGTCCTCTCTTTCCTCTCTCATTGTCTTGCCACACTCGGTTGCCTTCCCGCTTCGCTTGCTGCATTTTCTCTCCCTTCCGTAGTGCCCTCTCTGCTCCTACCCCCCTACTCTGCCCTCATCCCTCCCTCTCCTCTCCCTCCCACCCCTCCCCCCTTCTCTCTTCCTCCCTCCAACCCCCCCCTCCGCGCTTCCCACCTCTTCTCCCCCAACCAGGAACCAGCATCAACCCATTGATGCGGGCAGCGTATCTCAGCCGTCTATACGCCATGCGCGTGCTGCTGCTCGTCCCTTGGATCCCCCCGTCGGACCAGCGGGTCGTGCACCCCGCGCACGTGTTTGACACGCGCCAGCAGCAGGAGGGGTTCGTGCGGGAGTGGATAGAGAAGCGCCTGGGGTTTGCACCGGTGTTCCGCATTGCGTTCTACGACGCGTGGTACGACCCGCGCAAGGGCAGCATCTTCCCCCTCGACAGTAAGCACTCCCCTTTGTTTCTTGGCGGGGATCAGGGGGGTTGGTGTCGAGGAGCAGCATGTTCTTTCTTTCTTGACAATAAGCAATCCCCCTTCTTTGGGGGGGAGGGTGGGGGTGGGGGTGGGAAGGGCCAGTAAGGACAGCTTTACATGCCTTTTTCACTTTTTGTGATCTGAAGTTGAATCAGTTTCAGTGTTTCATTGGTGTTGTGCGCGGCGGGTGGTGTAATCGAGATGCCCAGGCAAAGCCACCATCCGCTGCCACTCATCCGTGTGTGTCTGTTTATGCCCGTGTGCATGTCTGTGTATGCGTGTTTGCACGTGTGCGTCCATGTGCGTGCACGTGAATCTGCATGTGGATGTGCATGTTCCTGTGTGCAATTATGTGCATGTGCATGTTTCCTGAGTACATGCATGTCCATGTGTGCACGTGTGCATGTCTGCACGTCTGCATGTGTCCATGTGCATGTTCTTGCGTGCATGTGTGAGCAACATCAGGGTCGGACGTAACGGAGTGTGTACCAGACGAGGAGCTGGACGTGGCAGTGCTGGAGGAACCCGAGCACCTCTGCTGGTACGCCCTTCTCAGGCCCTTCCCACACCTTACCTTGTAGCTCTTGGTGCTAGGCTCCTGTCCCTGTTAGTGTTGTCTAGAGGAGTCACCATGCATAGCGCACACCAACTACACCGAGTACACCAAGCGCGACCTGCTCTACGGGGGGGCTCTTTTCACCTCTCAGCCCATCCTCCACTCTTCCTCTCCTTGACCCGATGTTATCTGCCCTTCCCCTCACCCCCACCCCTTCCCCCTCCCCAACCCCGCCAACCCCCTCTGCCCCCCTCTCCCCAGGTACCACATGGTAGGCCCCAAGTGGCGCATGCGCTTCCCCCTCTCCATTGGAATCGCCCACACCGACTACACTGAGTACATCAAGCGCGACCTCATTTACGGGGGGCCCAATTCATTCAGCAGTACTTGCCCTATGCACTGCCCACTCCCCTACCCCCAGGTACCACATGGTAGGCCCCAAGTGGCGCACGCGCTTCCCCCTCTCCATTGGAATCGCCCACACCAACTACACCGAGTACATCAAGCGCGACCTCATCTACGGGGGTCCCCGCACGGCGGCGTTCCTGCTGGTTTACTCGTGGCTGGTGGCGCGCGCTAATTGTCACCGTGTGATCCGGCTGTCTGGAGCAGTGCAGCCGTTCTGCGACTCCATCGTGTGCAACGTGCATGGGGTGAGTGGGAATGGGAGTATGGGAGTGTGGGTTGAAAGGGCAAAGGGGGAGTGGGGGAGGAACGGGAAAGTGGAGAGAGTGTGGGTTGTAAAAGTGGGGTATTGGAACTTGGACCATCCCCCACACTGCGCAGCGGCGTTCCTGCTGGTGTACTCGTGGCTGGTGGCGCGCGCCAACTGCCACCGTGTGATCTGGCTGTCAGGGGCTGTGCAACCATTCATTGATTCCATCGTGTGCAACGTGCATGGGGTGAGTGGGCATGGGAGTACGGGAGTGTGGGTTGAAATGGAGGGAGTGTGGGTTGAAATGGAGGGAGTGTGGGTTGAAAGGGGAGACAGGCCATTTGGTGTGCAGTCACAGGTGGGATCCCACTCTTAACAATCTTTTCCCCGAATCCTCTCTCCCCTTTTACCCCTCTCCCCCTTTTACCCCTCTCCCCCTTTTACCCCTCTCCCTCCCTTACCCCTCTCCCCACCTCACCCTTCCTTATCCCTCTTTCCCCCATCCCCCCTCTAACAGGTATCCCCTCAGTTCCTAGACGAGTCTCATGTGACGCCACCGCATGCCACAGGCGTGTACTTTGTGGGCAAGGTGCTGTGGGGCAAGGGCTACCAGGAGCTGTGTGACTTGATGCGGCACCACTGCAACAAGCACGGCCGGCCCACACAACCCCCTGCTCTGCCTCCTCCTGCCTCCGCTGCGGCACTTAAGGCATCTCAACAGGCGCCCCCTGCTGCTGCTGCTAACGGGCATGCGAACACACACACACAGGCACACACGGGCACACAGAAGAACGGTTATGTGCATGCGCAGACCGGCAACTGTGTATGTGATGATGCATCCAAGCCTCGCAATGGGTGTTATCACGGGGAAATGGGCAATGCTGGGGATGTGGGAGGAGCAGAGGAGGAGCGAAGGGGAGGGAAGGAGGGAGGCGAGGAGAAGGAGAGAGGGGAGGAGGTGGTGGGGGATGGAGAGCGGTTCTGGGTTCATGCGTATGGCGATGGGTTTGAGGAGGGGCAAGTGAAAGCCTATGCCGCCAAGTGAGTGCAGTGGGGTTGAGTGCGGTGGGTTTGGATCTGATGGGTGTGAGTATGGTGGGTTTGAGTATGATTGGTTTTTTCTACCTCCGTATCTCTGGTTACGTTCTGAACCGTTTTAGCAACCTCTATTCTCCACATGGCCATTAGCAACCTCTATTCTCCACATGGCCATTAGCAACCTCTATTCTCCACATGGCCATTAGCAACCTCTATTCTCCACATGGCCATTTTAGAACGATCCTCGTATATGCGGTATCCTCCCTCTTCCCTTCCCCTTCCCCTCCCCACACATCCACCCTCCCTTAACCATCTCTCCTCTGTCTCTCTCTCAGTCTCTCATTACCCTGAACCCTGTGCCCCATGGCCCATGCCCCATGCCCTGTGCCCTATGCCCATGCCTGTGCCCTGTGCCCCGTGCCCTGCTCTGTGCTCTGTGTATCACCATCCCCACCACCAGGCACGAGCTGCCCATAGTGTTCCATGGGAGGAAGGACCACGCAGACCCAGAGCTCCTCAAGTGAGTGCTATCTCTTTTTCCTGCCACTCTTGCCACTCCTGACCTTCTTGCCACTCCTGACCTTCTTGCCACTCCTGACCTTCTTGCCACTCCTGACCTTGACTCCCGTGACTCTTGTGACCCTCATGAATGCGAGTGACGTGCTGTGCACATGCTTTATCATCACTCCTCCTGCCCCCTCACCCTCTGCCCATTTCCCTCCATTTCCCTCCCCCTCCCCTCCAGCTACAAGGTGTTTGTGAACCTGAGTGTGAGCGACATGCTGTGTAGATACCTCGACACACTCACTCATGATTTCCCCTCACCCTCCGTCCCTCCCCCACCCACCCACCCACCCACCCACCCACCCACCCACCCACCCACCCACCCCCCCATCCCCCCCTCAGCTACAAGGTGTTTGTGAACCCGAATGTGAGCGACATGCTGTGTAGATACCTCGACACACTCACTCATGATTTCCCCTCACCCTCCGTCCCTCCCCCACCCACCCACCCACCCACCCACCCACCCACCCACCCACCCACCCACCCACCCACCCACCCACCCACCCACCCCCCCATCCCCCCCTCAGCTACAAGGTGTTTGTGAACCCGAATGTGAGCGATGTGCTGTGCAGATACCTCGACACACTCACTCGTAATGTCCCCTCACCCTCCGTCCCTCCCCCACCCACCCACCCACCCCCCCCTCAGCTACAAGGTGTTTGTGCATCCGAGTGTGAGCGACGTGCTGTGCACCACGACAGCAGAGGCAGCAGCGATGGGGAAGATCTTGTAGCTGTGCACATGCTCTCTCACACGCTCACCCCTCTGTCCCTTCCCCACCCCCTCCCCCCTCAGCTACAAGGTGTTTGTGAACCCGAGTGTGAGCGACGTGCTGTGCACCACAACGGCAGAGGCGGCAGCGATGGGAAAGATCTTGGTGCTGTGCCGGCACCCCTCCAACGAGTTTTTCATCCAGAACATCCCGGAGAACTGCGTCACCTATGACCCCAACGACCCAGGTACGGTGGTATGATTCGGTGATCCACACAGGTACGGTGATTTCGTGACCCAGATATGGTGACCAAAAGCGATGGGGAAGATCCTGGTGCTGTGCCGGCACCCCTCCAACGAGTTTTTCATCCAGAACATTCCAGAGAGTTGTGTCACCTATGACCCCAACGACCCAGGTGGGTACGGTGGTTCGCTGGCACAGGTACGTTGATTTGATTCTCGTGCTGTGCCGGCGTCCCTCCAGCGAGTTCGATCTTCATCCAGAACATCCCGGAGAATTGTGTCATCTATGACCCCAACGACCCAGGTATGGGACCGGGGTTCTTTTTTTTCTCTGACGTCAACGACACACATATGGTAACAGTGGATTCCCATGTGCGGTGGTTTGAGTTGGTGATGGTGTGATGGTATGATGGTATGATGGTTAATGTGATAGTGATGGTGTGACGGTGATGGTGATAGAAATGTGGACAATGGTGGTGACGATGTTTATGGTTAGAGAATCTGCTGCTAATGGAGGCAATCCATACACTCCTCACCACTTCCTTCCTTTCCAAAGTCGCTCCTTACCCCAATAAATCACTTACATTCTCCTCTCCTGTCCCGCCTCCGCCCTTCTCCCATATCCCTCTTATTTCCCTCTCTCCCCTCGGTCCCTTCACTCCTCTCTTCTCCCCCCCATGCCTTACAGATGACTTTTCGGCAGCGATGGCGCGTGCACTGGCGCATCCCCCCCGCCCTCTGACACCAGAGGAGAAGAGAATTTTCACTTGGCAGGCCGTGAGTCCTCTCTTTCTTGCCTTGCCCCTCCTACTGCATGTGCATGCCATGTCTTCCATCCTGCCTCCGTGTTTTGCACTCCTCCCTCACCCCCTCCTTCCCGTTACCTCTCTCGCACGCTCACACACGCCACACGTCGCCCATCATCCCACACGCTCCCCACCCCGCGCCCCTCTCTCTTGCTCTCTGCAGGCAACAGAGCGATTCATGCAGGTGGCAGGCCTAGCTGGTGCTGCTCCCTAGCAGCCTCCTCCTCCACTCTCCACGATCTTCCTTTCAACCATCCTCCTTTCACCCATCCTCCTCCAAATCATATCTTCTTACCCATCCTCCTCCCATCCTCCTATCGTGGAGAGAGATGGACCAGTGCAGTGGGGGGGCAATGGGCCTGGCCCTGCTGTATACAAGCACACACAGCAACAATCCTCTCCTAGCAATTAAAGGCCACACTCTCCCTATCCTCTACAGGCCTTGGGTGTTATCCCAAGGCCTGTCTGTTCAATACGTGTTTTTCAAGGGACCTTTTTTCTTACAGTAACTAGTTTATCTGGCTTTTGGGTCGATGCTGTTTGCTGCGCAGTCCAGAGACACATGTGAGCGCACACCACACACTGCACTCTCACTCTCACTCTCACTCTCACTCTCACTCTCACTCTCACTCTCACTCTCACTCTCACTCTCGCTGCAAGCATTCGTGTGTGCACATGATTCCTCCTCTCACACACGCATACGCTGGCTGCTCCGATTACACCACAACGAGGGGAGCCAGGTGAATTATTCCATATACCATAACCGCCCCTTGCATCTGATCAGGATCAGTTGGAGTGGCATTGCCAGTGATAAAACAGCCTTAGAGGCTTAGATTTGTTCCTTTAGCATCCGTTGAGGGATGAATGGTTGGGGATAAGGTGGTACATAAGAGATGGCTTGTTACACAAGCTCTGCATATACTTGTGGTGTGGAATTAAGTTTCTGTTCTTCCTTGGTGGATTTGATTATTCATTGCCTGTATGTGCCCTGACTATTTGTAGCTGTCATTTTTTAGACTGGGATTATTCTACATACCGTGCAACTAGAGCCCCATGCTTAAAGCCAGGGTACAACATGTTAAACATTATGTTTACATATGTTTGTAGTAACTGCCTGTAGCGAACAGTTGGTGTAGCTTATTACATTCTGTCTAGGTGGTGCACCACTACAATCTCCTATATCTTGTATCTCCTTCACAATATTGGACCTCTTTTGTTGGTGACACTTCCCTCTTGCTGAGCTAGTTATCCCTCCCTATGCTTCTAGGCTAGGGTTTCTCCTAGCCTAGGTAGCTTCTTAATTTGACACAACTCTCTTAGGAACAGTAGCAGGACATATACCATACTTTTTTGGGTTGCGAAGCAACCTATTACAATCGTTATGTTCATTTTTTTTTTCATCCTCTTTACTTAAAAAAAAAAATAAGGATAAGGTAACTAAGTGACTGACTGCCATGTCTTTGCCATGGCAATTTAGCATGCGCCGTACCACATTTCTTCTCATTTCTTGGTTCGCCTTGACCGAACCTATACTCTATGGGTTGCTAAAATGATGTTCCTGTGAATGTGAACGCGTGACTGTTTATTCCGTAATGCATAAGCCGGATGATGTTACGGTATGCGTAGATGAAGTATAATGATGGATATGGTGAAAAAAATATTTAATGAAAAAATGCATAATTATGTTGCATATACTACTGTGGTAATGAAATGAATGCATATCATGATAAAAATGCGTCACAGTTAATTGACACAGACCCTATGCTACGGCATCCCCTGCCTAGCATGGGGGGGAGCTAATAGCATAGTTCCTGAGTCATCCAACTGTCAGAATATTATGCTCTAGCCTGTAGTGGGGTGCTCTATAGCGAGTACAACCCTTCTAGGGTTTGCTATTTGTATCCCCATTCTTGCTAGTGCAAGCCCTCCTTTGCTCGTTTCTCTCTTGCCTAGCTAGGGTTTACCTAGCTATGGCTCATGATTCTAGCTCCTATTTTGACATCCAACTGTCACATGAAACAACACAATCTGTGCGAAGTAAAAAAAAGGTCAATTCTATCAAATCCAGTTCAAATGAACACACTCACTGAGTGGGCAAAGAACCTTCTCGGAAATGATAGTTTGATCCAATTTTTTAAAACCCACAGACATGTGTTATTAATGCAATGGAAGCATGAATGAAAACACATACGCACACAACACAATGCAAACACACACGCACATAGACAGATACAAAGACATGCACATGATCACACATATTCACACAAACGAAAAACGCTCAATGCATCAACTGTTAAAAAATAATAATAAAAAACTAAAAGCAAAATTAAACCCTAGCCATATACATATAATCATACACGGAACCATCTTATCTTTGCTTTGCACCGTCCAAAAAAACCTTCACTTCCTGAAGAAAACAACAAGGGAAAGAATCAACAATAGAAAGAAAGAAAGACAAATATGGAACAATGAGGATAAGGTGCAAAATTGTACAACAGAAACGCAAAGAATCCTAGCAATGACACAATACATTATACTTTTGCTATTCACGTGCTGAACTGATTTGATACATCCAATTTCCATTAAAAAAAAAAAAAAGAACCAGTTAGTTGACATGGATACAAGAATCAGATAACAAACATGCTGAAAGAAGCATATGGAAAGAGGTGAAACAGAAAATAAAAAGGATCAGAGAAACAAGAGAAAATAGAGAAGCAAGGAAACTAGGTGCAACAGAAACAAAAGAACTACTTAAGAAGAAAGGGAACAAAAAATTAAGAAACCGATCTAAGAATGAAGAGCCCAATAAGAGGACCGTTCAAAACTATAAACGAGTGCTGGTTAACAAAGAACCTATAAAGTAGAATAAACCAATTCAAGAAAAACATTGTTGAAACGGAAACGAGATGCAACGGAAACAAACAGAAGTTCATGTCTAATGAACAAGGATAAAGTTCAGACTAATACGGAAAGAGGAACGGATAAGAGAAACACGAGAGGCGAAATACAAATACTAAAAAAACAACAACAAAAAAACAAAACAAAAATATCAATAGAGCGAACTCACCTAGCTACGATTAGATCGTGCATAGTTGAAAGGGGACGCCCGTTGAATGTGTACCTCATGACTGAATGGAATGAAAGCTGAAGGGCAAGGGTATATAGAGCTCAGAAACGAAATGGAGAAGGCACGTATGGGTGGTGGCAATAAATAAGGAGCACAAGACAAGAACTAAAACGTGAAGGTTAAGTATTCAAATCTACATAGAAAGAACAAAAGAGGAAATGAAGTGAGAATGTCAAATAACATATGCAACTACAAGGTGATAAGGATGCGACGGAAGGAAAAGGACGATGAGGAACTAAAGAACGCATGCAGACCTATAAACGACTTAAAGCTTAAGTACTTGAAACAAGTCTAGAACCTAACCTTTAAAAACCTGGATCCTTTAAAATGACCAAGAATTGAGTAAACGACTACGATACGATAATAAGAAATGATAGGCTAGCTCTTAATCTCCTAACTTAGTTTTAGACAGGCTAGCTCTTAATCACCTAACTTAGGTTGATCTCACCTTGCATCTGCAGGTGGAGTAGCGTGACTGGCGGGGGTGGTTCAACTAGCGAGGGAGAAAGGAAAGGGTTGAACTAACCCTAATGCAATGCCAAATTCGTCGCAAACAAAACGGTCCTGTAAAATAAGTTACGCTCGTAAGACAGCAGCGTTTTCCCAGTCGATTGAAACTTTACTGAGAATCGAAGGGTCGAGGGTTCGATTACAACTCCAGGACAGATTCGAACTTTTTAGGAAAGATGATGCACCACTTTGTACCACGCTACTATGGTTTCATACTACACTACAATGAAACAGTTTCATACCAATTTGCTTCGCAACCCTAGGACGACCTAGTCGCCTCTTGTTTTTATTTTGATGCGGAAAAGTACACTAAAGATAATGTACAAAATACATCATGAAGTCGTAACTGTGTCTGGAGGGAAGAGCCACAGCATCGTGTACTGCGGATTCCTTATAGCGGGCCTAGGGGGGTTGATGAGTCATCCTTGGGTTGTCCCAGATACGGTAGAGCTGAAGCTGTGCCTCCACGTCAGCGGTATTCCTTTGTTGCATATCCGCTTCATCACAACCGCCTCGTCTGCTGCTAGGTGCTTCCAGTCATCATTACAGGCAGCCACGCCGTGTATCCGTGCCGCCACTTGCTTCGCCAAACAGTACACCCTGGCATGCGCGACAAATTTAACCACTGCCAGCCGTATCACTTTCTTCGGCTGAAACTTGATCACATATACCATACAATGGCTAGAGTGTAACGAGACTCGTATTGGACCACACATTATACTCCCACAACAATACAGACTTATCGCAAAAGAATTTCCCCCATGAACTGAGTCAACCCTCTTCCAACACCACAGGAACACATAGGGTCTTATTCCAACCAATAGGAATCAAGTTTTAACCATTATGTACACCACACCCTGTACAACTCTCTCTAGAGCCAGCTTCCTGGCATAGACAGCGTCTTTAATCAGTTTCTTGCAATACGGTACTTGAAAGAAGTACGGTACGGTACATACAGAACGTGGAATTAAGATTTAGCTTGTGCGAGGTACAACTCTGCAACCTCTGCTGCTGACGATGCGTCCTCTGAAAGCCTGTCCAATCGGACTGACGCAAACCTTGGGAAGCGCAGGGAAATCCCGCGAGTGGGATGGACCAATCCCAAAGCTGCTTGATGCACTGGCGAGAGACTCAAATCTGGAACATGGATTCGAGGTAAAAAAATGTGAGGAGAAATTAGAGGTGCAACAAGTAGAGGAGAAACAGCAAGGCAGAAAGAAGAAGGGAGGAGAGGAGAGCCAAGGAGAAAAGGAACAAAGAATGGAAAATAAAGGGAGGAGAACCAGGGAGTAGGGACGAGGGAGTTGCGGAGTGCAAAACATGTGTGTGTGCGCGCGCGCGCGCGTGTGTGTATGTGTGTGTGTGTGTGTGTGTGTGTGTGTGCTTGTGTAGTGTAGTGTAGAGTGTGTGTGTCCGTGTGCGTGTGTAGTGTAGTGTAGAGTGTGTGTGTGCGTGTGCGTGTGTATTGCACAAGCATGTGTGAGAAGGATGGCAGAAAGGAAACGAGCAGCACAAGGGGATGGAGGCGGAATACCAGCAAAGCGACTTTCCCACACTTCAAGTGGAAAGGGCAAGTTGTGAGGAGCCTCAGAACCAGAACCTACCGGCGTCTATCTTTGAGGTGCCTCAAAAATAGACTACATGTGGAAAGAGCAGATTTTGAGGAGCCGCCGAACCTACCGGCGAAGCGAAACTCCCACACCTCATGAGGAAGGAACCACACGTCAGGCTCCTCCAAAGTGTGTTTCTGGGGCGCCTATACAACAGAGACCTACCGGCGAAGCGAATCTCCCACACTTCATGAGGAAGAAACCACACGTCCGGCTCCTCCAAGGTGGACACGTATGGGGGCTTGCGTGGCAGAATCAGCTCCTCACTCTCACGATACCGAGACGTTGCCTGGAGCAGTGAGTAGTGTGCAGTGAGCAGTGTGCAGTGAATGGTAAGTGAGTCAGGATGGATTCACAATGGGTTGTGCCTTGAGGTGTCTTGTAGAAAACTTCATACCACCGGTCATAGACACACAACACTGCCATTGAGGGACGATACACAGCTACAAGGAAATCTAGACTTGCATGGAGATTGAAAAGCACGTGCCTGCCTGTAACAGCATGAGCAGTCTTGGCTTGGTAAGGTGTTGGAAGAATGGTGATGAGGTGCGTTGCGTACCTGTGAGTAGAAGGCGTCTGAGAAGCCTGACATGACTCGGCACACACTCTCGTATCGCTCCGAGTCTGCATTGTAGCATGCCATCAGGAACGGACTGAACCTGTTGCCATGCGTGCATGCACCCACACAAGTATGCACTCATGCACGCATGCACGTATGCACCCACAGACCCATGCAACCATACACCCACATAACCACGCACCCATGCACCCACACGCCCACACACCCATGCACCCACAAACCCATGCAGCAACAGGCAAGCACGAGAGGAGGCAAAACGTGGGAGAAAATTGTGGAACTTCCTGCTTGCACTATAGGAACCTTCGAAAGAGTTATTCCACGGAGGTGCAGGCAGGGGTAACTTGTGGGTCATGATAGATGCAAGTCAGCATTCAGCTTGTCCGGTTGTGGTCACTGGAGGAACCTTCCTCCTCCTACCACCCCACCACCTCCCCTTCATCCCCAACCCCCTCCTTTTTCCCTAGCCCATGTCGCTCTCATCATTCGGCCTTGCGGCCGTTGCCATGCCATGCGCCGATAGGCACTAGATTTAGAGAGCCCAACATCCAATCCTCAACACACTTTCTTGCCTCCATCCCGCCCTTACTGTCACCACCATACCCCACCACACCCCCCTCCTTTTCTCTCTCACCATCCGGCCTTGCGGCCATTGCCATGCCATGCACCAATGGGCACGAGATCCAGAGAGTCGCCCAGCCCTGCCACGTAGTCCCGCTTCACCTGCCGGAGGGTGTGATGGGTGTGGAGGACACGGGAGGCATTGGCGGGGTGCGAGGTGTGATGGCATTGGTGCGAGGTATGGGGGTCGTGGGGGGCACCAGATCCAGAGAGTCACCCAGTCTTGCCGCATAGTCCCGCTTCACCTGCCGGAGGGTATGATGGGTGTGGAGGACACGGGAGGCATCTTGTGAGGCGCCTCAAACGGTAGGCATTGGCGGGGTATGTGTGCGGGACATGGGGCACGAGATCCAGAGAGTCACCCAGTCCTGCCACGTAGTCCCGCTTCACCTGCCAGGCGCATGATGGGAGGGGCCTGGGGTGGGGGCATGGTGGGCACGCATCATGTAAGGGGCAAGCTGGCTCACATGCCATAAACAACCCCAAATCCGGATCTTGAATTAGCACACAAAGGTTGAGTGGACAAGCAGTCATGCTAAACCATGCTTGTTCCGCGCGTGCAGTATCCATTGGCAAAGGTACCGCCTTTTTGGCCAAGGAGCATGGATTCAAGGGCATGGCACTCACGAGCCATGATCAGTCACGCTTAAGAGCCAACACATGCCGTCAAGATATATTGCCCAGCACACCAATTTACACATACTTCAATCTATGACCCCATTGCCCCATGCACCCATGACCCATTGGCCCATGCCCCCTTTGCCCCATGTCCCCATCCCCCCCCCCCCCACCCACCCACCCCCCTGCCCCCCTGCCCCCCTGCCCCCGTGCCCCAGTACCCACCTTGAGCCACGAGTCGGAGCGCTTGTTTGGGCAGTAGAAGGAGGGCGGGCCGTGCAGCAGCTTTTGAGGACTTTTGAGGTGCCTAAAAAGCTGACTCTATCTGCAAGAACGTTCCCCCATGCCCTCATGCTCCCACCTTGAGCCAAGAGTCAGAGCGCTTGTTGGGGCAGTAGAAGGAGGGCGGGCCGTCCAGCAGCTTTACCATCAACCCCTCGCACCCGCGCTCTATCGATGCACCCAGACTCGCCTCTACGGCACCGCTCCCACTCTCCTCCTCCTCCTTCACCATCAGCCCCTCGCACCCGCGCTCTGTTGCCGCGCCTAGACTCGCCTCTACGGCACCGCTCCCACTCTCCTCCTCCTCCTTCACCATCAGCCCCTCGCACCCGCGCTCTGTTGCCGCGCCTAGACTCGCCTCTACGGCACCGCTCCCACTCTCCTCCTCCTCCTTCACCATCAGCCCCTCGCACCCGCGCTCTGTTGCCGCGCCTAGACTCGCCTCTACGGCACCGCTCCCACTCTCCTCCTCCTCCTTCACCATCAGCCCCTCGCACCCGCGCTCTGTTGACGCGCCTAGGCTTGCCTCTACGGCTCTGCTCCCACTCTCCTCCTCCCTCACTGCCTCAGCCACTGCTGGTGCTTCTGCTGTTAGCGATGCCGCTGCTGCTGCCGCTGGTGCTACTGGTGCTGCTGCTGCAGCGGTTGCTGTTGGTGGAGCTTCTATCTCCAGTTCCCTCGGCTGCACTGATAAGTCCTTCTCTGCTGGGCACTGGAGTGCTGTTGCCACTGTCGCTGTTGCTGCTGCTGCTGTTGCTGCTGCTGTTGCTGCTGCTGTTGCTGCAATCTGTGCAGCACAAGCAAGCAAGTGCAGAAGGAGTGCCAAGTGTTCTGAGTTCACGGGTCATTCTCAGTCTACACACAAACAATCCCACTTCCACTCAGTTTTGCAGCGCTTCAGATCGAGACGAGCCTTGATTTGACGGGCCTCAAAACTCCCCTACCGTCCCCACCTCCATTCCTGCAGTTTGTAACATCCCATCCCATCACCCAACTTCACGATGCCTGCTACTGCATCAGCCACACACACCCACCTCTGTCTGTGCGATGATCATGAGAATTGAGCCCCCCAGGGACCTCACTGGCGGCCGCACTAAATGACCTTTGAGTCGACTCAAAAGTCATGTGCGCACGCACACCCACCTCTGTCTGTGCAACGATCATGAGCCATCCAGGGACCTCGCTGCTCACCGCACCAGATGACTTTTGAGTCGACTCAGAAGTCACCTTGCACTTGCCATCCATGCGCACACACCCACCCACCTCTGTCTGTGCAACAATCATGAGCCCTCCGGGAACCTCGCTGCTGGCCGCGCCAGGCAGTGCTGCGACCAGGGCTGCACCAGAGAGTGTGTTAGGAGAGGCGGGGGAAGGGAGGATGGAATGGAGGAGAAAGGGGACGTAGGGAGAGGGGCTGATGAGGCACCTCAAAGGTCAAAACGAGTCACGTATGCGTAGAAATTTCCAGAGAAGAAGTGTTAAGGTTGATAACATGGGAAAACAAGAACAGATTCCCGAGCGAAAAACAGGCAAACAATCAAGGAAATCAATCTAAAATGTGGAAGGAAGAAGATCCTGAAGAGAAGATGGCGAGGAGGGGTGAAGTGGACGGCTCACCCTCTCTACGCTCCCTCAGGCTCTTCTTGACAAGTCTGTGGGAGGGAGGGCCGTGAGGGGATGGCATGGAAGCAAAGCAGAGGGGCAGGTAACTGGTGTGGTTGTGGTGGTGGTGCTGGCGAGACCACTCACTAAGCACGGTGACACGCGTACGGATGCTGTGTCCGGGAAAGACTGGACTGGAGTTTGGCCTCTGGAAATGCCTTGCCACAGAAGCAGATCCAGTAGTAGAAGTGATGTCTTGAAAGTTGCAAGGCAGCATATCACAACATAAGATGCCTTGAAAGGCTGAATAGCAGAATGTAAGATGCCTTGGTGGGATGAAAAGGTGGCAATTGGTGTGTCTTACGATTGGCCGTTGAGATAGAGAATGTCAAAGACACAGACGCAGACTTGGGGACCTGGACATGAACACACGCACATGCACATGCACACACACACAGGCGTGGCAAAAGCTTACGAAGAAACTCAATGCCTGAACTATCCCTTTCGTACACAGGCTGGACTTGTGTAGAGTAGATGTGTATGGCTGAATCAAAGAGGGTGTGTGACCACATGCATGTAAGAGAGAGCCTGACCACAAATCATACCTGCCATGCTTCTGCTGCTGCAACCACTGCCCACTGCCACCACCACTTCTTCCCTTGTGCTCGCCTCTGCCTCTCCTCCAGCTCCCTGCATCGCCCTGTCTCCTTCCACCTCTCCCACCCATCCCTCCGCTGCTCCCATTCCTCCCTCCTCTGTCCCCGTACCCGTCACCTCCCTCCCATGCCCCTCCATTGTCAAATCCCCCCTCTCTCCTCGACCCATTTGCGCTAAACTGCTGATATCTCCCTCCTTCTCGTCCGTCTCCTCCCTCTCGTCCCGCTTGCTCCCACCTGCCTTCGTTGCTCCATACGGAATGCTCGAAATCACCTTACGCTGCCCCTTGCTTGTCCTCCCTGGTTCCTCCTTACTGCTCTCCACTCTTTCCTTGCTGCCTCTCTCTCGGCGTGACAGCACTTGGAAGGGCAGCAGCTTGTGGAAGCCCTGGGGAGTAGTTTCGTGTGACACTGGCACGATCTGGTGCCCACCACACATGCCGACACACATGCACACGCACACTCATACACTCGCTCACACACAAATGCGCGCGCGTGCGTGCACACACACAGACAAAGCACACGAAAAAACATAGATCAGGACAAATGAAACAGGCAGGTGAGATGCCAGTTTCAGAATCTTGGAACTCAATTGCTGATTGAAGCTGGATCCACGTGGCTTGCTCTTTGAGGCGCCTCAATAATTGTCTCACTTGTCACCAAGTGGCATGCTTGCATGCATACAAGGTAGAGTTTTTGAAACGTCCCAGATCTTGAGACGTCTCAAGATCTGGGACGTCTGTGCTTGTTCTCTCAAAGCTGCATACAAGGTGGGAATGCAAAGGGCCCATCTGTGCTTGTTGGCTGGACAAGAGAATCAGCACAGGAGCAGAGCCTAATAACAATAGAGTGACAAAGGATGCTCACTCACCTCGGCATCAAGGATGGCAGAGCAAACAGAGGAGTGCAGCGCTGACTGCACGGCAGCTATGGCATCTGGGAACATGGCTGTGCACTCCTGACTGCTGCGAGAAAAGAGCCGCACTGAAGCCGCTGCTGCTGCTGATGATGCCACTGATGCTGCTGCTGGTGCTGCTGGTGATGGTGCTGATGCTGGTGATGCTGCTGATGGTGCTAATGATGGTGTTGACGGTGCTGCTGATGGTGCTGGTGCTGGTGATGCTGCTGGTGCTGGTGATGGTAATGCGTCTGGTGCAGCTGATAGTGCTACTGGCGATGCGAATGCGGATGCACTTTCCACAGCTGAGTCGCAAATTTTGCCACTTGCTGCGGATGGAAATGGTATCAGTGCTGATGATGTAGACTTCTGAGGCGCCTTAAAGGTGGATGGTAGTGGTATCAGTGCTGATAAAGTAGAGCCGACAGAGCACACATGTACCTGCGCACGCTGACCATCATACCTGGAGGGCAGGGCAGGGACAGGCGCGTAGAGAGTATTGATAGCGGTATGTGTTTATGCACGAGCACGCACACACAGGAAGGAAGCTCTGCGACGTCTCAAAACCTCATACCTTCCACCGCTGATGGAAGAAAATGATACTCGTGACTTAGGCCTCATACTAAAAGTCCTAAGTCCCTTACTTTAAAATCACTGAGGCAATAAATGTCACATCACATTACCTACCTCCACTGCACACACACATCTCATTGACATTAGGTGACAAGCTGAGAACAACAGGCCTTACTTGAACTCACACGCGAATGCGTGGCCTTGAAACTTTGAGAGCACATGTGCAGGACCAGTGGAAACCCTGGGGGATGCATGGGGTGCAGAGAGAGGTGAGAATGGTTGACGGATGATGCGAATGGTGAGAATGGTGAGAATGAGGGACGTTAGTCGCGTCGACTCATAATACACCTGCAACCAGGAATGCACACGACTGGAATAATGACGGCCCCAGGGGCCGGGGTAATGCAAGGGGTAGGGAAATTCAAAAGGCGTTGACAAATGAGAGGGCAGGGCAAGGGATGGATGGGTGAGTGGGAGAGCAGTGCGTATGCAAGTACACTTGGTCAGTAGTATTAGCTTTATCCCTCGAATCACCTGGCCGGCATGGGCTTTAAAGAACGACTCACTTGGCAAGCATGGGCTTGAAAGGGGTCCCTGGGGAGACGAGGTCGCCGGAAGCCACAGCTTGCAGCAGGAACGCCAGGCCACCACCCAACATGGGCGATGGGGGGGCGGTGGCAGGAGTGGCACTAGAAGCTGCAGCTTCAGTGGTATTAGCTTTATCCTTTGACTCACCTGGGCGGCATGGGCTTTGAAAAACGACTCACTTGGCCAGCATGGGCTTGAAAGAGGTCCCTAGGGAGACGAGGCCGCCAGAAGCCACAGCCTCGTTTTTGAGTCGACTCAGAACATGAAAACGACTCACATGGCTCGCATGGGCTTGAAAGTTGTAGTCCTTGTGAGTGATTTTTGAGAGTTCTCAAAAGTCACTCACGAGGTCGCCAGAAGCTACAGCCTTGCTCTGAGTCGACTCAGAACATGAAAGAGACTCACTTGGCTAGCATGGGCTTGAAAGGGGTCCCTGGGGAGACGAGGCCGCCGGAAGCCACAGCTTGCAGCAGGAACGCCAGGCCAGCACCCAGCATGGGCGATGGGGGGGCGGTGGCAGGAGTGGCACTAGAAGCTGCGGCTTCAGTGGTAGTGGTAATAGTAGTAGTTGTTGTGGTAGTAGTGGCCACGGAAGCAGGTGTGGGAATGGGTTCGGTGGGGTGCGAGGGGGATGGCGTGCACGTGTTGAGGAGGAGGAGGGAGCCCTTGTGAGGTGGTGGTTCTCGTCTGAGGATCAAGGGCACCAGCAGCTCCTGTTGCGCGGGCAGGTTTAGAGGGGTGCAACACGGTGGTGGGGCAGAGCGGTACGAGGGAGTGGGGAGGAATGAGACACGATGCTGTTTTTGAGGGTGCTCACGAATGCAACAGCGGCAGAGGCAGGAGCAGGAACGGGCAGGGGCAGGGGCAGGGGCAGGGGCAGGGGCAGGGGCAGGGGCAGGGGCAGGGGCAGGGGCAGGGGCAGGGGCAGGGGCAGGGGCAGGGGCAGGGGCAGGGGCAGGGGCAGGGGCAGGGGCAGGGGCAGGGGCAGGGGCAGGGGCAGGGGCAGGGGCAGGGGCAGGGGCAGGGGCAGGGGCAGGGGCAGGGGCAGGGGCAGGGGCAGGTGTTGGTGTTAGCCCTCAATCTCACAATTTGTACTTGTACTTTTATATCCTAGTTTAGTTTAGTGTAGTTTGCACTTTGTGTTTGGTTGGGTGTACACCCACATCCCAACCAAACCCAAATGTAATCTCCAAGCAATCTCCAACCCACCAATTGGAGCTTGCCTTGGGATTACCCTTGATTCCCTAGGATTGCCCCCTGATTCCCTCCTCATCCATACCTTGCTCATTCCTGATGTACTTAAAGAGCTTTGAGCTCACTACTAATGCATCAGTTCTAAGCCTAAGTTCTGACAGCAGGGGCAGGGGCAGGGACAGGAGCAGGGGCAGGGGCAGGAACAGCGGTAGAAGGACGACCGACAGAATACATACATATGTTGAGGACTATGGGATACAAAGGATGGGCAACCGAGCATGGGACTCACAAGGTTGGGCAGAAAGTTGAAGGCCTCGGAAAGAGCAGAAGAAGCTTCCTGCGTGGCAAAGAAACACAAGGGCTGACAGGCTTTACACAGTTGCAACAGCACGCAGCGCAGGACACGGGGGCTACGAGAGAAGTTGGTGCGAGGTACAGAACAGAACAGAGGAGAGCAGAACACACCAGAGTGCACCAGAGTGCACTCCAAGCTCACGGTCCACCTCCCACAGTCCAGAGCCCACAGTCGAGAGCACAGCACCCCGCACCCAGCACCCAGCATTTAGCACCCACCTGAATGGTGGGTCGAAGGAGCTTGAGCTGGGCGGGTGGGACGGCAGAGCGTGGCGAGGCATGGTGGAGCACCACCGCTGCTGCCAGCGCTGGCAGCACCGTTCTCATCATGGCTCCCAGCCGCATGTTGCGCACCTGAACGCATGGGGGTGTGTGAAGGCAGACAAAAGGCGGAAAGAAGCTCTTGAAGAAGAGAGAGATTGCACCCCATTGAGTGTGGCATGGGCAGGGCAGCAGTTTTGAGTTTTGAGGCGTCTCAAAACAAGAAAACGAGAAGAGAGCCGGTACAGGAATAAGAGGGATGGTCAAAGAGCGTATAGGCAGCAGCAGCAGCATGACCCATCTGGTACCAGAGACAACTCAAATCAACATTCAAGACTTGTTTTGAGTTGACTCAAAACACGACCCATGTGGTACCGGAGACAGCTCAAATCCAACTTCCAAGAGCCCATCTTTAAAGCATCTTCCTCTCCAGCGTCGTTGACTCCTCCTGACTACTTCAGGGATCTCCTCCTGACAGAGACCCAGCATGAATTTGGACTCTGCTGCCAGCAACATTCCTCACCACCACGTTGAATTCAGAGGCTCGCGACATATCAGCAACAGTTTCTCACCAGCGTGCGGACGACGTATTTGATCTCCACGCCCCGGCATGCTCGCAGCAGGGAGACTATAAGGGCCTTTCTGCGCGCTCCGCTGCCCTGCCCTGCCTCGCAGCTGTAGGGGTGCGAGGGAGGAGAACAGGCCACAATGGTGATGTGGCAATGGGTGCAGTCGGGCTGACTGCACAGCCAATCAGGAACACATGCGGTTGTGTTGTAATTTGAGACGCCTCAAAATTCTGTATTTTGAGTGGACTCAAAATGGGAGAACAGGCCACAATGGTGATGTGATAATGGGTGCAGTGCCGTCAGGCTGACTGCACAGCCAAGCAGGAACACATGCGGCAGGGTGTTTTCGAGAATTCTCATAAACACATGCGGTTGTGTTGTCAGTGATAGCGTGAGGGGAATGGTTGGTGGCGTGGGGAACCACAGCGATGGTGACGGTGATGGCAGTGGCAATGGCGATGGCATCGCGTGAGGTGGTGACTTGAATTGACCACCAAACGCCCCATTGGTACATGCTTGGTTGTTTGGTTGACAGAGAGTGGTCAGGCGTGTCACATATGAGTTGCCTACTTTAACTTGTACTTCATCCTATGAAAGAGGTAGGAAACAAAGCAGAGATGCAGCAGGGAGGGAAGGGACATCCCACCGGCGAGAGCATGGGGTACAAGACCCTTGGAGCGAGAGTAGGGAAGAGGAGAAGTTCACCTGAGGGAGCGCAGAGTTTGAAAGAGGCGGTGGATCGTGAGGGGCAGGGGGGCACGCGGCACGCAGCAAGCTTAAGAACCAAGGGCAGCAGGCAAGAGCTCGCCAAACGGCACAGAAGAGCAGGGAAGGAGGGAGTTTACCTGAGGGAGCGCAGAGCGTGGAAGAGGCGGTGGATGGTAAGGGGCTGGGGGGCTCGCAGCAAACGCTGCGAGGAGCGACATGCATGGGCCACATCGCCTGGGTGGGATGGAGGAGGGAGGGGAGAAGTGGGTATGGTGCAAATTTCAGTTGTGGAAGGATTGTGATACTGGATGGCAATGTGGATGGGATGGGTTGGGATGGGATGGGATGGGATGGGATGGGATGGGATGGGATGGGATGGGATGGGATGGGATGGGATGGGATGGGATGGGATGGGATGAGATGGGATGGGATGGGATGGGATGAGATGGGATGGGATGGGATGGGATGGGATGAGATGGGATGGGATGGGATGGGATGAGATGGGATGGGATGGGACGGGGTGCCGGTGGTGCTGTGAAAAAGAGGTATTATCAAAGGTGCATAGTGGTCAAGAAAGGAAAACACCAAGAACAAAGATTGAAGTAGAATGTACCCAGGTCGCCCATGCGTGTGTACATGAGTCGCAGCTGCTGCCTTTTGAGTCGACTCAAAAGTCAAGGACAACACCAAGAACAAGAACCAAGAATGAAGAAGAACGTACCAAGGTCGCCCATGCGTGTGTACATGAGTCGCAGCTGCTGCCTCTTCACGCCTGTTGCTTCACACACTGCACCAGCCACAGTGCCCCCACCCACATTAAGGTCCTGTTGGGGGATTTGGGAGAGGGGAGAAGGGGAAAGGGGAGCATAAGATGAAAAAAGAAGATCATCACAAATGAGCAAGGTGAGCAAGAGACATTCAGGTTGCACCCCTCACGCCACACACCTCATATCCCGTTTTGAGTCGACTAGAGAAATCAACACGCTCACATAAAACATTAAAAAATTCACGTGAAGCATGTTGCAGCAAGGCTCATCAGCACTCTCTGGCTTATTCTCATTACAAACCTCTTAACTTGTTCCGCTAATCTAATCGCATCCTCATAGTACTTCATCGTTACAGATTGTATGTATCTGCATGTAACACACACCTGTAATGGACTGGACGATCAAGTGTTTGATAAAAGGCATGCATAGTGCCTAGAACTAAGCATGCATATGTGTTCCATTGCAATGACGCATTAGGGTAATACTCACACAGCAGGCAAATGAACGAATGAGCAAATGAGTGGGCTCACAGCATCGACAAAGTCGGGGGCGATGCGATTGGTGCAGAGGTAGACAGCTGGCAGCAGGTCATTGGGCGAGAGTGCCAAGAGGCTGGTTGCCAAGAGAAAGAACGGGAGAGGCGGCATGGATGCAAGGATGGATGGAAGGATGGATGGAAGGATGGTTGGACTTAATGGGACAGGGCATGGTGGGCATAGTGCAATGCAATGGTGCGAGCAAGGGATTTTCATATGGCCTGGACAGGCAAGAGGGATGGCAGGGCTTGTACCTTCTGAAAGTGTTGGTGAGAATGTCGGATGTCTTGATGTGCCCATTCTCCCTCTCCACTGCATCAAAGGCCAATGCCAGATGCATGTATAGTAGATCCCAGGGGTCCTCACTCAGGACTCTTTCTTTCCCACGAGTGAGGAGCCTGGGCTGGGACCTCACATGCAAGAGGGACGGCAGCGCATGTACCTTCTGAAAGTGTTGGTGAGAATGTCGGATGTCTTGATGCGGCCACTCTCCCTCTCCACTGCATCAAACGCCACTGCCAGATGCATGTATGGTGCTGCTGCTCCTGATTCCCACCCCGCTGTTGAGCACCGGACGCATGGCATGGCGTGGAATGGTGTGAAGTGGGTGTGGTATGGCATGGAATGGGATGCATGGCATGGGATGGGATGGCATGGCATGGCATGGCATGGCATGGCATGGAATGGCTGGCTTGGCAAGGTGATGATGTGGTATGTTACGTGTTGGCATGGAAGGACAAGGGGATCGAGTGGTATGTATATATATCGTGCTTGTGCAAGCACGCCAGACGTTCCGCAGAGATTAAGGCCCAAACACAAATATACATGCGCGCATACACACACAAGCACACCACGCAGCCCACAGCACACAGGGTAAGAGTCCACGGACCATGTGCGACGGGATCAAACGCTGCAATACCGAGTGCCACTGGTGGCACTGCGCCCTTGCCACTGGATGCTGCTGCTGCTGGCACTGCTGACTTCACTGGCGCTGCTGCTGCTGCCTCTGCTGCCGTTGCTGCTGCTGCTGCTGCTGCTTCTACTTCTACTGCTGCGGCTGCTGCTGCTTCTGCTGAGGCTGCTGTACACTTAACACCCTCCGTCCTTGCCAGCTTGCTTGCTACACTACCCTCCACACCCTCCCTGTCTCCTTTCCTCGTCTCCGCCCTCTCCCCCTCCGTTTCTCGTCTTCCTTCCACCCCACAAGAAACCCCACTTCGATCCTGCTCTCCTTCCCCTTCATCTCGCCTTCCCTCCTCTTCCAAACGCCTTCTATCCTCTCTTCCCTCCCCCATGACTCTCTCTCCCTCTCCTCCCTCTCCCTCACCTCCCGTCCAATCTCCCTCTCTTCCCTCTCCCTCTCCCTCTCCTGCTCCTCTTTCTCCCGCTCCTCCCTCGTCTCTTCCCACTCCACCCCCTGCTCCTCCCCCTCCCACGTCAGCTGCCCCTCCCCCTCCCCCGTCCGCTGCACCTCCCCCCGCGCCCTCCACATGCATCAAGAAGGCATCTACCGCTCTCCCCACATCCCCCCCATGCGCCTTCAGCAACCTCACCGCCACTGCAGCCGTCAGCCCTGGCAGGCCCACCGCCACCATCCTCTGCACCGCACTGCACCCCCCCGCACCCAGGGACACCGGAGCAGCAGCACGAATGTCCGAAGAGGGGTGAGCGGATGATCTGGCAGCTCGCGTGGTGAGTAAAGCAGGAGACGAGAATGAAGGGTTGGCAGCAGCAGCAGCAGCAGCAGCACTGTGTGGTTGCCACCTGCACCGCACTGCACTCCTCTGCTGGCCGAACCAATTCCACTGCGTCAGCTTGGCTGGGTAAACTTCTGGCTGATGCTGATGAGCCAAAGAAGTGCTTTATACTCCGCTGCGTGCCTCCTTGCCTTGTCACCACACTCCCCCCTCCTCTCTGCTGCTTACCCCCTGCCTTCCTTCCTGCCTCCACCCGGGGACTTGACCGTGCTCCTGCTCCTGCTGCTCCCCCTTTCTGCCCCTGCACACGCTTGCCTTGCTTGGCCTGACTGCCTGCTTTACGAAGCCCCTTTTCGGCGCCGTCGCTGCGTTGTGAAACACTGCTGCCAGGAGCCACAGTGCTGCTGCTAGTCCTTGCGTTGCCATTGTTCCCATTGTTGCCATTGTTACCATTGTTGCCATTGTTACCATTGTTGCCATTGTTACCATTGTTGCCATTGTTACCATTGTTACCATTGTTGCCATTGTTACCATTGTTGCCATTGTTACCATTGTTATCATTGTTACCATTGTTACCATTGATACCATTGTTACCATTGTTACCATTGTTACCATTGTTACCTTTGTTGCCATTGTTACCATTGTTACCATTGTTGCCATTGTTACCATTGTTGCCATTGTTACCATTGTTGCCATTGTTACCATTGTTACCATTGTTACCATTGTTACCATTGATACCATTGTTACCATTGTTAGCATTGTTACCATTGTTACCTTTGTTGCCATTGTTACCATTGTTACCATTGTTACCATTGTTACAATTGTTACCATTGTTACCATTGTTACCATTGTTACCGGCCTTTGTTGTCACTAACACGCACAGCAGCACCACACGGTTCCAACCGCTGCCGCTTCGCGGCTGGTAACAACCCGTCAGAAGCCGCCACGTCATCGTGCAACTGTGCCACGTCAGCAGCACCTGCCCGATCTAAATCCTCTCCACACGCTCCACCCTCACCACCACACGCGCCCCCCCCAACCCCCTCTTCTTCCATTCTCTCCTCCTCCCCCTCAACACACCCATCGCCAGTACCTCTTTCCGAAAATAACATCCCCTCTCCTTCTCCCCTTCCCCCCTCACCCTCCTCGTCATCCCCCTCCGCTCCCTTCTCTTCTTTCTCCGCCACTCCCTTCTCCTCCCAACCTGACTCAACCATACACCATCCCAAACCCTCACCTCCTCCTCCCCCCTCCTCTCCCTCCCCAACACCCCCACTCCCCCTCTCCACCTCTCCCTCACCCTCCCCCGCCACAACCCAGCCCCCTCGCCTCTCTCTCCGCCTTCCAAACCCCGCCAGAAACCGCTGCTTGCATGCTGACTCATCCACCAAACCTCTCAGATGATGCAGCTGATTTGTACTGGGGCGTGCTGTCTCACCCGTGTTGACGGTGGGGATGATGCGGCGGGGGCGCAGGAAGGAGAGGAAGGAGCGAAGCTCAGGGAAGCTGCAGTGCTCACTGTACGGCACCAGGTGAATCTCCAGCTCCATGCGCATGCCCCTGCTGCTGCTCCTACTGCTCCTGCTGCTGATCCCTTCACCCATGCTTTTGGCTTTGTCCCCCATGCCCCTGCCCCCTTCTCCCATGCCCATACCGCTCATACTCACACTCTTTTCTAACGACTCCCTCCCTCCCCTCCCCGTGTCCACGCCCACACCTACTTCCGCCACATTCACCCGCGCCTCCTCTCCTCCCACTCCCATCCCCGCATCCTCTCCCCCCACACCCATCTCCCCTTCCTCTCCCCCAATCACCACACTCCTCCGCCGCACCGGAAACCCCTCGCGCTTCATCTCATACATCCATCCAGTCGGCACCACCCCCACCACCCTCCCGCACCCCCTTTCCCTCCCCAGCCTCTCCATATTCCGCCAATTCGGCCGGAAGAACGGCCACACGTCCCCCAACACCCCCCACCGCACCACATGCACTGGGCTAGCAGCAGGATCCGTGGCGAAAACAGCGAGTTCTGCTGGGGTTAGGTCGAGGGAGGAGAGAGTGCTGAGCTTGGCTGGGTCGACTACGATGCGGGTGTGGCAGTGGGAGGCTATGGAGAGGAGGAGCTTTTCTTTGCCTATCACGTAGGTGGATACGAGGACCAGCACTCGGTCGTTGCTTTGTGGCTTGCGCTGCTGCTCCTCTGCTGACGATGCTGCTGCTGCTGCCGCTGGTGCTGGTGCTGCCACTCCTGATGCTGCTGCTGCCGTTGCCGCTCTGACTCCTCTCCCTTGTGAGACATCCATGGAATCAACACCCTGCTCTGTGCCTACTGCTTTCCCTGTATCCCCCTCTACTGTCTCTGCTGTCTCAGCTGCCTCAGCTGCTCTCGAGGTCCCACTCACCTCGCCACATCCCCTTTGCCTGTCGTCCCCTGCCTCGCCCTCTGCCTCATCCTCCCCATGACTCTTTCCATCCCTCTTTTCCTCGCCATACCCTCCCTCCATCCCTTCCCTTCCCTCTACCCCAACCCCCACAACCTTCCCTTCCTCCTCTCCCCCCTTTAAACCACTTCCCAGGCCCTCACCTCCTGCTCCTCCAACCTCTCCTCCTCCTCTTACCTTACTCCCCTCCCCCTCCTTCCCCCCCTTCCCCAGCACTATCCGCACCATCTGCGCCACATACTGCACCGCGTCGCTCTGGGGGGGGAACACGTGGCGCGGGTGGCAGTAGGTGGTGTCCAGATACACTGCATCTGCGCCCACCATCGCCTGCATCACAGGGTCCTGCAGCATGCAAGGGCTCAGCCGAAAATCCCCTGTGTGCACTACCCTCCGCCACTTCACTTCCCCCCGCTCCCCCCGCTCCCCTGATCCCGCCTCCCCTTTCCCTTTCCCCCCTCGCGCATCGCCTTCCACCCTCTCCCCCATCTCCCCTTTTGCACTATCTCTGGACTTTTGCCTGCCTTCCGCCAGAAATTCCCCCTGCCCTCTCCCCCCCTGCTCCCCCGCCCCCGCCCGCTCCTCCTCGGTGCTTCCCCCCACATTCCTCCCTGCAGGCGGAATGCGGAACAGCAGCATGACAGCCCCCGGGCAGTGGTGCGCGTCCCGCAGAACCACGCGCGCGCCATCCACCGCCACGGGCGCGCGCAGGGGGAGCGCGCGCACCCACGCGGGTGGAATCCCGAGCACCGCGGAAAGTAGGCGCGCAGTGACGGGGGAGCAGAAAATCACACCCGCGCGCCAACTGGGGGAAAGTCCGCAATAGTGGTCCGCGTGGAAGTGCGTGAGCCAATAGCAGCGCGACCACGGCCCCGCGTGACGGAACCCGTCCACAATAAAGCGTGTCCCGATAATACGTTTGTGAGCGGGGAAATTCCTGGGAAATGGCTCGAGCGCGTCAGTCTCAGTGAGGTGATCCGTCGCGCTAATACCGAGGCTGCTTCTGGCGAGCTCGAACTCTCGAGTGCTACAGTACTTGGGAATGTCTTCTTGAGCGCCGGCCATTGGTGCGCTAGCGTGTTAGGGTCTGTTCCTGGGAAGTGTCGGGCTTTCCAACATGAAGCTTTTCAACCAGAGAATATTGACGCATGTGCAGCAGCGACGCCGTGTTGCAATCACGGCGTCAATAGCTCTGGCACGGGGGAGCTTAGTACGGGTATACTAGTAATGAAGCTCCTAATGTAAAAATACGGTATGTGTTGAGCGTGAAGGTATGACTGCCACGGTAGTGCGGCTTCCTCCTGACGCTTTTCTTGCCTTCGTTACAAACTGCTGCACTGCCAGCAGCACATCAGTAGCATCGGCGTCTTTTAGAGCAAAAATAAAACAGGTGACACCAAAACACATACACGTGGGCGGACTAACCTTAATGCAATGTAAGCATTCACGCACTCATCCACGATTTGGTTTTTTTAAGAAAAATAATCATGCTTGTGATGTACTCTTTGCTAACGCTAGTCTTATTGCACAACCTTTATGTGAATATTCATACTTTCTGCTTTCTCCATGGATATCCTTCTCATTAATATCTGTCGTGAAACAGCTACAAATGAGTTTCGTGGCCCCAAACGCCTTGCGAAAGCGGGAGGAGGGTCGCTGTGCTGCAACGCGCGAGCGAAGCCCTCGTGACTTCATGTAACCCGAGCCCAGAACTCCTCGCAGCAGACCTTTCTTGCAGAACTAAATCGCTGTCAAGCTTCCCTAGATTCTTCCACTGCTCAGTCTCACCGACTGGTCATTCCAACGGACAGCTTTCACGTGTCCCTACAGCACCAGCGACTCAACTTATGCGTCGTTCTCTCTCCTGTCAACGTCGGGTCAACATAGTTCCTTTCGACAGACAGCAAGGATGGATGACATGCACCGTGACACTCGAATGCTACTCCCGTCACCAGTCTCGGCCCTGGCCGTCCCCTGCGTTCCGCTACCCCACCGCATGAGCCGCTCACTCTCGTTTCAACGCCCGCGATTCGTTTTTCCCCATATGAGGTCATACGTTGCCCAGCAGCTGCGCCGCGCCTGCCGCGCGCGCGGGTCGGGCCGTTGCCAAGCCTATTTATAGGCCGCCTCCCGCCTTTCGTTCCGTAGTTCCCCGACAACGAGCCTTTTCCGCACTCTCTCATATCTGAAGAACTTATTTACCCATCACACGTCATCACGAGTTAAGCTCTTAAGCCTCCAGTCTCGTCGCTCGTCATGGCTTTCGTGCGTTTCCTAGTCATTCTGCTTTCCGCCTCCGCCGCGCTCTCTTCCATACCTTCCGCGCACGCGCAGCCCTTGTGTCCGCGCCCGCCCACGGTGGCGCAAGTGAACCTCTCCGCGTACGCGGGGCGGTGGTTCGAGATCGGCACGAGCGCGCGCTTCAAGCTGCAGCGGGAAAACGGCCTCGTGTGCAACCAGGCGCGCTACACGTTCAGCGCGGGGAGCGCGGGAAGCGGGGGGAGCGGGGTGAGCGCGGGTGGCGCGGATGCGGGGACGAGCGGCGTCAGTATCAGGGTGGAGAATTCAGGGCGACTTGTGGCGTCGCCTGCTGTGCTGCAAAGCATGGGCAGCGTCGCTGGAAATAGCCGTGACGCGTGCATGTGAGTGAGAGACAAAAGAGGGAGGGCGGGGAAGTGGGGGAGAAACGAAAAGAGAGGAAAAGCGTGTAGGGGATGAGAGAGGGGCTTGAGGACTAGGGAGGTTGGGGAAGGCTTAGTGAGTCAGCAATAATCGTAGGTGAGCATCTGCATATAGGTTGTGAGATGAGCTTGCTGTGGCACTATAATGAGGACCTACCTCCGTTCAACCCTACAGCCCGCCCCAGCCCAACATTCTCCATTGAGTCATTTATCACCTGCATTCCAGGATGTATTCTTTTGCCTTCTCGTTTCACTGCCATTGACTCTGTCTCGCTTGTCTCTCTCCTCTTTCCCCCTTCTCCATTTCCTTCCTCGTCTTCCTATACCACTCTATTCACAGCGCCCTAGCAAACGTGTCCTCTGCTGCGGCCTCTGCTCTGGAGCTGCTGCAGTCACAGCCACAAGCTGCGGTTGCCTGCTCACAGGTATGCAAACTGCAGGGGTGCCGTTTCTGCTGCTGCTGCTGCTGCTGCTGCTTTGTCATGCTGTGCTTGCCATCGGTTTCTCATCCTCTCCCTTTCGCTGGTATCCACCCTCCTCTCCATCCACCCACAGGCCAACATCACAAACGAGTTTCTCAATATCGAGGCGTCAGCTCGCAGCATCTCCGCATCCGTCGTCGCCATAGCCACCCTCGCAACACGCATCTCGCAGCTCGACTTCCACAACGCGTCGCTCAACCTCCTCTCCAACCAGCTGCTCCTGCACGCATCCGCGTCCGCGGACAAGGCCAGCCAGATTGCATCCGCAGCAGCGACTATTCAGAACGCTAGCGCAAACTGCGACAGCTCTGTATCATCAGCAGCAGCGAGTATTCTCACATATGCGAATTCTCTTCGGGACGCGTTGAACCGGGTGGGTTCAGCAGTGGCTCCGTTCGCTGGTTCCGACATTCTCTCCATTTCCTTGGCTTCCGTCGCCAGCGTTCCTCTTCCCTTCGGCGGGATCCCAACCTTGGTGTTCGGCCAGGCTGTCCCCAGTACTGACGACCCCGCTAAGCTCACAGTCACCTTCGATCTCTTCCCGTCTACAACTACCGAGCCCAACTACTGGATTCTCGCGCTGGATGGGAGCGAGGCGGAAGGTTATTCCGCCGCGCTGGTGTTCTCATGCACGGAACCCCAGGGTTCGGATCCGACGCCTCGCGTGGACGTTTGGGTGATCTCTAGGTCTCCTGATATGCCCGAAGACGAATTGCAGGAGTTACTGGGGGTTTTGTCTGGGTACGGAGTGGGCCTAGGCTGCGATAACCCGTTTGTGCGCACCGTGCAGGACCGTGCTAGGTGCGGCTACTGACATTAGGTACGGTTCTACCACTACTACGGTAGGTAGTTTTCTGGTTACTAGTCTTGGGACTGTTTGGTGAGAAGCTCTATGCACCACTTCATGACTTACGGTAGCACAAGGCGCGGCGGGTGCGGCGGTGTCCTTCGCTTGCAGCTGGCAAGAGATCACACAAGAGATCACACAAGAGATCACTCAAGAGATCACACAAGAGATCACACAAGAGATCACTCAAGAGATCACACAAGAGATCACACAAGAGATCACTTTCTGTTGAGTGGTAGAGTGTGGCTTTCTCACATCCACAGTCCACCAGTTGTAGACCCCTAATTGCATAGATCTACTGTAAAACCAATGACTCAAGGCTTGTTACTCAAAAGATCTACCGTACCTAGTTTAACAGATCAGGTCTGGACTACTTAAGGCACTCCAGAAAAGAAGTAGCAGGGATATTCCCAATCAAGAAAAGAAGCAGCAGGGGGCATATTCCCAATCAAGAAAAGAAGCAGCAGGGCGCATATTCCCAATCAACTTCAGCAAGACATTATTTACTGTCATAGTATGTACAAAGCGTAGGTACCGGTACCTAGATTAGCATGGTTAGACACAACACAACTTGGTAGATTAAATAGATCAACACGTTGTTTTGGTTGGCGATAGTACCGTAATCTCATGTCAATTACACACAGCGCACCTGTCTTGTTGGAGACATACGGGAACATACTCATCAGTGGACATCTGCAGTAGACAGAAAGGAGAGGATGCCAGGAAGCGGTGTGCATGATGAAAGGCGAGGGCAATTGAGCTGGGCACGACACACGCCCACACAAACCTATTTTGATCTCCACACACATGCTCACACGCACACACTTGCACACGCACACACGCAAGCACATACCCCCCTCCCCCTCCTCACTATCCCCTTTCTTCAGAAACAAACCTGGAATGTAAATGGCAGGGCTGTGATAGTTTGTGTGTGGTGCATCTAGCTGTGCTCTCAATGCATCACTTACGGTAGAAGTCCACCCCTATGTATAACATGGCACTAGTAGTGGGAGTTTGATGGCAGGGGTAGTGTGCATGTGTGGTGCATTGAGCCGTGCTTTAGATGCACCACTTATAGGATTCACTACTAGTTCTATGCTGCACCCTGCCTGCCCTATTCACCCACTTTCGAGGTGCCTCAACACTCACCAACACATGCATCGCCGTGTTGTACATAGGGGTGTATGCAGGAGCACTGCGCATGGCCTTGCAGGACCACACATGCCGCATTGGCACCGCACTGCACCGCGTCGCATGACGCTGCTGGGGGGTGGTGGGGGTGGAGAGTGCAGGGTTGCGGAAGGAGATGGCAACGCAATTATGGACAGTTATGCACAGTAACATAGAGATATGCCAGCGTGCACACACGCGGCCTCTATTGCACCCTCTGGTGCGAGTCTCCATGCAGGAAGGCAACGACACACGCACACATGCACGAGCACATATAACTCACTTGCATCCTCTGGTGTGCGTCTGCGTGCAACAGGGCGAGCACACGTGAAGGCCCGGCGGGTGAGGTGAATGCACACAGTGTTGGCTGGACACAGCTTGCAGCGGTCTGCAAAAGAGGCCAGCGGGGAGAGGGGGACAGGGGTAGTGGGAAGGGAGTTGTGCTTTAGCTGACTCTAAAAATCACATGTGAAGGCCCGGGGTGTTAGGTGAATGTACAGAGTGTTGGATGGACATAGCTGCAGTCGCCTGTGGAAGGAGAAGCAGGAAGGGCGAGAGGGGAGGATGGGATGAGAGTGAGGGACGGGGGAGAGGGTGAGTGAGGATAGAGCGGGGGAGGGGAGCGAGGAGAGAGAGAACAGTTTGAAAAGAGAGGGGAGGATTGCGGAGACGAGGCAACAGTATAGAAGGCGATGGCACGGCACGACATGAGAAGGAATGGCATGGCATAGCATGGGCATGGGCAGTGCATGCATGACAAGAAATATGGCACAGCAGCATGGGTGAAAGGGTCCCACCCACCTATGCACGCCCTCTTCTTCTGGTAGAACCCCGCCCAGCACACACAGCGCGTGTAGAAAGTCTAATTTCGAGTCGACTCAAAACACACTTGCATAAGCTGAAAAGGTCCCACCCACCTATGCACGCTCTCTTCTTTTGGTAGAACCCTGCCCAGCACACACACTGCACACTCCTTCCCACCACGTGGCAATCGCTGTACACCGGACACTTGGTCACCGTGCAGGGGTCTGGAGAGGGAGAAGAGGAGGGAGAGAGCGGAAGAGAAAGAACACTGTAGACTAGACGTTTGTTCCCCGTGCAGGATTCTTCACAAGAGTGAAGTTACGGTCACTTCCCAGCCCAGCACACGCAGCGCACTCTACTTTTGAGGCACCTCAAAAGCAGAATTCTTCACAAGAGTGAAGGTGCGGTGACTGCTCTGCCCAGCACACGCACTGCACACTCCTCCCCACCACCCGGCAGTGGTTATGAACCATGATGCATGGTCACACCTGGTCACCATGCAGGGGTCTGGGGAAGGGGAGAGAGGGGGACGGAAAGGGGAGGCAGGGAAGAGAAGGCGAGGGAGGGAAGGGATGGGGAGGCAGGGAAGGGAAGGGAAGGGAAGGGAAGGGAAGGGAAGGGAAGGGAAGGGAAGGGAAGGGAAGGGAAGGGAAGGCAAGGCAAGGGAAGGGAAGGGAAGGGAAGGGAAGGGAAGGGCCGCTATAGACAGAACACCAGGTCACAGTCAGGTGAGCGAAAGCATTATGCACTGGACACTTGCTCACCGTGCAGGGGTCTGGGAAAGGGGAGAGAGGGAAGGCAGCGCAAGGGAACGCAGGGAAGGGAAGGGAACGGTCGCTATACACAGGGAGGGTTCGGACAAGAAAGTCATCTATCGTCAAAATCACACGTGCCCTGCTTCACACACACAAGCACGTGTCCTAATATGGGCTCAGCCCCGCACGTGCGGTTGGCTGTGAGGAATGGCCGCTCACACACGACTTGGCCGTGCCTCCCAGCAGGCAACACAACACAAGGCCTTCCCCGCACACTGCATGCACGCACACAATCAGGCTCGACTCCACTCACCCACGCACGAGCGGTTGGCTGTGAGGAACGGCCGCACACACACGCACTTGGCAGTGCCTCCCAGCGAGCGGCACCTAGCGTTCCCCGAACACTGCACGCGCGCACACACATGCTCCTGCTTCACAACACACGGACAAGTCTCAAAGGCCAGCACTCACTCACCCACACACGTGTGGTTGGCTGTGAGGAACGGCCTCTCACACGCGCACTTGCTGTGCTTTCCAATGGGCAACACAACACAAGGCCTTTATCACACACTGCATGTGCGCATGCACACACTTATGCGCTCTCCTGCTCCACACAAGCTCGATCGACTCACCCACGCATGTGCGGTTGGCTGTGAGGAACGGCCGCTCACACACGCACTTGGCAGTGCCTCCCAATGCACGGCACTTGGCCTTCCCCGCACACTGCATGTGCGCACACACGTTCTGGAACGGAGGTTGGCTGGGTACAGGGGGATGGCTACGGGACGGTGGGCGTGATCGGGAGGGTGGTGAGCGGCGGGGGGGGGAGTGTGTTTGGGGGAGGGCGGAGGTTTGGGGGATGGGGAAGGTTTGGGGGAGGGGGGCTGTATGCGGGAGGAGGGAGGGGCGCGGGAAGGTGGGCGGCGAGGGGAGGGTGGCGAGCGTTTGGGGGAGGGCGGAAGTTTTGGGGGGAATGGACGTTTGGGGGAGGGGGAAGGCTTGGGGGAGGGAGGCGGACGGCTGGAAGAGGGGGGAGGGGAGGTGCCTGGATTGGAAGGGGAGTGGGAGGTTGGAGGGGATGGGGAATGGATATGGGAGGAGAAAGGAAGAGGAATGCAGTTGAGGTGAGGTGAAGGAGGAGCAGGAAAGGAATGGGACTTGAAGAAATCGTTGGCAACTACTTCAGAAAAATGCAAGCACGAAACGCACGCAAACACACGCACGAAATGCATGCACGATGTGACATATCACTCGAATCATCATCACCATCTTACCCCGTCTAGGCGGCTGCTTAGGCCTTACACCACCACCTCCTTTTCCTTTTCCGCTTCCACTTCCAATGTTATCCCAGTTGCCATCATCAATAGGTGTCGCCTCCCACCCCCCATTGTCATCCCCATACCCGTCATCATACCCCCCATCAATTCCCCCTTTCCCTCCCCCTTTCCCTCCCCCTTTCCCGCTTCCTGTTCCTCCTCCCCCTATCCCTCCCGCTTTTCCTCCCCCTTTTCCTCCTCCTTTCCCTCCCTTTTTTCCACTAACTGCCAGTTTACTCGCTTCCCCCAATTTCCTTGTACTTTCCCCCACCGTGCCCCACACAGCCTTCCCCCCTCCCCCTTCCGCCAACTGCTGATGGTTTGAGGGGGAGGGGGAAAAGGGCAGCCGCAGAGGGTTGGGGGAATAGCCGCTGACCTGGGGAGGTTGGGGGCGTTGGGGTAAAAGTGGGGTAGACGAGGAGGAGGAGGAGGAGGAGGAGGAGGAGGAGGAGGAGGAGGAGGAGGAGGAGGAGGAGGAGGAGGAGGAGGAGGAGGAGGAGGAGGAGGAGGAGGAGGAGGAGGAGGAGGAGGAGGGGACGGCACTGTGATAGAGGGTGGAGAATGGGTATGGGCCACCTCATTGGGTTGCTGACTAGGTTCGGTCTATCAGTTAGGTTCGGTGAACTGTGTAGAACTTGTTCGTTGGGTAGGTTTGGTCGGCTGAATGAATCTGGCTTGGTAGGGATGCACACAGCCGAGGCGTTGTGTCGAGAAGGGAACTGTAACGAGCAACGAGTGTTAGGCGGGCACAACGTGAATGCACAGGGGTCTGCTCAAGAAAAGTAAGGGAGAAAAGCAGGTGGGGTGGGGAGGAGGGAAGGGGGGAAGTTGGGGGGAAGAGGAGGACAGAGGAGAGATGAAAATCACAAATGCAAGAGAGTATAGTTGATTGCAACTAAGTGGACTGTATTGCCTGTTTCCAAAACGATATTTCAAACAAAAATCATTACAAAATAACAGCATAAGTAGTGCACTGGTGGCCGTTACCTCTGCACTGGTGGCCGTTACCTCTGCACTGGTGGCCGTTACCTCTGCACTGACGACCGTCAGGGACGAACGGGGGGTTGCAGGCACAGCGAGGCCTGCGCTTGCGCACCTCGCACACGCGGTTTACAGGGCACACGCGCGCACGGCAGGGGTCTGCGGAAGGAGATGCGGCGGGGAGAGAGGGGAGAGAGACGGGGAGAGGCAGGGTTGGGGATGGACGAGGGATGGGGGAGGCGAGGAAGAGAGTGGCACCGTGCCGCTCCTCCATCCCGTGACGGGGTAATAGCAACTACTAGCAACTACCAGTACTATTTTTCAATGTTTTCCAGTGCTATGTAAACCCGTGGCACTACCTCGACTGCTCTCGAAGCGCCATAGTAGGCGACGCAGCTCCGTAGCGCTATCTCGACTGCTCTGAGGCGCCGCGGGGTCGGAACGCGTCGGGGACGCCGCGACACGCGGGAAGAGCGCGAGCGCCAGTAGCGCCACGCGCAGGAAGGACGGAGAAGATTGAACTGGCGGCTTGGATGACCGGGACAACCGGGACGGCAGACATAAGCGCCGCACCGTGCGACGCGTGTCGCGGCGAGGGCAGCGAGCTGTCATCAGCACTCATTAGTTGCCGCGATGCGCCGGCCGTCTGCACGGGCGGGGTGTTTTAAATAAATTCTGCGAACGACTGTCTGCAAAGACAGGGAAATGGGGAGCTGTTGTCAGGGAAAACGCGCTGCGGAGCGTACGTGCGGCGAACGGTCTCGCGATATGTGATGTCTCCAAAAAAAGCGGTCACTCGGCCTGTAATTTCCCTTCCCCTATGACTTGGAGAGTATTCTACTAGTCAGGCTACTACTCTAAGTACTAATGGCCGACGCGGGTCCATTCAGGGACGTGCCTGATAGGCTGACAGTGGCATCGCCGCGACGATAACTATTAACGAGCGCTGCGTCCGCGGAGTTTCTAGTGAAAGTTGCCAACAGCGAGCGACGCGGAGTAACGCGCGGTGCCAACGACCCGTATCGGCGTGTGACGCTACCGGTAGGCAGACATGGGGCGCTGTGCAAAACGAACACTGCACGCGAGCTTCAAACTTTATCCTATCGACCCTGACGAGCTTTAGACTTGGTCAGGCTCCTACCGTACTAGGTATGCTATGTACGAGTAAATGAGGTGAGGGGTGTTATTGCTGTGCGACTTGGGTTGGCTTGACACGCTTCCCCCACCACACTGCACCATGTCATATCCATCTTCATCGTAATGAAAACTGTGGAGCCCATCTGGATCACCAAACTGTGGGGCAGTTTCGATGGGCTGAGTAACTGACGAAACCGAATCGGCGCCTGAGGAGTACAGTAGGGTGCCGCTCGAAAGGCAGAATAAAACTGTACGGTAGTGTATCACACCATGCCGTACTCCATCTGGTCGGACCCTCCTCCTTTCGACTCCCACTCACCCCCTCCAACCCCAACCTCACCCATAACAACCCCTCCCCCACCCGCACGCTCACAACCACCCCCCCCTCCCTCCCCCACTGAAAATATCCCACACACGATGCACACCAAGCAGAACCTGCCGCTTTGGTACTGTTCATGCGGCGGCTGCAAAGTTGGCGGGAAAAGATCGCCGTCACCACCCCCTTTTAAAAAATGGTTACAGCTACACTTCACAAATTTTTACATGCGAATATGAAGGCGCCTCAGGGAAAAGCATTCCCTCCATACGCGTTATAACATGGTATCTAGATTCGTCGTTTGGAAACCCAATCCCAAACCGATTGGGAAAAGGACTTCCCGCCAAGTCCCTCCGCTCCGCACCTACGAAATCAAACTTCCAAGCCAGCACAACACTCCTCTCCTCTCATATCCCTCGCATCAAGCGACCACACCACACCTATTTCTATTACGTTACGCACAATCTAGAGCACTAGAGTGCGTGCCATGTCGACTTAGCGACACCGTCGCACAGCTTTGTCGTGCCAGAGTGGTGCATGCGATACTGTCAGGCGAAGTCGCAAGCACCCAGAGGATAGCTACTGCACGAAACTCCATGACGGCTATTGGTGACGACACTGCGCAACGGAGCTGGTGACAACGCGGCGAATAGCGAGGGGTGCAAAGGAGTGGGATTTGGTGCAAGGCAAATCGAGACGGTTCGAGGCGGAAGTGTTTAAGCCTATCAAGCCTGGCGTGTAGAAAGGTCCTGGCCCGAAAATAACAGATTAAACGGGCGTGCGTGAAACGGGCGAGCGTATAACGAGGGTGGCTGTAGGACGAGTAAGCAGCACCCAGCGCAGCTGAAGAAATAGCACCAGCTGCGGCGGCGGCGGCTGCGGCGGCGGCGGTTGGACGACAATCTTCGACCAAAGGGGAAGGCAGAAGAGGGGGAAAGGCTCGAGCCGCGAGCACGCTGGCGAAGATGGCTCCTTACAGACGAGTGATTGAATGCACGGCTTACTGCAGGTGATGCCTTGTGACTGTGTCGACGTGAAGCCAGGTGTGATTCTACCGAGTTGGTGCCATGCGGTAATACCAGTGTCGCATTAGGTGATAGTAACGAGGCGCCGGTGTTGAGACACGGAGGCGTAGTCGTACTTTCGGTAGAGTGTGTTTATTCTATCGGGCCGCAAGGGCTGACAGCTGGCCTAAACGCGCGGTTCTCAACTCGACTAGAAAAAAGCTGTCGGGTGGTTGCAACGTACGGTCTGTGCGGTTCATCATGGGATTGACCAGGATGACATGACATGACATGACATGACATGGCGTGTGCGGGCTTTGTTAGTTAATCTTGGCATGGAATGGCTTCTCATGGATTGGCGTGCATGGCATGGTCGCTTGTTTCCTTTCTTCCCCACCGTATATCTTCACCACTGCTAACCACTCTGAACCTCGCCCCCCCTCGTCTCTCCTCGTCTCTCCTTGTCTCTCACCGTCCCCCTCGTCTTCCCTCGTTGCCCCTCCCTGCCCTACCGTCAGCTGCGGGTACTGTTGCAAGTGGGAGTGGGGGCTGAAGCTTCCCGGAAACTTCTATGTGGGGCTGGTGCCGGGGTGGATGCCCCTGCGCCTGAGGCGGCGCAAGAAGGGGTGGGTCGACTCTCCCATTCCGCTCTTCGCCAAGTGAGTGGGGGGAGCGGAGGGGAGTGAGTAGGGGGGGCGGAGGGGAGGGGAGAATGGGGAGGGGTACGGGGGAAGGTAAGGGGGGAAGGGGGAAGGAAGAGCAGGGATACAGAGGGCGCAAAAGGGTTGGGTCGACTCGCCCATTCCGCTCTTCGCCAAGTGAGTGCGCGGAGGGGAGGGCGGAAGGGGGAAGGGGGAGGAAGGAGGGGGGAAAGGGGAAGAAGAGGGTCGCAGAGGACACGGGAAGGGGTGGGTGGCTTTGTCCGTTCCGCCTTTTGCCAAGTGAACGCGGGAGAGGAGGGCGGAGAGGCACGGGGAAGGGGAAGAGGGGAGAGGGGAGAGGGGAAGGGGAGGAACGCAGAGGGAGGGAGTGAGGGAGGGAGGGAGGGAGGGAGGGAGGGAGGGAGGGAGGGAGGGAGGGAGGGAGGGAGGGAGGGAGGGAGGGAGGGAGGGAGGGAGGGAGGGAGGGAGGGAGGGAGGGAGGGAGGGAGGGAGGGAGGGAGGGAGGGAGGGAGGGAGGGAGGGAGGGAGGGAGGGAGGGAGGGAGGGAGGGGGGAGGGAGGGAGGGAGGGAGGGAGGGAGGGAGGAGGGATTGGTGGAGGAAGAGAGGGATTTGAGGGAGTGACGGAGAGAGGGAGGGAGTATGGGAGAAAAGGACGTAAAAGCCTGTGTGCGTCCGCTGGCCCCTCTTCCCCACCCGTCCACTCCATTACCGCAGATACTGGACAGACACAACTCTTAAGGGAGGTCCGTACCACGGCTTCACAGCAAACGGCAGATACCCTGCTCAGGTAGGTAGCGTGACAAGACAAGCGCATCTACCGACGTACCCAACTGTCATCCATTGCACTCACACACGTGACTAGTTCGCTGCTGAAGAGGATTTACCAAATGGAAGCAGGATCTACTGCCTGCTACACCATCCACCCGTTCATGTCACACCTGGTTGATGTACAAATGGCTGTTCAGAAGTCATTTCATTGTGAGCACCATTCATTCAAAGGAGATATAAGCCATTCTTGCCCAGTTTCCTGGCGTCTGCTTCTGAGGCGCCTCCAAAGTCATTTCGCTTCCACAATTGCTACCCCCATTCCCTCCCCTGACCCTTCCTCTCGTCGGTGCAGTCCCGCCCGCCCATCCTCTCGCCGATCTCTCTCTCTCTCAGTTCCAGAAAATTCCTGGGCGGCTGCTGCTCTTCCCCTGGCGCCTCAACAATTATTTCGCTCTTACAATACCACCCCCTATCCATCCTCTCCCCCCACCACCTCTCCCTCCTCCCCCGTGCAGTCCCGCCCGCCCATCCTCTCGCCCCTCTCCCTGTCTCAGTTCCAGAAGATCCTCAGGCGGCTGCTGCTGTTCCCCTGGCGCCTCAGAAACTGTCTCGCCTTTACGATTCCACCCCCCCCCCTCACATTCGCTGCCCCCTGCCTCTTCCTCTCCCCGTGCAGTCCCGCCCGCCCATCCTGTCGCCCCTCTCCCTGTCTCAGTTCCAGAAGATTCCTGGGCGGCTGCTGCTCTTCCCCTGGCGCCTGCTTCCCCGGCACGGCACCATTGCAGCTGACACGGCGCACTACCCGTTTGGCACTCAGATGTTCATTCCGGGATATGGATGGGGCATTGTGAGTGGGGGGATAGGTTCGGGGGATGTGGGGGCAGGAAGGGGAATGATAATAGGGATCTAGAAGCAGAAGGGATGAGAAAAGGGGGCAGAGAGATGGAGGTGGCACCATTGCAGCAGACATGGCGCAGTACCCATTTGGGACTCAGATGTTCATCCTGGGATATGGATGGGGCATTGTGAGCGGGGAGGGGGGTGAGAGAGGGGTGTGTGGGAGCAGGGGGGGAGCAGCGGGGTGTGCGAGCAGGCTAGAGGGTGGGTATTTGGCATGGATGGAATGTCATGTGCTCCGTGTTGCATTGTCTTGCCATGTCCTGTCATGCCCTGTCATCTTTTCATTTTCGCTTCTTGTCTTCATGTTCTCGTCGCTGGTCTTCACATGCCTTGTCGTCCCCCCGTTTCTTGTGCTCTTCTCTTATGTACTCTTGTTTCTTTCTTCACTTCCCTTCACTTGGCTTTTCTCCTCTCTGTGTTATTTATCTGCACGTGCATGGTCATGCTGGCAGGTGGATGACAAGGGGTCAGCTATCCGGGGAGCCACGCGCATAGACCTTTACCACTACTCGCACAACGAGGCCCTACACTGGGGCAGACGGCGAGTCAACGTGAGCACTCTGCGCTCTCCACCTTCCCTAGCTTTCCGTTCCCTCTTCCCTTTCCTTCCCTTCCCTTCCTTTCCCTCTCCTTCCCTCCCCTCCCATCCCTCCCTTCCCGTTTCGTCCCTCCCCTTCCCCTTCCCTCCCCTTCCCTTCCCTCCTCTCCCCTCCGTTTCCCTCCCCTACCCTTCCCTTTCCTCCCATTCCCTCCTCTCTCCTCTGCTTCCCTCCCCTTCCCTCCCCTTCTCTCCCCTTCTCTTCTCTCCCCTTCTCTCCCCTTCCCTCCCCTTCCCTCCTCTCCCTCCCCAAAGAAGCTCGTGTGACTGCTGTGCCTCTAGTGGTCAATCAACCCCAAGATTCCGGTTTGCTATCTCTTCTCTCTCCTCACCCAACCTTCCATCTTCCCTCCTCCGTCTCCCACCTATCGCGTACCTTATAGGTGCTGGTGGTGCCTCCAGGAGAAAGTGTGATGGATCTCCTACATGTGCCCGGGCCATTCAAGTTTCTTCTCAAGGGTCTAAATTGGGCAAGGAAACTTTTGGTTTAGGCTACAGCCGAAGATGTTCATGTTGCTGATCACAAATTTTGGCTTGGACTTAGCAAAGCCTCCGATGTACTGTAGTGTAGGTGGAGTACTAGAGCCATTTAAATGGGGTACTTGGTGAACTACATGAGGCATCCTTCGTTGTTTTCATTTGTATCGTACTTCACTAGATGATCTGTTGCACCCGTAATGTACTTAAAATGTAAAGATATTTGTACGAAACTGTCATCAGCAATAAGTGGCTTCGTGAACACTTGTTATAACAGCCCTTTCTCTGATTTAGGACGATAGCCTCACCACGTCAAATCTCCAAGCGGTGTAAGGGAGCGTGGTCTACCATTGAGGAGTTGGGGCCGTCCCATATCGGTTACTGAAAGTTCCGCGTCCAAGCAGGGGCTGGGTGTCAGGGCCATTGACGTAACCCGTTTTCCACCTGTCGACCAGCGAAGCCAGAAGTTTCGCGAACCCACACGAAGCGCCAGCTTTACCCCGTAGCTCTCGAAGGATCCAGATGTAACCCCTCGCAGATTGTCCACATCTTTCGTCCTGACTGAAGGGCGGTCTTTGTTCGGTGGAACGCGTTGCTCGCTTGAACATCTGTTTTCGCGAAACCGTTTCCGCTACCACACTAACCGTTTCGTGAACAATGTCGCTCTTATGTATCCGATGAACGCCTTACGATATGCTCCTAAAAACGAACCCCTATGCAATCGTGAAGTTCCGACAAGCACTTCTGCTCGCCTTTCGATTCAATCTCGAGATTGCGCACGCCACTCTGGTGCCGAATTCCACCGAGCCGACCCGACTTGCATCTGCACAGACTCTTTTCACTTCACAGCATTCGTCGTTTCCTTCCCGCCTTTTCGGACTGAATAGAAGTTCTTGATTCACTAGCCAGATCGCTGGTTTTCGCGGATTTGCTTGCTTTACGTCTGGTACTGAGTCCATCGATCCGTCACTGGATCGTCGCTCGATCGTAAGCCGTGTGCCGTGTGCCGTGGAGGATTTATTAGAATAAAGTTAGTGAATTAGCTGCGGGACTCCTTCTTTTGCGATCTCAAAAGCCGCACGGAGCCCAACGCGAACGCATCATCCGTTGTTAGGGAACAAGTTCCTAATAATTTCTTGCCAGAACGTTAGGATTTGACAGGATTCCTAGGTCTCGGAACTACTCGATCGCGTTACGACTGACGCCGCCTCCACATCACGTCGATCTCCACGCTTGGCGGCCATGGCTATGCCTCAGGGCTCTGTGACCCTATCCGACGTCTACGCCGCGGCGCAGCGCAGGCGGCTCGAGCTCTCCTCCGGAATTGAGCTACTCGAACGTTGCGAGTCGGGAGCAGGCGGCCCGCTGACAGCGCCGATGTTCTTCGCCGAGGCGCCGCGCGATCCGAGCAGCAGCGGCGGAGGCGGCGCAAGCGCAGCGGGACCGGCGGGGGCGGTGGCGGTGGATCCCGCGCTGATGGACGGGCTGCGCGTGAAGCTGGCGGAACTGCAGCGCATGTGCGCGGATATGGGGCAGCTTTGGCGCAACCACGCGAACAAGACGCAACGGGAGCTATGGCGGAGGTAATTGTCGGGGACTGCAGTTGGGAGCATGGGTACGAACTAGAGAAAATTAGTTGTCTAGGAGATGGATTTATCCTTCGCCTGCCTCTCTTCTTTCTTATGTCCTCTTCACTCTCCTCTCCTTTCGTCCCCCCTTCTCTTCTCCCCTTCTCTTCCCCCTTTCTCTTCCCAACTTCTTCCCCCCTTCTCTTCACCCCATCTCTTACGACTTCTTCCACCGTCTCTCCCCCCTTCCGTTCCCCCGTCCGTTTTCCCGTCTCTCCTGTACGGCTGGTCTAAACTAATTCCCTCACTCCTCTCCCCTCCGCCCTGACCCCAATTTCCCCCATATCACCCTTTCCCCCCACCCTGAACTTCCAGGCGGGTGGAGGTGATGGGGGAGGAGGCGGAGGCGCTACGGCTGGCGCTAGACCGGTGCGCGGCCAAGGAGCACAGGCGGCGCAGGGAGGCGCAGGAGCGCGCGGAGCTGCTGGTGGCGCGCGCGGGGGGGCAGGGGGGGCGGATCCTGAGCGAGGCGGACGCGGAGATTAGGGACATGGAGACGGCTAAGCGGGCGGGGCGCGTGTTAGAGGACACGTTGGCGCAGGGGATTGCGACTCTGTCTCACATGGCGCAGCAAAGGGAGGTGTTGAAGGTATGAGAAGGTTGGAGGAGGTGTGGGAAGGGCTAGGTGGGGGGAGGGCTAGGTGAGGGGGTGGGCCGGGCGCGTGTTAGAGGACACGTTGGCCCAGGGGAATTGCGATGCTGTCACACATGGCTTAGCAGTGGGAGGTGCTCAAGGTGAGCTGCGGGTTCTAACAGGGTTAGGATTGGTTTTGGGGGGGACGGGGGGGTGGGGAGAGAGAAGAAGGATCGAGGAGTTAGGGGAAGGGCGGGGCACGTGTTAGAGGACACGTTGGCACAGGGGATTGCGATGCTGTCACACATGGCGCAGCAGAGGAGGTTCTCAAGGTGAGAGAACGCTTCGACTGGGTTAGGGATGGTGGCGGGGAAGGGAGGGGTGGGAGTGGTTGGGGAGGTGGGAGAAGGCCCGTGTGCTTGAGGATTCGTAGGGGATTTCCTCGCTTTCACACATGGCACAGCAGGGGAAAGTGTTTAGGGTAAGAGTGGTTCAATTGGGTTAGGGTTGGTGCGTTTGTGTGTGGAGGGGAGGGGTTGGGAGGGTTGGAGGAGGTGAGAGAAGGGCCGTACGAGTGCTTGATGAAACGTTGTTGAGGTGATTGCGACGCTTTCACAACAGACGCTTTCTAAGGATGTGCACTGAATGAGATGTGTGGGCGGGGGAGTTGAATGAGCTATGTGGGCGGGGAGTTGAGCGGGATTGGTGGGATTGGTGGGGTTGGCGGGATGGGAGGGAAAAGACAGGAGTATGTATGTACACGACCTCATGCCATCACAACCCTGAACTTGATTCCAGACAGAGCACTGCCTCCCAGATGCAATCCAGGTGCTGCCTAGTTGCCGTCCCGTTGCCATCTTTGATCCGTCCTGGTGCTGTGAAGCACACTCGTTTGTGACCACTTCCCCTCTCTGCCTCCCCTTACGCAACCCCCTGTGGACAGGCTTGCTTCTGTGAGGCTCTCAGATCCAGTATTGCTATCGTAAACAACACTCAACTTAAACCGCAAGGTCCTTCCCAATCCTCCTCCCCCCCTCCCCCCCTTCCCCTGGTCCCCCCCGGTCCCCCGGTCCCATCCCCTGCACACAGTCCGCCCCACGGCGAGCTCTGTACGTGCTCAACCCCGTGGGGTTCTGCTCTGTATCCAATAATTCTTGGGACGCGGTGCTGCTACTCCAAACCACGCTTATCTCCAAGTGTTTCCCTTGCCACTCTCCAAGTGTTTCCCTTGCTACTCTATCCACGCCCTTCCTTCTTCTCCCTCTCCCCCTTCTTTCCCCTCCTCACAGTCGGCCCAGCGGCGAGCGCTAGACATGCTCAACTACGTGGGGCTGTCAGACACAGCAAAAAGCCCCCTCCCAAAACCACTCTTCTCTTCAACCCCCCATCCCCCTTTGCCCTCACAGTCGGCCCAGCGGCGAGCGCTAGACATGCTCAACTACGTGGGGCTGTCAGACACAGTGCTAAAGAAGATCAACCGGCAGCAGCTGGTGGACAGGGCCATCAGCTACGGCGGCATGCTGCTCACCCTCATCATCATCTTCATCGTCTGGCGCTGGACTCGTTGATAGGGTAGTAGTTCGTGGAGTGTTCCTGCTGCCAAGGATGGCTGCTGCTACGGTTGCTGGTTCTGGAGCGCAGGGCATGGCTGGTGTGGCAGCTGGTGGACAGGGCTATCAGCTACAGTGGCATGCTGCTCACCCTCATTGTCATCTTCATCGTGTGGCGCTGGACGCACTTCTAGTGATGCTCCTGCTGCTCGTGCCGCTCCTGCCGCTGATACTGGTAATGCTGCCGACAGTCATTTTCATCTGTGTAGTGTGGCGCGTCACGGGATGAGTTCGGTGGGTCTCGGTGATGCACTGATGCCGCCTGATGATGCCTGCGTAACCCATGCGGCCAAGCAAGCAGTAATGGTGTTTCGCCGTCACGGCTGTCTATGTTCTGCTGAGGGAAATGGCTCAAGTTCTAATTAGGTTTTGAGGGATGGTAGCAGGAATTTTCAACAAGAAACTGAGAGGAGAGAGGGGGGGCGCTTTCCACGAGAGCAGTACAGTCATTGTTGCAAGGCTGTGTTTGGATTGGCTTGGCAGTACTTATTCATGTGTATGTAGGTCTGCAGGAACCATAGAGTGCCGCAATTAATATAATATGTGGGTATGCTGCATGCATGTAAGGTAAATCCAACCACTAGAAACAATGTACTATGTCTCGTGCTGTAACAGCAGATGAAGCGCGTCTAGCATGAATCCATTTCAATGACATATTGCCTCTTGCATGCCAAACTTAGACATCACACAGCGACTCCAAGCGACAAGCTAGGGCATGCATGGGATGAAACACACATGATGTACATTCAACCCAGCTCGAAAGGCAGGCGCCATTAATGGATAGGATCATGGTGGGATCAACAGGGCCGCATGATAGACCCATGGGATCACAGCAGGCGGCGTCAATATCGAGGCATGGATAGGAGGTGCAAACATTTGACTTTCCAGTTCCCCTGCGGTATTAGTCGCACGCGTCACGGCATGGATAGGAGGCGAACAAAGACCGACACTGCTGCCACTCGCACTTTGAGGTCCGATGCGTCTATGTCGTGCCCTCCCTCCACCACTCCCCACCGGTCCGTCTGCATGGTGGCACAGACATGCATAGATACGGGGTGATGACTGAGTGTGTGTGGCCGACCAGATGGGTTTTCACATGCACGCATGCATCCCTACACCATTAGAAACCGGAGAGCCGAACCACATGTGCGAACACGCACACAAGCCGCTGAATAAGGAAACGAAGGAGCGATCCAGCATCACGCCAGTCCACCTTAAAACTCACCTGAAATTCCTCGTCCACGCAAATCACCCTTGTGGTTTCATCCATCTTTCAGCCGCCCCCGCACCACCGCCAGCGCCAGCACTCAAAGAAGTAGAACATAATGATAGTGGAAAAAAAACAGTAAAGAAAACACCCACCTGGAAATCCTCCTCCACACGAATCACTCGCATGGCTTCATCCATCTTCAGCCGCCCCCGCACCACCGCCAGCGCCAGCACCAGCGAGCGCGTGGGGCCCGCCAGGCAATCCACCGCTGCCAGGTGGAAGGCGTCCATTGGCTGAAGCGCGTAGCGCATGGCCCTCACGGCAGCGTCGGGCTGATCGGGCGGCAGTAAAGAGTAGGAGACGGCGGGGCGGGCGCCGAAGTCGGACTCGATCCAGTCTAGCAGAGGGTCCCATGCTGCTGCTTGCAGGTCTGAGAGAGCGATGAGGGAGGAAGACGAGCGAGGGGATGAGGAGGGTGAGTTTTGAGTCGACTCAGAAGTCATCACGGTTGAGTAGGAGAAGGAGGGACGGGCGCCGAAGTCAGACTCTATCCAGTTTAGGAGAGGGTCCCCCATGCTGGTGCTTGCGGGTCTGGGTGAGTGAGGCGGGAGGGAGAGGGGAGGAAAGGAACAAGGAGAGTGAATTTGGAGTCGAACGCGGCAGTCATCACGGCAGCAGGGAGTAGGGGCCCGATTCGTGTTTGCCGTGATTCGGCAGTCATCACGGCATGCGCGCCTCGGACTCGGAGTAGGAGTCCGAGGCGCGAATGCCAGATTCGTGTTTTGAGTCGACTCTAAACAGGGAGTAGGAGCCCGAGGGGCGGGTGCCAGATTCGAATACTATCCAGTTTAGGAGAGGGTCTCATGCTGCTGCTTGCAGGCTGGGCGGGTGAGACGGGAGGGAGAGGGAAGGGGATAAACAGGGCGAGGGAAAAGTGAGAGGCAAAAGGAATGTGGCAAATGCAGGAAATACAGCAAGTGTAGAGAACGCAGGAAGCACGAAATGCTATCCGGTTCATCAGTTATTTGAAAGTACCTTGGAGGGAGGGCCCTGTGGTTGGAGTGGCAGCGAGAGCACTAAGATCCGAGGCAGCAGAGGAGGAAGAGGAGGAGGAAAAGGAGGGTTCGGGCGGTTGCACGTGGTGAGCGGGGAGCGGCGTGCGGGTGAGCACGGTATCGGTATGGAAGAAGCACAGCAGGTGCGCCACCACCTTGTCTCGATCCGTGGGGATCTGATCCACTGCCGTGCACACCAGCTTCATCAGCGGCATCGTGTACGCACGCAGCTTCGCGGACTCCTGCAGGACGCAGGGATGGGGAAGGTGGAGCAGGGAAGGAGAAGGGGTGGATTAAGCAAGGAGTGCCTCAGTGGTCCACTGCCGTGCACACCAGCTTCATCAGCGGCATCGTGTACGCGCGCAGCTTCGCGGATTCCTGTTGGGGGGGGGGGAAGGCAGAAAGGTGGGGAACGGGGAAAGGGGGAGGGATGCGTTAGGGAGTGCTTCACTGGTCCACTGCCGTGCACACCAGCTTCATCAGCGGCATTGTGTACGCGCGGAGCTTGGCGGATTCCTGTGTTGAAGGGGAGGGTGGAGGAGAGAGCTAGAGTAAGGAGAAGACGGGCCGAATCTTTGCAATCAGCTGAGAAGTCATGTTTAGGCGCGCGTAAATTTCTCGCTCCCCTCGCCCTTCCCCCCGATCCTGCATACATCCCTCCCTCCTCCTCGCTTCTTCCCCCATCGCATCTAAATACCACCTCCTTTCAATCCCGCCGACCCCCTCCCCCACCTCCCCCGCACCTGCCACTCCCATTCCGCCGCCAGCGCGTGTGCCAGCGCCGCGGACGGCAGGCGGATGATGCGCTTGGCGGGAGTTTGGAGCATGCGCCCATCCAGCATCACCACCCATCCGCCTCCGCCGTCCTCCGCCGCCCGCGCATATGCCGCCTTGAACGGTCGCTTCCGAGGCAATGACGAACCTGTAGGCTCGACTGCTGCGTCCACCGAGCCTGATGACCTTGCTGGTTCGGAGTTTGCTGAACCTTCCGCGTCTGCGCCATCGTTGTTGCGCCTGGCTGCGCCGCTTGCGCCCTCCTCTCCCGCAGGGCTACCCGCGGATGAAAACGCGCGAGCAGCTACCACTCCTACGGCATGACTGACCGCCGATTCTGCCACGTGGCAAGAGGCGAGAATCGGACGGCTAAGATCGCGTTTGGAGAAAGACGATTCATAAGCGCTAGTGTCCCGAAATTTACAGAAGGACACGGACGGATGAAAGGCCAATCGTAAAGCTGCGGAAACGGGAGGGATGGCGAAGTGCGGAGCCTTGTTGTTGCATAGACCCGATCTCGACACTGCAGCAGAAGCTGATCTTAAGGGCAACGCCGATAGAATCCCCGACGCTGTTATGGATGCCGCTGCTGCACGCACGCGGCGCGTGGCACAAGCGCGCATCACGAAGACTTTTTTAGAAGCTGCTGTGATCGGGTTGGGAGCCAGAAAGTACCAAATACCTGGGAGAGTAGGCGCTGTTTGTACGAAACGTCACTGGCGAAATTATTGTCGGGAAGCGAATGTCAAATCTTTCGTCAATTCGTTCCGTCCGACTCTATTCTCATTCTGTTCCACTGATTGGGTACGAAGGAAGCATTCTGCTTGCACTACGGGTTGTTGTCGTCGTCGACTGCGTTACCAGGTTTCGCTTCGCTTAAATCTTGCTATAGCGTAATGCGCTTCTCCGTTATGTTTGCAGATCTGCCAGGTTGTACACCTATTCAGCTAAAAACGCCATGTTTCCAAGGCACTTCTCTGACACCTCCTTGGCACGCCTTCCTGCTCAACCTTGAAAACTCCCCCCAAGCGCCTTCCAGATTTCCTCCTCTAGAGATTCGAACCTCTGCAGCATTTCCCATCCTCCCTTCCCTCGTGTCTGCTCGATACTTATCCTTGATATTTCCAACCTGGATTTCTTCGCACCTTATCCTCACTCTTTCCCGCGCTGCGTATGATGCAGATTAGCCTGCGCGCCATATTCCAACCTAAGCTGCTTCAGAACGGTTGCTGGCATTGTATGATAACGTGTTTCCGCTGCCTCAGTTTTGCACTCTGATTGTGATTCTGACAAAAAAAAACGAATCTTTCAAGGAAAAAACGGTAATCTAGACCGGTAATCTAGATTCCAAGCCGCCTCGAAACTATCTAAAAATGCACCCATTCGGATTCAGCAGCAAAGCGGCGGAAGAAGCGGCCCTCGCGGCAGCGTGGTGGAACCAACCAATCCCACCGGACGTAAAAAAGGTGCTGCAGAAATGGATTCCGAAGGACGAGGAGCTCAACGCTGCGGAGAACGCGGTGCGAAAGGCAAAGGCGCAGAAAGGAGCGGGAGCTGGGAAATCCGGCTCTCAGGAGGGCTTGGAGAAGCTTCAGCTGCCGTGCCGCGCGGAGATGGTTCACTATTTGGACGTGAGGGACGGCGGGTGGGAACTCAAGGAATGCGAGTGCTGCTTCGACCGCGCTGTGAGCTACCGCGCGCAGCGCGCGCTCAACATGATGCGCCTAGAAGACTTCCGCTCGCACCTGCACAAGCAGATGCCGGATTCCGTCCCCGCCGCGCCCCCGAACCGCCCGACGCGCGCCATTCTGGACCACTCCGCGCGGAACCCGGTGTGGGCGGTGGGGGGCCCGCGCGGGGCTCCGCCTCCCGTGCACTACCACTGGAAGTGCGAGCACGCGGCGTATTTCTGCGCGAAAGGGATGCTTGTAGAGTGGTTTGCGGAGCCCCGCGTGGGCGTACTCATGGACCTGGGGAAGATCAGATCCAGGATTCCCGCGATTCTGAATGCTGCAGGAGTCCCTTCCTTGTCCCCGTCTCCGTCTCCGTCACCGTCCCCGTCTTCTTCTAAGGCTGCCGCCGACCATGCCAGTGCTGGTGTACCGGACGCTGCTGTTGCCTCCTCCTGCTGCTACCGCTGCACCAGCTGCTGGGCGGCATTCCGGCGCGCAGTCAGCTTCGCTACGTTTCTCGTGCTTGTAGCGAGGTCCCCCCGCATTGTGACTATGTGGCATGGACTCTTACTCCGTGGCTTTCCCAGCCATGGCGGGAGCGCTTGGGGCAGGGAGGCAGGCGGAGCAGGACAGCTTCGCTTCCGCGCTGGTGCAGATCCTGGGGTTGAAGGAGCGCGGAGATCTCAGGGAAGGCTTTGGGTTTTTCCTCCAGGAGATTCTCTCAGGCGGGCTTGAGAAGGCGCATGCGGAGGGGAAGGGGAGAGGCGCGGGGAGAGGCGGGGGAGAGGGCGGCGCAGGGGGAGGCGCAGCGCGGATGGGGGGGGGCAGAGAGGTGGAGGGGATGGGGATGCAGGAGATAATGAGGGCGATGGTGCGGCTAATGGAGAGGGATTGTGGGGATGATGGGGAGGGCGGAACCGGGGAAGGTTCATCCAGGCGGGCAGCAAAGGCTGGTGGTAAAGGGAAGAAAAAGGGTGGGGGCGCGAGAGGAGGCAGGGGGGGTGGGAGGGGGAATGGGAGGGGGAATGGGAGGGGGAGAGACCCTGGAGAAGGTCCCATGAGCCTTATGGACGCTCTGCTAGGAGCAACAGCCCCTCAGAACCGCACTGTACCCATTGTTCGCTGCACGGCAGATGCGGAATTCCTGGTAGAGCTTCTAGGGAACCTCGTGGAACCCCTGAGTGTGCCCAGTGCAACAAGTGCGTCACCACCTACATGTATTTTATCCCCACGCTCGCGCTCATTGCAAATTACGCCTACCGCCCCGCGTCCGTGCTTTTCAACCGGTTCCTGTCGGTCTTCCCCCCGCACACTCCGGAATTCGCCGAGTTGTTAGACCATCTGCGGATGGAGCCTCTTCCTACAGATGTGCCTCCGCTTCTGAACCTGCATGTGGTGCGGAAGAGAGCCGAGCAGCTTCCAGTGTTTTTTCTGCTCCAGGCGGCAATTCACTGGCCGAAGTCCGTGCTGCAGATAGAGGAGTTGGAAGGGGCGGGGAGCAATCAGGGCGCGGAGGGAGTTCGGCGCGCTGCTGGGAAGAAGACGCAGAAAGGGAAGAAGGGAGGGAAGAAGGGGGGTGCGGATGGTGGGGAGGAGGTGGAGGACGATGGGGAGGTGTGGGAGGAGGTGAGGGCATGGGCTATGGCGGCAATGTATGCAGGGAAGGCGACTCTGAGGATGATAGGGCCGGGGTTGGGCGAGACGTGTAAGGGTAGCAAGGCGCGGAAGGGGAAGGGGAGCAGGTGGGACGGTGGGAAGTGGGTGGCTGGGATGTGGCAGAGGGCAGTAGATCCAAGGTACTGTGTAGACCAGCAGGAGCTGGACGGGCATAGCAACAGCATCAGCAGTGCTGCCAGCAGTGGCAGTGGCAGTGGCAGCAGCAGCAGCGATGGGACGGGCAAGAAGGGGGAGGTGCCTGCTTATCTGAAGCCATGGCCGGGAGGGGTTAACCTGCTGGCTTGCCTGCGAGAGATGCTGCTAGGGGAGCCCTGCTGCCGCCCTGCTCCCCCTGCTGCCTCCTCCTCTACCCCTGCTGCCTCCTCCTCCGCCCCCTCTGCAGTAACCATGGCTGCTGCATCAAACACCGCTACCAGCAGCAGTGTAGCCACAGCAACAGCAGCGGCGGCGGTGGCTACAGCAGCTGCTTCTGAGGCTAGTGGGGGCCGCGTGTGCAGTGCTGAGGGGTGTGGGAAGGTGGAGGGCGGTGGTGTGAAGCTGAAGGGGTGTTCTGGGTGTGGCAAGGTGGCGTTTTGCAACAGGGACTGTCAGAAGGCCCACTGGCCCTCGCACAAGCTCACCTGCCGGTCGAAATCCAGTAGCAAGGTGGGTGGCAAGGTGGGTGGCAAGGTGGGTGGCAAGGTGGGTGGCAAGGTCTGTGTAACGTTGAGTGGCAAATTGAGTAGCAATGTGTGTGTTCCTGTCTTTTCCTCGTATCTCTTTTCCCTCTCCCATTCCCACTTTTACATTCCTCTCCCTCTTCCTCCCCCGATCCCTATCCCTCTCCCTCCTCCTTTGCCCTGGCAATCTGTGCAGGTGTGAGTCTGGCAAACGACTGTAGCCTCTCATGTAGAGGTACAAGTAGTAGTTGTATGCTTTTCGAAATCGGGCGAGTAATAGTCATGTGTGATGCCAGAGCGGTGTTGGGGACAAATAAGGGAGTTGGGAGTACCTACACACCATACGGTAACACCGCATGCAGGGCTCCCCCATCCACTCCCCCCCCCTCTCCTAGTGTTGCTGATCTTTATTGCCAGGAGGAACTAGTAGGTCTCTTTTGTTTGGCAATACTTCCACATCACACCTGTGCTTAATAGGATGGATTTCGATGCTCTTCACTCACCCACCGCAGCATGCTCAATTTTCCACCACTGTACCGGTAAATGCATGTATACTCTGTAACCCACAAGAAACTTCAGCTACGGTAGTATTCATAATGGTATCCAAAAATCTAGAAGAGAGTCCACATAATCATTTGCAGATGAATATACCAACTAACCCCCTTCTTCCCTACTCATCGTCATCATCATCTCCAATATCTCCATCCTCTTCCCCATCCTCCCCTTCAGCATCACCATCCTCCTCCCCCACACCTCGTCCTCTCAACCCTCCCCTCTCACTCCCCGAAACCCCATGCCTCCTCCCACTCCTCTCCGTCTCCTCCTCCTCCTCATCATCATCCTCCCCAAGTTCTAGTGAAACAGACGACACAACAATGTACCCGATAATTGCCGCCACCTGTGCGAGCACAAACAACCAAGCACTGGACCGCGACTTGCTGCTTTCGGTGGATGATTGAGCTGAACGCGATTCCTTCCTGCCTGCTGTAAAGGGTTACGGGTAATTGGGAAGTGGATGGATGGATGGGGGTTGGGTGGGTGGGATTTTAAGACGTCTCATTAGTCACAGAGCTAATGGTGATGAACCAGAATGTTACGGGGCGGCAGGCACAAGAGAGCAGGTGGAGGGTAATTGTACGGGCCTCTAAACGGCGGATAAGAACTTGTGCAGCTTTAAGCCACTGTCTGAAGTCAGGCGCCTACCTCCCCTCCTCCGCAGCCCAGACGTTTGATGGAACATTGCCCGCTTCAGTCTCAAGTTCACATATTTTTAGCTGGACAGACTTAACACACTATATTCTAGACTAAAGCTCAGAGCTTCATATGCATGCGTTGATGAAAGAATAAGAAGCATCCCGACGTCCCTAGTTGCTACAAATATTTCCAATAGTCTTCTTCCCAACAACCGCCCACACATCCGGAAACTGCCTCCTCCCTCTCAAACCCACCATAGCTGCTCCCCCGGACAGTACAAAGGGCCGTGAGAGAGAATTTTGAGTCGACTCAAAAAACTGCCTGCTCCCTCTCAAACCCACCGTAGCTGCTCCTCTGGACGGTGCTAAGGGCCGTGAGAGGGCGACGGCACAACAGAGCTCAACCTCAACCTCCCACCCACAGATATCCAAAAACAGACTGCCTGCTCCTTCCCCTTCCCAATATACCTGTTCCTTACCCTTCACGCCATACCTGTTCTGCTCCCTCTCCCCTTCCCGCTGTACCTGCTCCTGTGGAGGGTGCGAAGGGCCGTGAGAGTGGCGGCGGCACAGCGGAGCCGTCTTGCAGCGCAGCACGGGCAGCGGTGAGACGGTTGGTCATGGCTGAAAGGAAGGCACGGAGCGGCGCGTGGGATAGCACCAGCTGCTGCAGCTGCGACTGCGCCTGAAGGGAGAGGGCGAAGAAAAAGGGTGGAATATAGATGGAAGGGGGAAGGAGACGGGAGTGGGAGAGGGGTAGGCAGAGAGGGTAAGGAACGGAATGGAGAGGGAATGCGGAGGATGGAGCGAGGGTCCACGCCAGGAGGACTAAGGGCGGATGGTGCGGTGTCTGTGCTTGTGTGTGAGAAAAGGCGGCACAGCGGAGCCGTCTTGCAGTGCAGTGCAGCACGGGCGGTGGTGAGACGGTTGGTCATGGCTGAAAGGAATGAACGGAGTGGCGCATGGGATAGCACCAGCTGCTGCAGCTGCGACTGCGCCTGAAGGGATGGGGAGGAGAGAATGATTTTTGGATTGACTCAAACACAGCTGCTACATTTGAAACTGGGCCTGGGAGAGGGGGGCCGGGGAGGGGTGGGGGGTGGGAGGGGTTGTGGACGGGTGTGGGGAAGTTCTAGCACCTACGCACCTACGCACGTACGCATCCATGCACATGTGCACGTACCAGCGGAGCCTGTGTGATGAAGATGAGGTGGGCGTAGAGCGCAGTGTCTAGACTTGTCGGCCTGTGGGAGGGGAGGGGAGAGAGGGGGAGGGAGATAAAGGGGATGAACGAAGAAGGCATGATTGTGGGCCCGGGAGTTAATTGTGTGATTGGCAGGGCAGGGGAGGGTAGAGGAGGGGAGGTATGAGAAGGTGAATAATCAATCGCTTGGCAGGCAGGCATGGAGGGGGGCATGAAGGAGCCTTCATGAGTGCACAGAGAGATGTTAGTCACAGAGAGATGAGGGCCATGAGATATGGCATGCAATCACGATGAGAGATGGCAGGCAGATTAGGCAGCAGTGTAGTGTGGCAAAACCCAACTATGAAAGGACCATCTCACCTTGTGCTGTGCTGTGATACAAGCAGTCTCGCCGGACTGTCCAGTTCAAAATGTTCACTCTGAGAACATTAACATGCCAGGAGAAGACCTATACCGAGTATGGTTCTCGTGCCAACTAATGCTCTCCAATCCATGCAAGCATGCGTGTATATGCACTCGCCTCGAGCACGCATGTGCACTCGCCTCGAGCACGCATGTGCACTCGCCTCGAGCACGCATGTGCACTCGCCTCGAGCACGCATGTGCACTCGCCTCGAGCACGCATGTGCACTCGCCTCGAGCACGCATGTGCACTCGCCTCGAGCACGCATGTGCACTCGCCTCGAGCACGCATGTGCACTCGCCTCGAGCACGCATGTGCACTCGCCTCGAGCACGCATGTGCACTCGCCTCGAGCACGCATGTGCACTCGCCTCGAGCACGCATGTGCACTCGCCTCGAGCACGCATGTGCACTCGCCTCGAGCACGCATGTGCACTCGCCTCGAGCACGCATGTGCACTCGCCTCGAGCACGCATGTGCACTCGCCTCGAGCACGCATGTGCACTCGCCTCGAGCACGCATGTGCACTCGCCTCGAGCACGCATGTGCACTCGCCTCGAGCACGCATGTGCACTCGCCTCGAGCACGCATGTGCACTCGCCTCGAGCACGCATGTGCACTCGCCTCGAGCACGCATGTGCACTCGCCTCGAGCACGCATGTGCACTCGCCTCGAGCACGCATGTGCACTCGCCTCGAGCACGCATGTGCACTCGCCTCGAGCACGCATGTGCACTCGCCTCGAGCACGCATGTGCACTCGCCTCGAGCACGCATGTGCACTCGCCTCGAGCACGCATGTGCACTCGCCTCGAGCACGCATGTGCACTCGCCTCGAGCACGCATGTGCACTCGCCTCGAGCACGCATGTGCACTCGCCTCGAGCACGCATGTGCACTCGCCTCGAGCACGCATGTGCACTCGCCTCGAGCACGCATGTGCACTCGCCTCGAGCACGCATGTGCACTCGCCTCGAGCACGCATGTGCACTCGCCTCGAGCACGCATGTGCACTCGCCTGGGGTCAAAGAAGAGAGGTGTGTCTCCCAAGCGACTGGCTAGCGCTGAGTAAGCCGCCGCTGCACGCGCAAAGAGCTGATGTGAGGGTTCAGGGTTTAAGCCGGGGAGCAGGCGGAGGGAGGGAGGGGGAAGTTTTAGGGGGGAGGGGAACCTCGGGTGAAGTTACATGAAACCAAGGGGTTACTTTAGATGACGAGGGAAGGTGAGGGAGGGTGAGGAATCATCATGTTTTGCACAGGGAGCAGGGCACGCCGCAAGAGCATGTGGAGAGGCTCGCTCTTCTAACGTCTGAGGAGTGCATCCTACACCCTAGAACCTCCACAGATGGCACAGCAACTTTTGAGTCGACTCAAAAGTCACCTCCACAGACGGCACGGCATAACTTCAACTTTTCATATCAATTGCAACGGCTTTCCAATCACACCACCGTAACTTCCACTCACCTACTGGATTTTGCAACTGCGCTTACCCCGGTTTATCCCCCAAACCCCTCACACCAAAACCCCCTTCCGCCCACCTCTTCCCTCGACCGCACGCCAGCGCGCGCAAGCGCCCCTCCCGCGGCACTACTCCGCGCATCTCCCCCGCCCTCCCCCTGCTGCGCCTTCCGCTCCGCCTCCCCCCATCCCTGGTTCCGCGCTTCTCTCCACAGCAGCGCGCGGGAGAGCGGCCAGGGCACCGCGGCGTCAAACATTTCCCGAAGAGCTGTGCGGTTGCGCTCCTCTCCCCATAGTTCCGCCTGCGCGGCCGCGGAGAGGGTGGTTTCCACCAGTCCGCGCAGCGCAGTCAGCTCCGCGCGCTCCGCAGGGGAAAGCGCGGCGTCTAAGTCCACCCCGCGGTGCGCGCGGAGGTAGTCCTCTATGGCGGATGAGGAGGCGGAGGAGAGCGCAATCACTGGGCGCGGGGAGGAGCGACGCGTGCGGGGCGCGGCGGAAGAGCCCGCGGGGGTGTCGGCGGAAGCGGCGGTATCGGCGGACGCAGGAGTTTGCGAATCGGCGGAATCAGCGGGAGGGGAAGATGAGGAAGGGCCAGCGGGAGAGTCGGATGGGAGGGCGGAGGAGGATGAGGGCTGGTCGGGGGCGGCGGGGGGATGGGCGGGCGCGGAGGGGTAATCTTCGAGCGCGGGGAGGTCGCCTGGATTGGGCGGAAAGGGGCGAGGAGCACGGGGGATCCGAATGATTAAACTGGCAAAATCGTTGGGAAAGGAAGGGGGCGGGGAGACGGGATGTGGGGATGCAGGACGGGGGTATATGGGTGAGGGAGAGGGGGAAAAGAGACGGGGTAAGGGGGAGGGGAGGGGAGGGACGGGGGAGGACGGGAGAGCTGTGCAATTGCGATACAGATAACGAACTAGATATGACGGAAGACAGGGGCAGCTGCGGCCTGGACTGGGTGCGAGGACGGAAGGGTGCGACGGAGCGGGGAACTGCAAAGGGAGGGCGCGGACTGCAGGGAAAAGGCGCATGATTAGCGGCGCGCGGAGAAGCTAGATTCGCAAAGCCTGCTTTCGAACACCTCTGAACAGCGGAAACGAGGTAGCGCGAGCTTGGGAGGAGGGGAAAAGGCGCGGGGGGAGAGTGTGTGGGGGGAAGCAGGAGAACTAGCGCGCGCGATAGCGCGAGCGGGGGGCATACAGGAGGTGATCTGCGCGGGGCAGTCGACGCAGTCATGCGGAAACGCCGCGAGGCACAGGTACGCCTCCGCGCGGATGCAGCAGGGGCACGCGGAGGGCAACCCCCACAGCGCGCCGTGCACCAGAAGCGCCGGCCGCGGAGCGGCAGCAGCAGCGGCAGCGGCCGGAGCCGCTTCTCCGGCGGACATCAGCGCGACGCGGTGTTAGAAATAAGAGCTTGCAGGTGCTGATGAATTGCTAATGGTGATTTCAGCAACTCCGATTCGGATCGGAGGAGTGAATTCGCGCAGACGAGGGACGACGACGATACGCGAGAGGAAGAGACGCGGAACGGAAATGAAGAGTGGAAATGACCAAGAGAACTCAACACAGCTCACGCAACCTAGGACGCCATTGGCAAAGCAGGGGCGGAAGTTCCAGGACCAGCCAGCTGGAAATTCCTCACTAGGATCTGGAGACTCGATATAGACATAAGAGCGCTGAAGTATGGTTGAAGCAATGCAAGGTCCTCGTGTTCACACTCAATCGCGTCCACAATAAAAAAAGCGGGGTGGTTTGAGGATGTTTTCTCCGTTATAAGATCATCTCCGTAAAAATATTGTACGTGCTTGTCGTTTCAAACAGCAAGCGACATATGAATGTGAGTGATCTCCCCTCCCTCCTTCCTGAACATCCACATCTTCCTAATTCAAATCTAGCTTGGTGGTCGTAGGCTCAAGCAGCTTCAGTTGTGGATTTGCTGGCACGATTCATGGCAGGATTTGCTAGCACGATTCATAGCAGGATTTGCTAGCGAGTTGAGTCTGCGGATCTGCGTCGCCTTCTTCCGTGCTTCACCTTCTGCCTTGATCCATCCCGTTCATTTCTTTTGAAGATTAAGACAAGGCAGGTTACTATTCGAATTCACCGTCGATCCGCGGCCTCTTCCGTTTTCTGAGTACGTGTAGGATCTGGGCCTGCTTGTGCGTTTTAGAAGCTTTACCGTTCGATCTGCGCTTGCCTACAGTCGATGACGGACGGTTTCGAGGCTTTTCGTACGCAGAATTCGTCAGGGATTCATTCAGTTTGGAAACAGCCTTCGAATTAGCAATCTGCGGGATTCGAATCTCCGGATCTTCTATTCAGCTTTCCGGACCGTATTTTAGTTCACGTTTTCAATCCCCTTATTCTTGTGTCGTGTGCAGGTCGTGATCTGTAACAATGGCGGTGGATAAGGAGAAGGAGAAGGAGGAGAAGGTCGGCGCGACCAAGGAGGAGCAGAAGGGTCAGAAGGAGGGGGCATCTAAGGACGCCAAGAAGAAGAAGGAAGAGAAGAAGCAGGATGAGCTGGTATGACGGTTAAAATCTCCGTGTTGGTTGCCAAAATTGCTGGTATGACGGCTAAGATCACTCGGATGGCGGTTAAGATTGCTACAGATCTCACGATCATTTAGGAGCCTCGTGCGTTGTGGGTAAAGTTTCCTGTCTCCGCTGTCATGGTTGCGTGCGATGGACGCAATCGCACCCTTAGTAGTAAGGATAGCGACTCGGATTGGATGCTCCAGGTTTGGTCCGTTAGGGTCGGGTTTTTTTTGGCAGTAGCTGTAGCTGCTGCCAGCATGTAGATTCGACTCCTTCAGAGGATTTAGTCACTCCAAAAGGCGGATGTCGGCTGCGTCTGCCGATAGGTCGCGTGGAGCGAGCTGTTCACTCAGTGGTTTAGAAGGTCGAGTAGGTTTCGGGGCCGCGTCTAGAATTTACTTATTCGTCAGACCACGTTGCTCGACTTACCCGCATGTTCAGATGCGGAATCCGTTATTTAGTGCACAGATCTCTGTTACTTGGTCGCGATCCGCTGGTCGTATAGACCTGCGCGAGTAGCTGAGAAATTAGACTGAAGGTTCCGACTTCTATTCTTCCTGTGCGTCCACTTACCAGCGGTGACAACGACTTACAGCGGCGTATGGTGTGCCCGTGCGTTGCGTGTGTGCGTTGTGGTGTGTGCGTGTGCGGCGTATGGTGTGTCCTCGCGTGCGTGTCGTTTCTTCACGTGTGGCGCGCGCGTGTTACTCTTTCTGTGTGTTTGCGTGCGAATGTCTGCGTGTGTGCATGCGTGTGTGCGTGCGTGCATCTCACGGCAGTCGGAGGAGGATTTGGCGTTGAAGCAGGCGTTGGACCTCATGGTGGAGCGACTCAGTGACCCCGAGCCCGGAGTGCAGAAACTAGCGCTCGAGAGCATGCGGTGAGGGATTTCTCCAGGGGGAGACAAATATGCTATTCTCAAGCATGAAATTTGACAAGAGTTAGAGTGGCGTTGCTGATGTACCCGCTTTACGCGCCTGAGCGTCCCTTCTTGCATCCGCGCTGCACACGGGCTTTGGTACACGTGGCCATGTGCCTGCTTTCCTTGGGTAAATTGGTATCACGAGTCCGTTTTTTCCATCTTAGAACCATTTATTTTCAATCATTTCCCAAACCCTTGAGATTGTCGCTAACGCGTTTGCTGCATGGTGCGTGTGTGCGTGCGTGCTTGTGCGTATGACCATGGCAGCAAGGAGATCCGCACGGCCACCAGCTCCATGACGTCTGTGCCCAAGCCGCTCAAGTTCCTGCGCCCGCACTACGCGCTGCTCAAGAGCTCCTACGACACTGTTCACCCCGACAACAAGGTCTCGGCCCACTCTCTTCCCTCCTGCTCTGCTTCCCTCCTGCCCTCCTGCCCTCGCTTCTCATGCCCGCGTACCTTCCTCCACTCCTCTTCTCCTGCTCGTTGAAATCCTGCCTTGACGCATGGCGTACTCGCCATGGCCTTCCAACGTCACCTTCTTTCTCTTGCATCCTGCTCTGCACCGCCGCTCGCGTAACCCTCTAGGTCCCCGTTGCTGGTCTTTCCGCATACTTTCGCTCCCCTAACCGCTGTCTGACTGTCGTGGCCTTGATGTCCCTGCATCTCCGTTCTCTGTGCCATGCAGAGCCTTATTGCAGACGTCATCTCAGTGCTGGCTATGACTATGTCCGAGGACGGCGCCCGGGTACGTCACGTCCTTCTCTTGCCCGCTGCTTCCCCCATTGTTGATCCGAATATTCTGATCTTCCCGAGGGTTCCCTCCTCATTCCACTTTCCTCATACCACCCTATTCATGTCTCATATGATGACTGGATGTGCGTCTTTAGTCTTACCTCTGTTGCTCGCTGTTATTTCTCTCGCTCGTCCCTCTCCCTCTCGCGTGCTCGTACCTCTCTCGCATGCGCTCACCCCTCTCACTCCGTGCTGTTGCTACTCACAGGAGAGTCTCAAGTACCGGCTGTTGGGATCCACAGAGGACCTTGGCTCGTGGGGCCATGAATACGTCAGGTGAGTGACACTCCATTCCTCTTGCAACCCCTCAACCCCCTGCTGCGCTCTTCGTGCTTCTGTCATCTGAACTCCCTTCAACTTCCCGCATTCCTGCCATTCCTCACCTTAGATCCCGATCTGCCAAGTGTTTTTGCTCTTCCCCGTCCACCCCATCACCCCTGCCGTGTTCCTCTCCTCTCCCCTGTAACCTCCCGCTTCCCCACGGTCCCCTTTAACCTGCTGCCTTTTGCGCCCAGTCTCTCCGTTGACTTTTGAGTCGACTCAAAAGTCACCTCCCGCTTCCCCACGGTCCCCTTTAACCTGCTGCCTTTTGCGCCCAGTCTGGAACCTGGCGGGGGAGATAGGACTGCAGTACCAGCTACGGCAGGCGGACGACTTTTGAGACGTCTTAAAAATCCCTTGGCCTGACCGTGTGTTCTGTCTCCTCGTTTCAATCCCCCCTCTGTACCGGGCGAGCAGGAACCTGGCGGGGGAGATAGGAGTGGAGTACCAGCTACGGCAGGCGGACGACAAGCCAGTGGACGACCTCATGGGCCTCGTGCAGCAGATCGTGCCCTTCCATGTCGAGGTGCGTCCTCGCGTCTCATATGCCCGCTTCGACTTTGTCCCTCCTATGCTCCCTTTCCTTTGTCTCCCCCTTTCTCCACCTCTTCCTCTTTTCCTTCACCCCCTCAGCCTCCTACTTTCCCCGGCCTCACTCCCCGTCTCACTCTCGGCCACCCAGTGCATTGACAGTCTCATGTTCTGCCCTCTTTGAGTAAACCACTGCTGAGTCCGCTTTTCACTGGTTCCTTGTGTGCTTGTAACGCATGTGACCACTTGGCATGCTGTGTTGCTTTGTACGCTTCCCCGTGCCACTTCTCCTACCTCATCTCGTGCCTTTCACTGTCACCTCTCCCATCTCCCTGTGCCCTTCCCGTGCCTCTCCTACTGCCTGTCCTTTCGTGTGCCGATGTCATTCTCGCCTGTACCCTGTGCAGCACAACGCTGAGCCCGAGGCTGTCGACCTCTTGATGGAGGTAGGCGTTCGTTCCTCTGCACTGCACCTTCCTTCCTTTCTCCTTCTATTTTATTACACGCCTCTTGACTAGTGCAGGAGGGTCTATGCTCCTTCCCTCACTATCCCCCACTATGCTCCTTCCCCCACCTTCCTTGTCTCTCTCACCACTGTCCACCTTGAGATTGCTCTCACATACCTTCACATCTTTCGGCATGCATCCCCATTGTTTCCTCATCTTCGCACCACTTTCCAATCATGAAGCTCCATGCCACAATTGTCCTCTTGCTTTCCCTTCCCTTTTTCCCCTCTCTCCCAACCTCCCCCCTCCTCTCCAAACTGCTCCTTCCCACTCCATTCTTTCTGCTGGCAGGTGGAGCATTTGGATATGTTGGTTGACCACATTGGTCCACAGAACTACTCCCGCACCTGTCTCTACCTCACTGCCTGCGCTAGGTGCGTTTCCCCCTCCCTCCTCTGCCATCATAACTCTTCGGTACTGCGCATTCGAATGCTGTGACAGCCCTCCGCTCTCAACGTTTTTAACCTATATATCTCATGCCGCCCCCTCCTCACTCTTCCCTTTTTTAAACTCTCCCACCCTGCTCCCCAAACGGCTCTTCTTCCCCCCCTTCCCCCCTCTCCCGCAGCTATGTGCCAGAGCCAGAGGACATGGTGGAGTTGGAGGTGGCATACCGGATGCAGGAGTACCGCAAGGTCAACAAGTACCTCAACACGCGATGCGAGTTGCACTCCACATATTCCCCTTCCCCCTCTCTCCCGTTCTTCCAGCTACGTGCCAGAGCCAGAGGACATGGTGGTATTGGAGGTGGCATACCGCATCTATCGCAAGGTCAACAAGTACCTGGACGCACTCAGGGTCGCTCTGCGCATGAACCGCCCACAGGTTCGTGCGTGTGTGGACTATACGATTTTCTCTTGAGTTAGTTGACTCACAGACCTTTCGGCAAGGTCAACAAGTATTCAGCTGCGCTCAGGGTCGCCCTGCGCATGAACCGCCCACAAGTGAGTGCGTGTGGGTATGGTGCCAACTTTGAAAGGTTGATTTTCTGGGTCGACTGACTATTTTCAGTCAGCTCGATGTCCTAGTCGAGTCAGAAATAGAAACTGGCGCGCATGGTTACAGTTCTATGTGTTGGGGTTGCGACTTCGCTACATGGTGGTGCATGGAATTTCTTGGACTTTATGCTAAGCTTAAACCCTACCCCAGACCTCAACCCCGAACCTTAAGCCCTGTAGACAGTGTCTGCATGTGTTTGCTCTCTGCTTAATTCGTGCCCTGCCTTCTCTGTATGTGTGTGTGTGTGTGTGCGTGCGTGTGTGCGTGCGTGTGTGTGTGTGTGTGTGTGTGTGTGTGTGCGCGCGCGCGTGTGTGCGTGTGCGTGTGCATTCGCGTGTGCATGCGTGTGTGTGTGTGTGTGTGTGTGTCTGCACCAGTTTGTGCGGGAGACGTTCACAGCAGCGGAGGGCCTGGAGAAGAAGCAGCTCGCGTACCTCCTCTCTCGCCAGGTGACCATGCCTTACTGTCCCGTCTGTCATGCAACCAGCATGCATGCCATTTTTGTTTTATCCCTCTACTCACCTGGCTGCCGCGTTCCTCTTTCCTTACGCAGGTCCTTTGGCATCCTGTCAAATGTATTTCGTTACAACTGCTTTTTTGCCTCAGGGCTTTGTGCTGAATCTGGAGGAGGAGCCGGAGCTAGCGAGTGACGAGGAGCCTAAACTAAGTATATATATCTCATTATCACTCCCCGCCACCCCCCCTCAGGGCTTTGTGTTGAATCTGGAGGAGGAGCCAGAGCTAGCGAGCGACGAGGAGCGCGAGGCGCTGCAGGAGATCATGTGCAACACACGGCTGTGCGAGGGCTACCTCACTCTCGCCCGCGACCTGGACGTCATGGAACCCAAGCTGCCTGAAGACATCTACAAGGTGGGTGCTGGCGCTGGGGGTTGGTGTTGGTGACACTCGTGTGTTTCCACGTCTGCCACGTGTTGCACGTCTCCTGTGAGTTGATTCAATGCCCGCCTGTGCGAGGGGTACCTCACTCTCGCGCGGGACCTGGATGTCATGGAACCCAAGCTGCCTGAAGACATCTACAAGGTGGGTGCTGCGGGAGGTGAAGGGGGGGGGCAAGAAGTGGGGGAGGGGGGGACTGGGGTACACACACACTCGGGTAACGTTTGTCTCTTTACTCATGGTTAAGAGTCAAGTCAAATTCCACCTGGGTGGGGACGTGCGATCCTCGCCGGGGACCTGCACGTTATGGAACCCAAGCTGCCTGAAGACATGTACAAGGTGGACATGCTCTAAGGGTTGGGTTCCAAGGGATTGCGGTTGCTGGCACGTGTGTGCTCTCCCTTCCTGCTTGCGTGAGTTTTGAGATGATGCAATGGCCAGTAGAAGAGGGTGAGCGGGGGAGGACTATGCGATTCTCGCCAGGGACATGGACATCTTGGAACCTGGCAGTCACGTTCGTGAACGCGTTCGTGCATGCGTCCCTGCCCTCCCTTCTCCCTGCCCCCCCCCCCCCCCCCCCCACAGGCGCATCTCATCGACGGGCGAGCATCGCAGGCATCAACTCTCGACTCCGCCAGGCAGAACCTGGCAGCCACGTTAATGAATGCTTCCCTGCACTCGCTTCTCCCTGCCGTTCCTTATCCCACCTCCTTCCACAGGCCCATCTGATCGACGGCCGGGCATCCCAGGCATCGACTCTTGACTCCGCCAGGCAGAACCTGGCAGCGACGTTTGTGAACGCGTTCGTGAATGCTGGGTTCGGGCAGGACAAGCTGCTCACGGCAGCAGGGGGCGAGGGCAGCAGCGCAGCCGCAGGCAGCTGGCTGTTCAAGAACAAGGAGCATGGGAAAGTCAGCGCCACTGCTAGCCTGGTGAGTCGGCGTGCAGCGCGGTGCCTTATGTTTGAATCAACCCGTGTTGTGTTGTATCGAGGTGAATGGTAGTTTGATTCAAAGGGCTACAGTGGCCTGTTTCTCCTTCATCTCCTCAGAACCTGAGTCTATCCACAAATTCATCTCTGTGTGTGCTCTCTCCCATCCGTGCCTCCTTTTCTTCCACTACAGGGCATGATAGTGCAGTGGGACGTGGACGGGGGTCTGCCGCAGATAGACAAGTACCTGTACACCAACGACAACAACATCATCGCAGGCGCGCTGCTGGCCGTGGGCATTGTCAACTGCGGCGTGCGCAACGAGTGTGACCCGGTGAGTATTGCGGCCCCTCTCGGGATTTGCAGCGTGGGTAGGAACATGGTTTAGGGTTTATGGGCGTTTCAGGCATGGGGTTGTACTGCTGGCTGTGGGCATTGCCATTCTCTCTCACTTACAAGTTGCGATTTGTGTGCGGTTGTTTGAGGTGGGTCTTGAGCGTTGTGCTGCGCTGCCGCCTTCTTGAATCACTTGCTGATCTTCCCCTCTGTCGTACTCCTTCCCCCCGCCCCTTCCTCGCTCTGTTTTCCCTCTCCCCTCCGTTCCCCCTCTGTTGCTGGTATGCGCTTGGCTTGACATTCCATGGCATGATATGGAACTCTACGGCTTGGTGCATGGCATGTCACGTGACTGTGCATGGCATGGCATGGCATGGCATGGCATGGCAGGCGTACGCGTTGCTGTGTGACAGTGTGGAGAAGGACGATCCCACCATCCGCATCGGAGCCATCATGGGCCTTGGCCTCGCATACGCCGGCACATGCAAGGAGGAGGTGCGTGCGCTGCCTTTCCCTTCTCCTGCCCTTGCCTGCTGTTCCCTGTCGTTCCATTTCCCTGCCCCATCTCCTGCCCCTTTCGCCCTGCTGCCCCTTTTGCTCTCCTGCCCCTCCGTTGCATGGCATGTTCCAAACGTTTTGTCTGCTTCTCAACTTTGTATCTCTCTCCTCCCTACCCTCCCACCTTCTCCTCCCTCAGACCCACATCAATCATTTGCCAATATCCTAGCCCCTGTCCCCGTCCCCCGTTTCCCTTTGCTCACCCTCGTCCACCCACACCATGAGCACATCTCAACCCCCCCATCCTCCTACCAATCCCCCCATCAAATCCTACACTCCGTGCAATTTATGAGGTGCCATACAAATAAACAACCTCCCACCCTTCTTCCCACCCGCCCGCCCGCCTCCCATCAGGTGCTCGCGCTGCTCGCTCCAGTGGTCACGGACACCAAAACCCCCATCGACGTCGCCGGAAACGCAGCCCTAGCCCTCGGCCTAGTCTTCGTCTCCTCGTGCAACGAGGACGCGGCACAGGCCATCATCCTCGCCCTCATGGAGCGCGACACAGAGCTCTCAGAGCCGCTCGCGCGCTACCTGTGCCTCGGGCTGGGGCTGCTGTTCCTGGGGCAGCAGGAGGCGGTGGATGCGACGGTTGAGGTGGCGAAAACGCTGAATGAGGCTGTGTCGGGGTACTGCCAGGTTACGCTGGAGGCGTGCGCGTATGCCGGCACGGGGAATGTGCTCAAGGTGAGGGATTTTTTTGTCCTGCAGCTTGACTGTTCGGAGCATGATGTATTGCCAGGAGCTGCTTGCTTTTAAATCCCACTATCCCCGTTTCCCACACCCCTGACTCTCCCTTATCCCCATTCCCCTTCCCCTTCCCACCTTACCCGCTTCCCCCCCCCCCCCCCCCCCCTTTTTTCCCCCACGAATCCTGCTTGTATGCTATCTCACACTTTCTGTTCCCATGGTTTTGCTTTTGTTCGGATTCGTTCTTGCGTTCAACTGTTTCGGTTAACAAGCTTTCGCTGTTCACCTCACCCTCCTTCTCTCCGCACATCCCTCCAGGTGCAACAAATGCTCGCCCTCTGCAGTGCGTCCTCAGAGACGCCAGCAGCAGGCACCGGCACCGCAGCAGCAGGGGCAGCAGCACCAGCAGGGACAGCAGCAGCAGGCACCACAGCAGCAGCAGGATCCACCGCAGCAGCGGGCAGTTCAGGTGCGGCAGGAGCAGCAGCAGGCAGCAGCGGCGGCAGCAGTGCAGCAGCAGGGAAGGCAGGGTTCGGGCAGGGGGCAGCGGTGTTGGGGATAGCGATGGTGGCGATAGCAGAGGAGCTGGGATCGGACATGGCCATTCGCAGCCTGGAGCATCTGCTGCAGTATGGCGATGCTAGTGTGCGACGCGCTGTTCCGCTTGCCCTCGGCCTGCTCTCCATCTCCAATCCACGGGTGAGCCTTGCAATGCCACTTTCTTATCTGTTACAATCCTGCTGTCTCTCGGGCTCTAGTCCTCTTCCCCTCTTTCCTTCAGTTCTCTCCCACCCACTTTTCTTCGTTCTCTCCCCCTCTTTCCTTCGTTCTCTCCCCCTCTTTTCTTCAGTTCTCTCCCTCCCACTTTCCTTCGTTCTCTCCCCCTCTTTCCTTCAGTTCTCTCCCCCTCTTTCCTTCGTTCACTCCCCCTCTTTCCTTCAGTTCTCTCCCCCTCTTTCCTTCAATTCTCTCCCTCCCACTTCCCGTCGGTTCTCCCCCATCTGTTCTCTTCTCTTGCTGTTCTCTCCTATCCATCTTGGTGTACTTCTAGCTTCATCTACTACCCAGCCGCTTCCTCCCATTCACTTTCATCTCGTTCATCTCCTTTGTCCTTTCGCCCTCCCACTTCCTCCATCTGTCTGCATGTGCGTCTGCGTGCGTATGGGCTTTGCATCTCTTCACCTCTGTACGGACAGATGGGTGTGATGGACACACTGGGTCGGCTAACACACGACAGTGATGCAGAAGTCGCTATGGTAAGTTCACATGGTATGCCGGTGCATGCGTGTCTAGCATGTCAGTAACATGTGTAATAGAAGGGGCAAGCACGTGGTCTGCTGTTTTTTTTTTTTTTTTTGTAGGGGCTTTTGGGTGAACCCAGGAGGACAACGTGGTCTGCTGGACTGGACAAGCAGTTCTGTTCACGTGTTTCATGCATGCTGTAGTTCCATTCTTTTTTCTTCGCACTTCTTTTGCAGTTTGATATTTCAAGGCCAAATTTGTCCATGTCGAGCAGTGTGTTACTGAAATCAGTGCACAGTGTGGTTCTGTGTTGTTACATGTGGTTTTGTTCCACATGATAAAACTGAAAATCGCATGACCCGTTCTGCGTGGCACAGGGAGCGACCTTGTCGCTGGGTCTCATAGGTGCGGGCACCAACAATGCGCGCATCGCAGGCATGCTGCGCAACCTCTCTTCCTACTACTACAAGGACCCCACCGTGCTCTTCTGTGTAAGACACCCCACTCCATTCCTCCTCCCACGTACCCAACTCGCCCTCCCCCCACCTCTTTTGAGTCCTCGCTACCTCTCCTCCTACTACTACAAGGACCCCACCATGCTCTTCTGTGTAAGACACCCCACTCAACCTCTCCTACTATTTTGAGAAGGACCTGACCATGCTCTTCTGTGTAAGTCACCCCATACCACTCCATCTCCATCCCCGTGCCCACCTTCACCCCTCCCCGTCCCCTTATCCATTTCCGTCTGACTCCACCTTTCTCCGATGACCTCGGATTGCACTTTCGTCTTGCTCACTTTCAGATTTGCTCACATATTCTACATTCTTCCTGCCCTGCACACTCGCAATGTTCACACTTGTCTCTCCCTCTCCACCCTCCCCTGCCTCTCTACCGTGCTCTTGCAGGTGCGCATTGCCCAAGGTCTCGTGCATCTGGGCAAGGGTCTGCTCACACTCAACCCCTACCACTCCGATCGTTTCCTCTGCTCCAAGTATGGCCCCTTGCCACTTCGCCAGAATCACTCATCTTCCATTCATTCTCCCACCTCCCTGCCACCATTATATTTCAAATCCCGACCTCTTTTTCACCATTTGCTCCAGTATTGGATGCACCATCCGTACATCGGATGCACCATCTGCACATTGGATGCACCATCTGTACATTGGATGCACCATCTGTACATCGGATGCACCATCTGTACATTGGATGCACCATCTGTACATCGGATGCACCATCTGTACATTGGATGCACCATCTGTACATTGGATGCACCATCTGTATATCGGATGCACCATCTGTACATCGGATGCACCATCTGTACATTGGATGCACCATCTGTACATTGGATGCACCATCTGTACATTGGATGCACCCCCGCAGCACACTCTTCTCCTCGACATCCCTTCCTCCGTGCTTTTCCTTTAATAATTTTGGCCTATCCGCTCCTCTCCGGGTTTGCACTGCCCTCCCTGTTTGACCTATCCTTTCTTTTTCACACTGCCTCTCCCGCTCGATGTCCCATCCTGTGCTCTCTGCTCGCAGTGTGGCACTGGCAGGGCTGGCAGCGCTGCTGCACAGCTGTCTGGACATCAAGGGCATCATCCTGCACCGCTACCACTACGCACTCTACTACATTGTTCCCGCCATGCAGGTATGGAGGGTTGGGGGGTTGTGCCATGCAGGATAGTGCATTATAGTGGCGTCTGCCTTCCAGGTGTAGACTAGATATGCCGTTGTATTAAGCTACTTGCGGATCTTTCTGTTCGTCCTCGCCTCATCTTTCCTCGCTCTGATCTACAGTTCCCTCGCTCTGATCTACAGTTCCCTCGCTCAATGCCACAACCACTCGTCCTCTCCCCTCTCCAACCTGTCACCCTCTCCTCCTCGCCCCTCCCCACGCCCATCTCTCTACAGCCGTGCATGCTGCTGACAGTGGATGAGGATCTGAAGCCGCTGTCAGTGCCGGTGCGAGTGGGGCATCGACTGAAAGATCACCGTTCCCATGTTGTCTCCCTGTCTCTCGTTCCTGTCCCCCTTCCCTTCTCCCCCCCCCACCCCCCCAAAAACCTCTCTACAGCCGCGCATGCTGCTGACAGTGGATGAGGACCTGAAGCCGCTGTCAGTGCCAGTGCGAGTGGGGCAGGCGGTGGACGTGGTGGGGCAGGCAGGGCGCCCCAAGACCATCACGGGCTTCCAAACGCACACCACACCCGTGCTGCTCGCCACGGGCGACAGAGCAGAGCTCGCTACAGACAAGTGAGTGGCTGCATGATAAAGGGTTGGGTTTGAAACGTTTCAGAAGCAAGCAGGGCGTCCCAAGGCTGTCACAGGGTTCCAAACGCACACCACGCCTGTGCTGCTCGCCACGTGCGACAGAGCAGAGATTGGTACAGACAAGTGAGTGGTTACTACCTTGCTCATTTTGATGCGTGTGCTGGTGAAGAGGTTGATTGTGCGTGGTGGCATTTGGTGTCCTGGTTTGTGCTTCATTCGTTAGCATACTAACCGTTCATCCACTCGTGCACTCTTCATCGCATCCGCTGCTGTTGTGATTTTTCATTGTATCTGCTTCCATCTGCCCTTCTCTGCTGTTCTCTTGCTCTTCCTTTCCTCATTGTGCACAGGTACATTCCACTCTCCTCTGTGCTAGAGGGATATGTCATTCTTCGGAAGAACCCAGATTTTGTTGAGGACCACCTTAGCACATAAAGGGGTAGATAAAAAGGTGTATTTGCTGGGATGGCTCATTGACGTCTTGGGCGGAGTTTTGCAATAGTGGTTGTGGATAGAGAAGTGTATACAATCTCCACAGCATGTATTTCTGACCATTTGCCAGCTTGTGAGCTGGGTTGTGGAATTCTAGGTTGTGGTCGGGCAGGTTGGCAGGGTGAATTCTGGCTTGGGCAACTAACAAAACTGAATATTTGACTTGTCAAACCAGTGCAGCGAAGCAGCGTGTAGCGTGTGTTGAATCACAGCGCTTTTGCAGAATGGTTGGGTACGGTTGGTAACACTTTGTCCTCTGGTGCTTGGTGGGGAACCGTTGCAAGCAGTTTCTTGTTGGATCCACCCGATATACTGCTGTCCTCCGCATATTCCGCCCAGCAGGTCGACCTTCGCCACCACCACTATCCGCGTCGGAGCATTTTGCTCCCCCGCTCTCGCCGTCTCTAATCCATTCGCGTCGTCTTGCCATCGCCATCGCACCGTCGCTTTCCCGCCATGTCGAACCTGCAGCACTTCCTGCGCCAAGTGGCGGGTCTTAAGCTCAAGGAGGTCCCGAACTTCGTTAAGAGCGTCGCGACGTACGATAACGTCATGAACGAGTCGACGCGGTTTCTTAAGGAGTACCACCGCAAGTACATCGTCACCAGCAGCCCGAAACCGCTCTTCCAGGTCATGACTGGCGTCGGCGTGCTGAGCTACGCCGTCGGATGGCCGGCGGAGATCCGTCATATGAAGCACGCGGCAGCTGCGAAGGAGGGCGGCGGACACCACTGAGCGCGGCGCAGCGATGCGGTGGTGGGAATGGGGGGTTACCAGCGAGTAAGTCACAGCCGTTCTGGTTTGCTTTGCGCGTTGTAGCTGCGTCCTCCTTTCCACCGTTGCGTTGTGCGACGTTTTCGCCAGATGTTATTGCCGATCCGATTTCGTTCGCTCCGCCGAGGTCAGTAACGAAACTCGTTGATCACGAATAATCTCAGGTCGTGTTGATCAATTAGGGTTTCTGTGACAAGGTGAGATCGGATGGCGACTTGGCTGCATAGAGCCATGAATCACATCATTTGGTCCACGTTTTGCCAGCTCTTTTACCTGATCCTTATCTCGTTTTGCAGTTGTCGTGAATGGTTGGCTTAATCTATGTCAGACTGAGCTTGCTAGGTATATGCTGAGTCGTGCCACAAGCTTGTCTCTAGCTGCTGAGCGTGTAGCATGCTGCCCTAACCCACACGTCCATGCAAAATGGCTTGCTGTCAGTAAAGCTGAGCTGGAACGTTGGTTGTAAGTGCCTTTGTACATGAGGTTCTCACTTTCCTAGCCCGCGGTCTCACCAGGTTGGTGCCAAAGGTATTGACTTTCTACGTGGCCTGTTTTCTTAACATTGCCATTTTCCTTTTGCCTTCCCCATGCTTGTTGCAGGCAGCATCCTTATACCAGGAGTGGCTGCTTATCACCTTTCTGCTTGAGCAACAGACACTTACCGGTGCGGTAGTAGGCGTAGCAAAGTGAAGCGAGTACTGGCAGTACCAGTGTAATGAAAAGGCAGTTGTGTATTGTTGCTGTATTGTGATTAAAACATTACTGCGCTCATTGTGCAAGCGGTCACTCTGATTCCGGTAAGTGCGTACAATGCTCTCTAGAAGAGCCTGTCCGACAAGTGTGATGCAGCTTCAGTCGGTCTTGTTACATAGAAAGTATCTAGTCCCTTGAGCTGTGACACGGCAGGACTACAAGAGCTTTACTGTAAACGTTCTCCAGCCATACAGGCAACAAACATCACCAGCAGCTTGCATCATACATCATACCATACACTGCACCTGTTGTTTGGTGCCCTAATCCCTCACCTCTGTCCATCAAACCACCTGTTGTTTTCTGAAGCAGGGACGGGACTTGAACCATGCGCACATGCATTCCTGCTGTTTGCTTGCTTGTGTGCAAAAGGCCTGTACCCTGTTCTTTGCACAACACTCCTCCTGCCTTCAAATGCTAGACTAACATTCCAGGTCTTGCAGTCTCAAACAAAGAAAATTGGTCTAAACCAGACAAAGACCGTACTGCAACACACACCAAGCTAGCACAACCTTAGCAAAATCCATTCAAAGCCATGATGAAGCTTCCTCAGGCCCCAGAAATGAGGAATTGCTGGGGCAGGCAGAAGGTGTTGCAGAAAGAGGATGAGGAACCAGCAGCAGATGGGAGGAGAAGGAAGCTACCGAAGCAAGGAACGGACAGGAGCTGGATGAGAGGAAGAGACCAGCGATTATTTGCTAAGCCGCACCAGGAGGCACCATTCCACAACTAAAACCTCATTTGAGAGAGTTCCAGCAGTCTACAAATATCCCTAACCCTCCATGAATATCCACAGACCTGCATAACCCCCACCCCCACCCACCAATGACCTGCATACACTGACCTCTCTACAAAACTGTGGGTGGCAGGCAGGCACCCACCTATCCCTTACCTACCTAGCTACTGAATAACACCGTAGGACATTCAGCCTGACACCACCAACAATAAGTCTGTAAGTCTGTGGGTAGCCTGCCTGCATTCACGGTAAGTCTCTCTGGCTTCCAGCAACAGCCTCACCAGCAATTCAAAACCCTGTTGGCCAGGCTTACAGCTTGTGCCTCCACCACCTAAACTTCTGAGGAAACGCCACTCTGAGTGTGTAGAGTGTGGAGTGTGCAGAGCATGCAGGGCGGGATGTGTGCAACGCATCCTCAGAGGCCTCGGGACCGTCGCCGGAGGAAGTCAGGGATGGGCGGGGGGGAGGACGGTCCTGCCTGCTGTTGAGGGACTGGTGGACTGTATGGGGGCTGCTGCTGCTGCTGTGGGGGGAACGGCATTCTGCTTCCTAGCACCCTGGCTGCTGCTGGAATCTCCGACTGCGGGATACATTGGGTCGCAAGGGAGAAACGAGACGGTGAGGGGAGAGGGAGAGGGCGGAGACGGGGGAAAGGGAGGGAGAGGAGAGCTTAAGTTTGAGGTTGGTGACTCAAGGGCAGCACAGGAGGAGGATGAACATATGTCATCATTAAGGACAAGTACTGGGGAGCAAAGCACAAGCTAGCAGGGATGCATGGAGTGGGGCAGAGGGAAAAGAGAGGGGGGGAAAGGGGGTGGATGGGTCGACTCACTTGCGAGCCCGGTTCTTTGAGGCCAGTTGCAATGAGGGTGATGCTGACCTGCAGTGGGTTCAAGGAGAAGAAGAAGCAAGGAGCAGGGACGAGGGGGAGGGGATACATGTGCGATGGGAAAAGTGGTTACGAGGACTGTATGCGCATGCACCCACTCTCATGAATGAACGATGGACGGGTGGATTGTGCGTGTATGGAGGAGTTTGTGTGTGTGTGTGTGTGCGCGCGCGCGCGCGCGTGCGTGCGTGCGTGCGTGCGTGTGCGCATGTGTGTGCATGCATGGATGGGTAGGCACAGGCATGGGATAAGGCTGGCATGGGTGGCACAGGCGGACGTACATTGGGCGCCATGGATTCATCGACAACAGCACCGAAGATCAGGTTGGCGTCTGGATGCACCAGCTGGTGAATCTCCTGCGCTGCCTCGTTCACCTGCATAAGAGAGGGGACGGGGGGGGGTGGGAGAAAGGGCAGGGGGCGGGAAGGGTGGGAGTGGTGGTGAAGGGGGGGTGGGGGAGTGGGGGTTTGCCGGAAACATGATGGATGGAGACAAGGGTAGGTGAGAGGATGTGAGAGGGTGTGAAGACGGTCGGATGAGTTGAAAGCTCGGAGTGTGAGGGGCAGGCAGGAGCTGACCTCGAGAAGCGTCATGTCAGGGGGTCCTGTGATGTTCCACACGATGCCAGTGGCGCGCTCTATGCTCACTTCCAGCAGCGGCGAGTGAATCGCTTGTAGTGCTGCCTTGCGCGCCCGGTCCTTGCCTGCAGGGTCATGGCGTGGTGCCATGGGGGTGGGCACAGGGGGATGTGCGGATGGGTTGGATGGGAGGAAGTTGGGATGGGATGGAATGGAGTGGAATGGAGGGAAGATGGGATGTGGAATGAGATGGAGGCAGTTAGAAGGGTGGACACCGAAGGGTGCGGAGACTGCCAAAAAGAAAGAAGAAGAAACAAAGAAAGAAAAAAAACATAAATGCACCAAGTAGAAAGGAGGGTATCTGAGACATTGGTGCATGGATGCATGAATGCAGGGATGCATGGATGCATGATATGGGTGCATGGATGCATTGTAAGGGTGCATGGGTGCATGAAAGTACCTTGTGCAACGCCAACGCCCATGAGGGATGGGCCGGCATTGGCCATGACTGCCCTGACGTCAGCAAAGTCCACATTCACTAGCCCTGGAACCTGAGAGAGCGAGAAGGGAGAGGAAGAGGAGGAGGAGGAGGAGGAGGAGGAGGAGGAGGAGGAGGAGGAGGAGGAGGAGGAGGAGGAGGAGGAGGAGGAGGAGGGGGGGGAGGGGGGGGGGGAGAGTGGGGGAAGAGATCGTGGGAAAGGGAAAAGGAGAGGGACGGGTGGGTGGAGCGATAGAGATGTGTACACACGCTGATGATTGGTCATCACATAATCTCAGAATATCAAGCCACGCAGAGGTGACACTGCCACCATGCCTCACTCATGGGCAAGATGGAGGGTGCACGCATGGGGGACAGTGGGGAGGGGGGTTGGGGAGGTGAGGGTGGGTCGTACGGGTTGGAAGGGGAGAGGATAGATACACCCAGTAATGAGGTAACGGTTCACATAGGAGCGTGACGTGGGCTTTCTCAGAAAAAAACCTTCAAACCCCAAACCTATAACTCAGAACCAGCACTCCTGTGTCGCTGCCCAGCAAACGCACCTGAATGATATCGGATATGCCGCGCACGCCTTGCCGCAGCACATCATCCGCGAGAGTGAACGCCTCGTTAATAGGCGTGCTCTTATCCACCGCCTCCAGAAGCCGGTCGTTGGGGATCACGATCAGAGCATCCACGTGTTGCCTCAGCGCTGCCACTGCGTCTAGTGCTTGCACGCGCCGCCGCTGCCCCTCAAACGTGAACGGGAGCGTCACTATGCCCACTGTGAGTATACCGAGGGCCTGCGCGATTTCTGCCACGACTGGCGCTGCCCCGCTGCCCGTTCCGCCACCCATGCCCGCCTGAAATGGTGGGGAGAAGGGTTGGGAGGGAGTGGTGAAGAAATGGGAACAAGATGGCGGATGGAGAGTGGCAGGGGGAGGGACAGGGGAGGGACGTGGGGAGGGGAAGGGTGGGAGGATGGGGACGGGTGGGGAGGGGTGGAGAGCGAGGGACTGATAAATTGCGGTGAGGGAAGGGGGAAGAGTAGCACGAGGGCGAGTCAGGGAGGGGAAGTCCAGACATGGCTGGAAAACGTTTTAGCTTTAAAAACAGTGTGAGAAGGAGGAGGATGAGTGATGAGCAACACAGGGAATATGGGAATGAGAGAGTCTATGTTCACAGCAGGTTAAGCGCACTCCCACATGTGCACTCGCACAGCGCCATCCCCATCCCCTTCCCCTTTCCCCTTCCCCCTTCCCCATTCCCACTTCCCCTTCCCCTTCCCCCATTTCCCCTTCCCCTTCCCCCCTTCCCCCTTCCCCCGCACGCACAGTGACGAACACCATGTCCGCGCCCATCACCGCGTTCTGCAGCCCCTCGCGGCTCTCCTCCGCCGCGCGCTCCCCAATGCTGGGCTTTCCCCCCGCGCCCAGCCCGCGCGTGAGCGCGCCGCCGATCTGCAGGCGGTGCGGCTCGTCGACGGGCGAGAGCGCCATGGCCTGGCGGTCCGTGTTCGTGATCCAGAACTCCACGCCGCGCATGCCGCTCTGTGGGGGGGACGGGCGGGGGGGGGCAAGGGGGGGCGAGGGGGAAGGGGGCAGGCGGAAGGGGGAACAGCGGGGGGAGGGGGAGAAGGGACGAGGGGCGTACAGGTGTGAAGTTTGGGTGGAAGGGTGGGAGTAAGACAGGGAAGGACGGAGGGAGGGATGATGGGAGGGAGAGAACGAGGGAAAAAAAGAGAATGTGGGCGGGAGAGGGGAGAGGGGCGATTTAAGGGAGAGAAAATGATGGGAGATAGCTGGTAAAGGAGGAGTTCTGGTTGATTTCGGAGGTGACGGTGTGTTGGTCCGTGTGGTTCCGTGCGGTTCCTTGCGGTTCCGTCTAGTTCCGTGTGGCTCGTCTTGAGTGGCGGAGCATTCAAAAGGATTCTTCGCGTTTGGTGCGCATGGTGCCGTTCGTGGGTGAGAGAGAGCGGACACGCGTCATGCGCTGCAAGAGTAGAAAGGAAACAAGCCAACGGATAGGAGAACTCTCACACACAGGTGTGATTTGATACTTTCAAACACCGAGACCTCCGAGATGTGATACAATCATGTCCTTTCTTTATGCATGCGCGTCCTTAGCCATGACCTGTGACTCACCGCAGCCCACGCTGCTGCCGATATCGTAGATTATGAAAACAGCTGCACGCCACGCACGGTTGGACCAAATTAACGACTCACCGCTCCCTCTCCTGCCTCGCTTGTTGAGGCGCCTCAAAGGTCGGTCGATCTCCTGCCTCGCTTACATTCGTCTCTCCTCCACACCCTTTGGTTCGTTCTTTCGCTCATGACCTATCTTCCAGTTGACGCACTGTCGCCATTCCCCATAACATTAAGCCTGATCCAGTCAGGCAACCTCCCATCCCACCTCGTTTCATCCCACCCCCCATCTCACCTTAACCATGCGGTTCACAGCATTCGATCCGCCTCCCCCTACGCCCACCACCTTGATCCGCGCGCCCTCCGCGCCCTCCATCCCGCCATCCTCCCGCCAAGAGCTCCGCGCCTGCACCGTTCCCCGCCGCTTCACGCGGCACAGCCCGTTCTGCTTCCTAACCGCTCCGGCTACTAAAGACTGCTGATCCTCAGAGAGAAAGAGGCGGGAGGGAAGAAGAGCAGACGTGGTTTCAGCTGTCAAGCCAAACGGGATCGGCTGAGAGTGCGAAGGGGTAGGCGTGAGCAACGCGTGACATCGCCTGGCCACTGAGCTGGTTACCGGGGAGCACGCGACTGATATCTGCGAAAGTCGCGAATGACGGGGTTTGGTTCCGAGAATAGTTACAGATCGGATGGACGAAAGAAGCTGCGGCGACGGCGGGGAGAGAGGGTGGAGAATGGACGAGCAGTCGCAGTGCGAATGGAGTCCCAACGAGGCTACATGAGACGCCATCACTGCAGTGAAATTTCTTGAGTTGGAGGCGAACGGATGGAATATTTGAGATGTACAAAAGCCGCTGCTAGGAAGAGGAGCCGCTGTTTAAATACAGAGTCTGAAAGGAGGAATGCAAGCTCTAGACTAACGAGCGAGGGCTCCACAAGGGACGGCGTGTGCGTTGCGCGAGGCGGATCGGCTATCGTTCCACATCGCTCGCCTGCTCGCCTGGGACGTCTTTCTTAGGCTGCGTTGCGCTTACACGAAGATCTTGTTATCGAAAAGAGGTTACGTCGCACCACGCGGATGAAGTTAGGGAGAGACGGATGTAAAAGGCACTTCGGGAAATGTGGATGTCATGGGATGGTGGTTGTGATGTGATGATGCGAAATTGCAAGGGGGGGCTCCAAACATGGGTGACGAAGGGAAAGGTGGTAGTTGTAGTGGGGGTGGGGCATAAGGGGGAAGGATGTGGTGAAGGTGATGGGAGGTCGGAGGGAGAAATTGATCGTCGCAAGGGGTACAGGGCGATACAATGGTATTTGGTAGAGGTAAAAGGCGTTTATAGGGGTACAAATCATAAGGTTCGGGCGGAGGGGCAGTGGAGGATGGCACAGGGAATGTCATGTCACGTCACAGGCTTCTGTGGCAAACGGGGGCTGACGGTAGCCCCACATTGTTCAAATCACGACATGCCAGCTTGGCGGGCTAGGATTCCGCGGGAGAAGAGAAGGCGAAGGACCAGGGGTTTTCAGATAATGTGGGACAACTACTGTCGAAGCAGCGGTTTTGCGGGTACTTCATCGCTATTTGGGGACAGTTTCCGGCCCTCCGCCTGTCGGACAGGAAACTTAGTTCAACAATTCAGGAATTCGCACCACATTCACCCACGTGGCACAAAATCACAAGGATTTGGAAAATTTTATCACTCTACCTGACCAAAAAAAATATAAACCCAATCGGAAAGGGAGGCGACTCGGGGAGGCATCAACCCTAAAAATTTTGAGGGATCCCGAGTTTAGGGTTTATTCCTCCCTAAAAGCGTCCAGGTCCATTGGGGTTAATTGTTTTCTGCCCTGCCCTTTTACTGACTGTCAAGTTTACGACACGTGGGTGAACGTGGAGCGAATTCCTGAGTTGTCGCACTAAGTTTCCTGTCTCATGGGCGGAAGACTGGAAACTGTCACTAAATAGCGATGAAGTTCCCTGAGAACGCTGAATCGATAGTAAGTATCCCTAAAAATCTGAAAACCCAAGGACCAGGGGTGGGGCAAGGTTATTGGAGGAGACGTGGGCGGGAGCTTCTGGAGGATTCAGATCCCATCGATGGTGAGGCAGTACGAGTTGGTCAGCTCACTTCTGAACTATCTGTGATTGGCTGAAGGTTTTGAATTATTTACTGTAGTCTTACAGGGATAAGAAAGACATATAGTGAACTGTAAAATAAGCATTAGACTAGCATCATTTCATTTCAAAAACAGAGTTATTTGGTAGGTTAATTGTTAGAAAAATCTAAATCACTTTATTTAATTTTCTTCATGCTGATTATGGTTTAGCATACCAAGATGCATATGCAACCTACATGAAGTATGTATGATTGTGTGTAGTTCAATGGGCGAGGAAGCGCCTTTGTCGAACATCCCCGATTGTCGTTCGCCTAGAATTACGGAGGCCTGCCCAACCCGTGGACGTGGCCACATTGCTTCCCAACCAGCGCCCAAACAGGGTAGTGCGATGTTTCCGGTACTTCTTTTGATTTTTTCTTTCTCCCCTATTTGGCAGTCCAGCCCGTAGATTGTGAGACTGCAATTTTAGGAAGCAATTGATGCAGAAAATGCACTCCGGAAGCTAGTTTGGCAGAAAACAAAAAGCACCTAACAAATTCCAGAGGTGTCTGACTGGACACTGCTGGCCCGTCAAGGCTCACCCATCAATTTGGAGATCCGCTGTCCGCCACAAGTTTCGGGATTCGGAAGGCTTGGCAGGTGTCAGCAAACCGTAGGTTTCCCAAGCACAAGGGTTGTGGTCGGCTTATGAGGTCGGCTCGGGCTTGTGCAGGAGATGGACTGCGGGAGGTATCATTTTGTTCATTGTCTCCCATGATTTTGATTCCTTTTTGCTGAATAGGCAGTCCCAGCAGTACCGGAAATCTGTAAGAATGTACGGGCTGGCACCACTCGTGGGGGCAGCAACTCATAACTGCTGGTGGGTGTGAAAAGGGATTAATCTATGCCACCATTTACCAGTTTTAGAGAGCAACATGTTTAATTCGTTTGTTTAAGCGCTAGGGAACCGTAGCTGTTAGGGCAAGCGTCCCTACAAACATAAAATGAAGAAGGTGCCCGAAGGGTGTTCCAAAAGCGAAGTTGCTAGCATCATTTCTACCCTCCTATCACTTGCACGGAGTTGGTGTGCTTCCAGAACCAGTTGCTTCTAGAGCCTACTTATTGCTTCTCCTACAGCTTACTGTTACTCCCCGCTTGCTACAGTTGGGAGTCTAGATCGCAACTTTCGCGACATAACTAAAATTTCGGTCGCTACTATTGGACTCCCGCGCTTCGTATTAGTTGTAACTATTCGAGCGCCACAATCCTAGCCACAAGGAGGGAGACTCGCATCTAATTTTGTCCGAAGGTCAAGCTCACCATGCCTCGCGTGCCGCGTCCGTCCGCAACTCCTATCCTTCCTTCTAAAGACTACGCGTCCGCGTCGCACGCGACGAGACAATTGCAGCAAGAGCAGGAGGACAGGCAGGAGCAGCATGTCCGACACGCCAAACAGCAACGGAGAAGATCCCTAGATCAGCAGCGAACGAACAATGAGCTGCGAACACCGGCGCAAAGGGAAGCGCGGTACCGAACGAATCAGACATATCAATGGCGGCTGGATCCTCAGCCAAGTCCGTTGACCGAACCTTTACTGGGTGGAACGAGTCAAGCGGGAATAGCGATCTCCGAAGGCGCGAACTCTCGTTCCGGTCCGCAGATTACCTCGTCATCGCTATCGCCTATTCGATGGATTTTACCTGGTTTTGTGAGTTTCCGCTCACAAGGCGGCTTGAGCGGGCCCGCCCAAGCCTCTGTGGTCCCGCCTTCTTCCGCGCAAGCATGCGCGCCAGATTCCCCTCCCCTTCCCCCGTCTCCCCTGCTTGCGCCGAGTTCCGCCCCCGCCTCCCCTCCCCCGCGCCCAATTGCCTCCCTCGCGGAATCTTCGTCTCTCGCCGCTGCAGCGGCGGGGCTTGCGCTGAGCGGAGAAACCAGCCTCGAGAGATTAGAGACGGGAGGCGCAGCGGGGGGAGGAGAAAAGCAATACACAAGCGGCGGGCGGGAGTGGCGGAGCGCGGGGAAAGGGGCGAAGGGGGTGGTTGCTGGTCGCGGAACCGCGGCGGGGGAAGGTGAGGCTGGAGGCGGAGGGGAAGACGAAAGCGGAAATGCGATCGCACGTAGATTAGAGTGGTCGTTACCAGTGTGTAAGGGGAGCGGGGCGGCGAGAGTGAGCGACGAGTGCGAACAGGGCGGCGGGAAGGAGAGAAATCGGAAAAAAGACGGTCAGAGGCGGCCGATTCTTAGATGGATTTGGCGATCGGCGAGTGTTTCGAGCGAAGACAGAGAGGGGAGCGCGGAGAGAGAAGAGGGAGAGGACGAGGAGAGCGACGAGGGGAGCAGCGGGAGTGACGACGAGAGTGACGAGGAGGAGGAGCGGGAAGGAGACGCGGGGGAGGGAGTGCGGGAAGCAGCATCGAAGGCTGTAGGGGCGGTTGTCATCGCAAGGCGGGCGGGCAGGGGCAGGAGTAGAGCGAGAACAAGTGGGCTGTGGCGCAAAGAGGCGATGGTCGCAGAGGCCAAGCTACAAGTCACGTAAGAAGCCGTGACCCCACTTTTTGTTTGCGCTCACTTTCGTTGCCCCTTTCGGCCTCTCCTCTCTCCTGTCTTTTACACATAAAAAGCTCCTCCCTTACTCCTCGCTACCCGTTGCCGTCTGTCCCACTCTTCCACCTCTCTCCTCGCCCTTCTTCTTCCCCCTAACCCCACCCCTGTTCTTCCCTCTCTCTCCCCGTCCTTCCCCTTTCTTTCCCCCATCTCTCCCCCCCCCCGCCCCACCAGCATGGCATGGCCAATGATGGCGGCCAATCTCCTGCAGAACCTCATGACGCTCATTCCGCTCGCTTTCGTCGGTCGTCTCGGCCCTCTCCCGCTCGCCGCCGCGTCCATCGCCACGTCCTTCGCCAACGTCACGGGCCACATCCTGCTCGTGAGTTTGTCCTTCTGCTCTGCTCTTGCTTTGATGCGCCTCACAAACTGCGCCCGCTCCCGCTCGTCGCCACTCCCGCTCGTCGCCACTCCCGCTCGTCGCCACTCCCGCTCGTCGCCACTCCCGCTCGTCGCCACTCCCGCTCGCCACCGCCTCTCACCGCTGCGCCCATCGCCACCTCACCTCGTTTGCCAACGTCACCGGCCACATACTGCTCTCGAGACCGCCGCCGCTCTTTGCTATGCTTTTGCTAATGTGTCTTCAAAGGTGATTTCAACTCCCCGCCGCCTCCATCGCCACCTCATCTCCTTTGCCAACGTCACCGGCCACATCCTGCTCGTGAGACTGCCGCTCTGTTACTGCTGGAAAAAGGGGTGCTTGTGGGAAGGAGGGCTGCTCTGCTCTTTTTCCCATGAAACGATGCCTTTCGCACTTTCCCCGTCCTCCTAGGATTGCTTTTTCCCTACTGCCGTTTCTGCCCACCTTTCCCAAGCTTTCCCCGTCCCCTTCACTGCGTCCGGGCCCCTACTCTCCAGCTTTTCCTGCCAACCTCCTGTGTTCTTCTCCCAGGCCTTTAACTCCCCCACCTCCTTCACACCAACCCCACCACCTCCCCACCCCTTTCCCCCTTCAACACCATACCGCCCGCTGCAGCAAGGCCTGGCGAGCGGGCTAGAGACGCTGTGCGGGCAGGCGTTCGGGGCGGGGTGTCCTTTGCAGCTGGGGCTGCACCTGCAGCGCGCGCTGCTGTGCATGACGCTCGTCCGTCCCCACCCCCATGGGCGTCCATTCATGTCGCTGGCAACCCTCTGTCCCCCTCCGCCTCCTCTTTCCCTCCCCTCCCCTCCATCCTTCCCCTCTTCCCCCCCTCTTCCCCGCAACTCCATGCCACAGCAAGGTCTGGCGAGCGGGCTGGAAACCCTGTGCGGGCAGGCGTTCGGGGCGGGGTGTCCGCTGCAGCTGGGGCTGCACCTGCAGCGCGCGCTGCTGTGCATGACGCTCGTGGCCACGCCCGTGGGCGTGCTCTGGTGGTTCACGGAGCCGCTGCTGCTGCTGCTGCACCAGTCCCCGGACATCGCTGCTCTGGGCGCTGTGTACATCCGCTGGCTGCTGCCGAGCCTCGCTGCTGCTGTTGGCATGCAGTGTCTGGAAAGGTGGGAGGGGTGGTGGGTGGGATGGTGGGAGGGTGGTGGGAGGGATGGTGGGAGGGATGGTGGGAGGGAGGACAGGTGGGAGAGGTATGTGGGTGTGTATGGTCTCGCAACAGGTGGGTCAGGGATGGTGGTGGGAAGAGGTAGGGGGCTTAGGGTGGGGAAATGGGGAAAGGATGCCCTTATTTGAACAAAATTACCACCCTCAAAGGTCAATTGTACTATCAAATAATGACACAAAGATGTGTGCGGGAAAAGGCAGGAGAGTCGGAGGGCGGTGTGACTGGGTGGGAGGTTCGTTCTTACCGCGGCTTAGGTCAGGCTTAGGTCAGGGAGAGTAGTATACTTGCTATAGCACACGTGGTGGCACTGGAAACAGTGTGTATAATGCACAGATAAGTAAACGTTTCACGATGCGCAGCAATCGCATGGCATATTGCCTCAAGTCAGTCACGTCTCTGAGTAGCCTTTGAGCTGCCCCACACTCACTCCCTAGGGTGCGTGTTCAGCAGCCCTCATTACAACCCACCGCTGCCAGCCCTTTCTCTTCACTCTGCATTCCCCTCCCCTCCCCCTCTTTCCGTACCCCATTTCTCTCTACATTTTCCATCTTCCTCCCTCCCCCAACCCTCTCCTTCCCCCCTCCGGTCCCTGACCACTTCTTCCCTTCCCCACTGATCTCCTCGCTTTCCCCCCTCTCCTCCCTGTCTCCATACCGCACTCCCTTCCCCCACACTCCCTTCCCCCACACTCCCTTCCCCCACCCTCCCTTCCCCCACCCTCCCTTCCCCCACCCTCCCTTCCCCCACCCTCCCTTCCCCCACCCTCCCTTCCCCCACCCTCCCTTCCCCCACCCTCCCTTCCCCCACCCTCCCTTCCCCCACCCTCCCTTCCCCCACCCTCCCTTCCCCCACCCTCCCTTCCCCCACCCTCCCTTCCCCCACCCTCCCTTCCCCCACCCTCCCTTCCCCCACCCTCCCTTCCCCCACCCTCCCTTCCCCCACCCTCCCTTCCCCCACCCTCCCTTCCCCCACCCTCCCTTCCCCCACCCTCCCTTCCCCCACCCTCCCTTCCCCCACCCTCCCTTCCCCCACCCTCCCTTCCCCCACCCTCCCTTCCCCCACCCTCCCTTCCCCCACCCTCCCTTCCCCCACCCTCCCTTCCCCCACCCTCCCTTCCCCCACCCTCCCTTCCCCCACCCTCCCTTCCCCCACCCTCCCTTCCCCCACCCTCCCTTCCCCCACCCTCCCTTCCCCCACCCTCCCTTCCCCCACCCTCCCTTCCCCCACCCTCCCTTCCCCCACCCTCCCTTCCCCCACCCTCCCTTCCCCCACCCTCCCTTCCCCCACCCTCCCTTCCCCCACCCTCCCTCCCTTCCCCCACCCTCCCTTCCCCCACCCTCCCTTCCCCCAACCATCCCTCCCTCACTCCCCCCCCCCTGCAGATACCTGCAAGCCCAGTCCGTAACCTTCCCCATGGCTGCCTGCGCGCTCGCAGCAGTACTCGTGCAGTTCCCTCTCACCTTCCTCCTCGTACACACGCTCCACTGGGGCCTACCAGGGGCCGCCATAGCCGTCTCGCTGGCCTATCTGCTGGATCTGGTGTTGCTGCTGGTCTACGTTCGCTATACTGGTGTGGCCAGGGCCGCGTGGGGCGGGTATAGTATGGAGGCGTTTTGTGGGTGGGAGCCGTTCCTGCAGCTCGCCCTGCCCTCTGCTGTCATGCTGTGGTGCGTGCAGGGGGGGGGGGTGAAGGGGAAAAAGGGGGAAGGGGGAGGGTGGAGGGGAGGGCCAGAGAAAGGAAGGGGGTTTTCTGGGTGGGTGGGAGGCAAGTGGAGAAACGAGTGGGGGAGGGGAGGGGGGAAAGGAGTGGCCTGGGGAAGGCGGGGCGTAGGGTAGTGTGGAAAAGGAGTTGGGAAGGGAAGAGGGGAAAGGAATGGGGGAGGGAAACAGGGAGAGGAGTGGGGGTGTTGACAGAACAGGTCAATCGAGGCGGAGCAATCATACCTCTTACACTGGTTTCTGGTTGTTTTTTTTTTCCCACAGAATCCACTGCTCTGCTGTATAACGTGTGCTTTCCCTTCCCCTTTCCACCGTGCTCAGCCTTGAATATTGGAGCTTCGATATAGTCACACTTCTGGCCGGCCTATTGCCTAACCCCGACATCCAAGTAGCCGGCCTTTCTGTTGTGTAAGTGCCCTCATGCCTAAGGCTCCCGGTTCTCCCTAAAGCTCACTTGTTCAATCAGCCTATCATACAGAAATTGTATTATTTATTGGAGCCTCGGGACATTAGCAGTCTCATCATTGCTCTTCTCCCAACTCCCCCCCCCGCCCCCTTCTTCCATCCTGCTCTTCAGTCTGAACACGTCAGTGATGGCGTTTGTGCTGCCATACGGCTTTGGTGTGGCTGTCAGCACGCGCGTGGCCAATGAGTTGGGGGCAGGAGATGAGATTGCCGCCCAGCGAGCCGCCACAGTGGGGGTGCTGTGGGCGCTTTTCGAGGCCACGCTTGTGTCCTCGGCTCTGCTCACTGTCCGCTCCTCCTGGGGCTGTGTGTTCAGCACATCCCCTGAAGTTGTCGCCTTCGTTGCTGCCATCATGCCTCTGCTTGTCGCATCTGTCGTCACTGATGCGGTCAATGCTGTTTTGTCAGGTAAAATCTCTGGGAAGGTTTTTCAGGGTTTGTGTGGTTCGAATTCCCCAGGTCTGTTAGTTCCTCTGATTCTTGTGGCTCGTTGCCTCAGTTATCTGGTTGTCGTAAGTTCGCTTACTTGTTTTGTTGTCGCTATCTGTCATGTTCTTGGATGCTCAGCCACTGGATCGCACTGCTCCCTGCATTTTGTCAACCCTAAGCACGCTCAATCTCACCTATTTCACCCTTGTGCATACAACCCCACCTGCAGGCATTGTCCGTGGATCAGGCTATCAGCAAGTGGCTCTTGTTGCCAATCTTGCAGCGTATTACCTCGTCGGACTCCCGCTTGCGGCCCTACTTGCCTTCCACCTCAAGTTGGGAAGTGTGGTAAGAACATTTTCTTCCTGGCTTACACTCAGTTTCATTTGCCTTTATATGATATTTCCACCTTTAGCACTGTCTGCCTTCCTGAACCACTATTTCTTTCTTTTGTGTCATTGCGCTCACCTCTCTTGTTCCATTCACGCTTTCGTTTTCTTGCCCTGTGTATTGTAGGGTCTGTGGTCAGGGCTGACAATTGGCACATGCGTGCAGCTAATCAGCATTGCAGTTATCATGGCAAGAATGGACTGGTCACAAGCGGTACGGCCCTGCGTGTGTTTTGCTTTCTCAGGTTTCGTGCACATCATGCATGGTACTCTTCTGAATGTGGTGATTCTGGTCGTGGCTCTGCTTTACACGGTGCCTCCTCCTTGAATGCGTGTGTCTGCAGGTTGATGTTGCTCGAGAACGTGTGGAGTCATCCATGTCCATGGACGACAAGGTTGCATATCATAAAAACAACAGCAATGACTCAATGGGTCTTGGAAGCAGCTTAGGTAGCAGCTTGAGTTGCTCCAACAACCAGGACAGCGTGGTCATAACCGCCAAGGAGGCCCATTCCTCTCAGGATGATTTAGATGCCATGCACATTTTGTGCTGAGTGTTGGAGGATGTGTCTAGAAGCTTAACATATTTGCCAATGTCAATTCATCTTTCCCCTGAAGATTTTGCACCAGGCCAGATAATGAGGGAAAATTGCTGCTGAGTGGAATCAGCTTGAAAAACAAATCAGCTCAGAGAACATGGACTCTATTACCGTAGCTGTTTGGCAGTAACTGATTCATTTTCAGTTATAGCAAATGTCAACCTTGATGACTGGAATTTAGGACCTGTTTTGCACTAGTTGTCACATTTTCAGTGTTGACTCGTAGTATCTCCATGCATTAAGTTCACAAGACCCTGAACTACCTCAATAATCTATCCTGGTCTGATCAGAGCTAGGAAGCATTACGCCCTATTACATGGTGCCTCAGCCACATTGTGTATAATAATTGGATGCTCCGGTTTCACCACCTGAGACGATATCATACTGCATAGAGATACGTGTCAGGCATGATGGTCTTGGACTCAGATCGCTTGGACATCTTGGCTCGAGACCGGCTGGAACAAAGACTGCTGTCGCTCGTTTGTTCTGCTTGTTTCATAAGCTTTGTGGATCCACGGATGAAGTGATCTTGACTGAAGGAAGTGGAAACGTCAAGCTCGTCTTCAATGTGCATCTTGTACTTGTTGAATTCCTCAGCCGTCACGTTGAGCGTGAAATTAATTCGAAACAAGAAGTCCAGCTCAAGTTTGTTGATTTCATTTGTTCCAATTCCTCCAACAGTGGCAAAACACGCATTGTTGAAGTACCTGCAAAAACACACATTGTTAGACGCTGTTGCGAACAATGGAGCAAATCATAACTTTCAAACAAGAACTGTTTCGCGTACAACTTTCAATACTCACGCAGATCCCAGAAACTTTGCAGCAACCATAACGCTTGTGACCAGAAGACGGTGAACGTTAAGAGATGTAATTGGCATTCCCGTCGACTTCATGATGCGGTCAATGTAGACGTACGAAACCACGACTGAGTCAGGACAGCATCGGGTGTACTTGTAGACCCTTTCCAGATACTTCTGAATTGTTATATCAGGAGCACGTAGCCCATGATACAATGTGACTTCATCAGGAAGAACTGGACGGGAGCCTTCTTGAGCCTCGCAAGCTATCACAATTCTTTCCAAGAGTGATGCCAGACCTTCCAAGAGGTTCGTCAAGGTACTGCCGCTGGTGACAGCTGCAGACCTGATGCTGCTAGCAGAAGTCGTCGTGGTTACGGTGCTTCCGGCAGGCTCGCTGCTAAGAGTACTAGCGGAGCTTGCTGTGCCAACGTGAGAGCTAGACTTCCTGGAGGCAAATCCTCTCGTTCCCATGTGAGGACCTGTCATGTTTGTGTTTGATGCGTCCTACACTGGGAGCTGAGAAATGGTGGTTTGGATAAAGAGCTGGTGTTGAATTTGAGCTCAGTTCGAGCAGGGGAAAGTGCACTGCGACTCGATGGCTCGAATCTCCGTTGAAGTGCAAATGACCTGGCTGACGCCCACCTGGCGCTTCGAAGTTTGCTCCCTTCGGGCCCTTTGGGAATTGGGATTTTTCATAGCGGGGATGACGATACTCTTGGGATCCCTTCGACCGAGGGGGTACAATCGACACGAACACCCATCAGATTTTGCCATGGCTACATGAACAAATATACTTTTAAAACAATATGACAAAGAAAAGAACCACGTTTTTGTTGTTCACGAAGCAGCAATGATTCGTCCTTCCATTGCTTTTGATGACAATTCACATTTCGAACTGTTAGTTCGTAATAGAAGACTGATAAGCTTGTGAAAAGATATTGATCACAATTATCCATATATGGTAAAGTATTTCAAGACATCAACCGGAACACATCAAGACGACCCACGAGAATGTTCATGCTTTGAGCTGCTTCGTCCTGATATGTTGTATTGCATGCCCATCGGCCCTATTTCATCGTCACTCTCCCCTTCACTCTCCTCCCTTTCAATCTCATCCTCAGCAATCACCATATCCTCCACACGCTCCTCACTCCCAGTGTACTCTCCTGCACGAGCAAACTCGCTCAAAAACAGCGAGGTTTGCCGCAAACCGCGCACCCTCCCTCCACTCCTCCCTCCCGCACCACCTTCCTCATCGACATGCACTCCATCTTGCTGCATACCTCCAGCGCCACCACCCACATCACCATCACCACCTCCACTCATCTCCCCACCCTGCTCCCCCTCAGCACTGCTGTGCCTCTTATGTGCCTCCCACACATGACCTCCTTCGCCACTTAACTCATCACCGTCTCTCCTTCTCCCCACTTCCTCCAGCCCCGATGGTACTCTCCCATCCGTGCGCCACTCAGCCTCACTCACAGCCACCGCTCGCAGTTGCTCCTTCAACTCGGCGTCCCCACCACTCTCCCTCCCTTCCTCTCCCACTTCCCCACTCCCGCTCTGCAAGGAGGCTACTGCTCCATTGCTGCCATGTGGGGATACGACACTGGCACTACCGTTCAGGCTGTCTTGATCTGTCAAAGCGTCTGCTGTTGCAGCTGTGCCCGCTGTTGCTGCCATTGCTGCTCCAGCCAGTGATGCCTCTGCTCCATCTCCTTTGACAGAAGCAGCAGCAGCAGCAGCCGCTGTGTGAGTGGCATGAGCAGCAGGCCTGGGGGCCGGAGTGAGGGCAGGGCGCTCTGAGTCCTGCAGCATCCACATAGCAGCATACTTGCCACCTGCAGCTAGCAACTGCTCGTGCGTGCCCTGCTCCACCACCCTCCCTGCTTCCATCACCTGTACAAGGGAGATGCGGCATGCAGGCAGGGGCAAGGCAGGATGGGGAAATGTGGAGTATGAATGGAGAAGGTGTGAGTGACACGATTTGACGATTGCTGGAAGAGCGAAAGGGAATTAGACAAAAAGGGCGAAGTCTCATGTTTTTTCGGCTGAAAGCAATCCGCACGTCAGCGAAAAACAGCGCACAAGGAGAACAAGGCGTAAGAGCAACCCTGCTTTCGCACCAGAATCTTATCGCAATGCTTGATGGTGCTCAGCCTGTGCGCCACAAACAGACAACTCCTGCCGGCTGCCAGCTGCTGCAGCGACCTCAGAATGTTCGCTTCTGTCGCAGAATCCAGAGCACTGGTGGCCTCGTCACAGACCAGCAGGCGCGGGTTCTTGAGGAAGGCACGTGCGATGGCCACTCGCTGCTTCTCCCCTCCGCTCAGCTTCAGCCCGCGCTCCCCCACCACGGTGTCAAACCCGTCTGGCATGCGCCGAATGGCATCTAGGAGTTTCTGCACGGGGGAGGGTGAAGAGAAAGGGGGGAAGGAGAAACACGGGGATGAGGAGGAAGGAAGAAACAAGGGAGAGGAGACCGGGAAAAATGGGGCCATTAGAAAGGGGAAATGAGAGGGAGGTAGAAGAGTAGCGTACGGGTGGCTCTGCTTAAATTCATGTGTACAATGCGCGCATATCTGTAATGTCCATGCACCCATGTCCTCATCGACCCATGCTGCCATGGCCCCAGTCCCACATCTCCCTGCACCCATGCAAACATGGCAGGGGGCACTGACCGCCTGGCCAGCAGCGCGGTCGACCTCAGCAACAGAGGCAGAGGGGCGGCCATACGCAATGTTGTAACGGATGCTGTCGTTGAACAGCACTGTGTCCTGTGGCACCACCGCCACTGCCTGCCGTAACGACTCCTGTGGGGGAGGAGAGGAGAGAGAGGACGAGAGTGGAAAATTTTTGACGTGTCTCCCTCTCCACTGCTCACATGCAAGATGTGCTGTCGGTGAACAGCACTGTATCTTGTGGCACCAAGGAAAAAGGGGGGTGGAGGGGGGATGTGGTGGGGGACGAAGGGAGGTGGTGGTGGATTGGTGAAGGGAGACAGGGAGGTGGAGGATCAGAGCCTGAGAGGATGACTTTGAAGGGAGGAGAAGTGAGAGGAAGCAAGCTGAGACGCGTGAAGATAGAAGCCGCGTCCACGCACTTGCAGTGTGCTACAGCATCCAACGCAGCTTACACACTCCAATGAACGCCACAAACTGTCAATTGTGCTTCTCCACCATTCCCCCACCAGCTCCTCACCCTGCCCCCACCTGCTCCCCTCCCCTCTCCCCTCCCTGACCTGCTTGAGCTCGCGGGCATCGGTGCCATCAAAGGAGATGGAGCCCTCAGAGGGGTCGTACAGGCGCAGCAGCAGCTTCACTATGGTCGATTTTCCTGACCCTGATGGGCCCACGATCGCCACGCTCTCGCCCGGCGCTATGGAGAACGACACCCCCTTCAGCACCTGCAGGGACGGTGGTGCGGCGAGGGGCCGGTAACAGGGTTGGGTGAGGTTGTTAGAAGAGAAGCTGACGAAACACCCTTTATGTGACAATATGGAAGAAGGCACCCCCTTCAGCACCTGCAGGGGCGGTGGTGCAAAGAGGGGTGGGATGGGGAGAGCGGCGATATGAGTCAGTTACAGGACGGCAGGGGGTATGAGAAGGAGTGGGGACAGGAGAGAGAGATGGAGTGAGGAAAGAAGGGAGCAGGAAGGATTTGGGACCGGGCGAGGATTGCTAGATGGTGGTGATGACTCTGACTTGTGATGTTAGAAACATCACCACCAACTCAGTTGCTGCTTCTATGCTGCCTCTCCCTCCCTACCCATTCCGAAACCGCCTCCAGACTCTGCTTTCACCCACCCATCAGCTGACGGCCAGTCATGTACCAGCAGTCATTGCTGCCCGTGTCTACTGCCATGCCCTCACTGCCCTACCTACCGTATATATAGAAAAACCCCCCTTACTCTACGCCCCCAGCTCTGTGCATCACCTGGCGGCCGTTCATGTAGCTGAAGGAGATGTTGTTGACGTCCACTGCCACGCCCTCCGCCCTTGGCGCCAGCTCCAAGTGCCCGTCCTTCAAATCCGACTCCAGACTGGCCGCGAAAGGAGAGGCGGGGATGGAGGGAGGGGGGTGAGAAGAGAAGGGAGGGAGAGAGGGACGGAAGGGGTAGATAGGGTGGAAGTTCACCTGGGTGGAAATTCACCTAAGCATGTGAAAACTCACCTGAGCATGTGAAGAATCACCTTAGCATGTGGAAAGTTACCTGAGCATGTGGAAAATCACCTGAGCATGTGGAAAATCACCTGAGCATGTGGAAAATCACACGAGCATGTGCCAAATAACCTGAGCACTTAAAAAACAACTGAGCATGTAAAAAAACACCTGAGCATGTTAAAAATCACCTGAGCATGTGGAACATGGCCTCCATGTCGACAAGAGACTGGCGCAGGTCACGGTACAGGAACCCCAGAAACTGAGAGGGCAGGGTGGTGGGGTTGTGGAGCGGTAAGGGGATGGGAACGGAGGTAAAATATGAATCGCAGGCAGGGGCAAGGTACAGGAAAAGGGTGCAGGGAGGGGGGTGTAACACAGGAGGAACAGTTGGAGCGAAAGAGGAGGGATGCAAGAAGGGTACGTTGAGAGCGTGTGGGGAGGAGTAGGGCAACAAGGCAGCAGAAGAGAGGTTGAAGGAGATGTTGAGAGAGAGCAGATGCGCAAGGCAAGGTGATGCATCATGCAATAGAGCATCACAGGAGGGCAGCAGCAGCGCACCTGCAGTGGCAGGGAGAGCTGCAGAATAAGCCCATTGACGAGCACTAGGTCACCGACTGTCATGCGGCCCACGGCCACGCGCAGCCCCGCCATTGCCATGACTGCCGCCAGCCCGATGGAGATTATGGTCGTCTGGCCCCCGTTCAGCGCCGCTGATACCTTCTCCAGGTTCACCTGGTGGGGGGGAAGGGGCGGGTGTGGAAAGGAGAAGGAGCGGGAGGGGGAAGGGCGAGGAGAAGGCGAGGCGACGGTAAGGAGGGATAGCCTCAGAGCGGTAAGGTTAGTGTGTGGTGTGAAGCAGCACGGTACGGTGTGGTGTGATGCAGGATCAGACTAGGCACATCCCCACATGTGCAGGGAGCAGAGATACAGGTGTAGTGATGAAATATGCCGGACAACACTCGCAGCAGCGCAAAAAAGTAGTCTCTCACCCGTCCACTCACTTGCGAGCCCATCCCCCCCACGAGCCCCCCTGCAAGCGCCTGCCAAACCGCTGAGTTCTCAAGGCCAATCCACCCTCCCCACCCTCCTCCCCACACTACACGGAGCACAGAGCAGCAGAGGGCGCAGCACAGGGGCACTCACGGATTCCCTCTGGTAGTCCCGCAGCAGTGAGTCATAGTGCATCAGATCCAGGCGCTGGTTGTTGAACTGCCACGGGAAGTGGGGAGGGAAGAGGGGGAGGAGGGGGAATGCAGGAAGTTTGGGTAAGAATTACTGAGGCGCCTCAGAGGTAGTCCCGCAGTAGCAAGTCATAGTGCATCAGATCCAAGCGCTGGTTGTTGAACTGCCATGGGGGGAAGGTAGAGAGTAAGTGGGGGAGGGTGGGAGGTTCGGGGGAAAGGGCGGTTTACGAGAGAGATAGTGGAGAGAGGGAAGGATGCAGCAAAGGATAGGAAGACCATGCTGCTGTCGTGCACACTGAATCACCACACAACAACGAGCATGATGCCACAGAAACGAACAACCGCGTACCGATGCGATACCCATCACCTCCGCCCGCACCTTCCTTGCCCCCCTCCTGCTTCCTACTCTCTCCTCTGATCCCCCTGGGCCAACCTTCTCTGCACCACCTCATTCCACCGCACCGCACCCGTCTCCACGCACAGCCCAGCCATGAACTCTGGTCTCACCTGCACAACGGTCTCGTGGTTTAGCAGCACATCAACCACCTTGCCTGTCGCCAGACCGTCCAGCCGATTCACCTGTGGGAAGAGGGGAGAGAGGAGGGAGGGCCGAGAAAGGACAACGGGAGACGTGGAGAAGGTATCAGCGGCGGAGTGAGAGTTGTGGTTTAGCAGCACATCAACCACCTTGCCTGTTGCCAGACCGTCCAGCCGATTCACCTGCGGGAAGAGAGGGGCGAGAGGAGTGAGGGCCGAGAAGGGATAGCAGCAGACGTGGAGGAAAGGGGATGAAGATTGTGGTTCAGAAGCACGTCCACCACCTTGCCTGTTGCCAGGCCGTCTAGAAAATTCACCTGGGGGAAGAGAGGGGCGAGAGGAATGACACGGAGAAGAGGAGGGAGGGGGAGGAGAGAGGGAAGGAGTGAATGAAGAATGGAGAGAGCAGCAGGTACTCAGATATGCAAAGTGGGGGTTGATTTGAAGAGGTGCACGGTGAAGATATGGGACGGCATGAGTGCAGCAGCGGCGGCGGCAGATATGCACACGGATACGAGTATGAGCACGGGCGTGTCTGAGTCCATGCATGGACGTGCGTGCATGTGCAACAGCCAGTACCTCTTTGCGGATGGAGACGGAGGCCTTGGTGAGGGCGACGGTCCATGCGACGTAGACGACAAAGGTTAGCAGCACCACGCCCGCAAAGGACAGCGATATGTGGTTCGCCAGTAGCGCGCACACCAGCAGCAGCTCCACTGCCGTTGGGATGAACGTGAACACTGGGGGGTAGGGGACGGGAGTGGGGGACAGGAAAGCAAAGGAAGAGGGTTGTAAGGATTGGTGAGTGGAGAGGAGAGAGCGCAGGGCACACACCAGTAGGAGCTCCACTGCCGTGGGAATGAACGTGAACACTGCCAAAAGGGGGGGAAGGGGGAGAGGAAAAGGGTTGGGGGAAGTGGTGAGTGGAGAACAGAGAGACAGCAGGGCTCGCACTAGCATCAGCTCACTGCCGTGGGGATGAAAGTGAACACTGGCCGTAATGTGTTTTAAACAAATGAACTAAGGAGCCTCTCCTCTCTCCATGGCCGTAGCATCCCCCCTCCCCTCCTTCATGTACTCCTCACTCCCTCCCCCATGCTCTGGCTGGCCACCACCCACCTACCCATGCCACCACAACCACCCACCTCCTCCCCCATTCAACAGCCACAAAGACCATAACAACGCAAACCAAACCGCCTTTTTACACCCATTCCCCACTCACCCCATCTTCCCCCGTCCATTCCGTTTCCCTTGCACACCCCCCTTAACCACTCCCTGTCCTGCGTTCCGTCTCACCCACACCCCGGAAGATCATGATGATGGATCGCTTCCCCCTCTCGATGATCCTAGCGAGTGCGCCGGTCTTGCGATCGAGGTGGAAGGCGGAGTCCATGGCCAGGATGTGCGCAAAGAAGCAGGTGCTCTAACCGCTCCCAACCCCTCTCCCTTCCCCGACTCACCAACAGCCCGGAAGATCATAATAATCGACCGCTTCCCCCTTTCAATGATCCTAGCGAGTGCGCCGGTCTTGCGATCGAGGTGGAAGGCGGAGTCCATGGCCAGGATGTGCGCAAAGAAGCAGGTGCTCTAACCGCTCCCAACCCCTCTCCCTTCCCCGACTCACCAACAGCCCGGAAGATCATAATAATCGACCGCTTCCCCCTTTCAATGATCCTAGCGAGTGCGCCGGTCTTGCGATCGAGGTGGAAGGCGGAGTCCATGGCCAGGATGTGCGCAAAGAAGCAGGTGCTCTAACCGCTCCCAACCCCTCTCCCTTCCCCGACTCACCAACAGCCCGGAAGATCATAATAATCGACCGCTTCCCCCTTTCAATGATCCTAGCGAGTGCGCCGGTCTTGCGATCGAGGTGGAAGGCGGAGTCCATGGCCAGGATGTGCGCAAAGAAGCAGGTGCTCTAACCGCTCCCAACCCCTCTCCCTTCCCCGACTCACCAACAGCCCGGAAGATCATAATAATCGACCGCTTCCCCCTTTCAATGATCCTAGCGAGTGCGCCGGTCTTGCGATCGAGGTGGAAGGCGGAGTCCATGGCCAGGATGTGCGCAAAGAAGCAGGTGCTCTAACCGCTCCCAACCCCTCTCCCTTCCCCGACTCACCAACAGCCCGGAAGATCATAATAATCGACCGCTTCCCCCTTTCAATGATCCTAGCGAGTGCGCCGGTCTTGCGATCGAGGTGGAAGGCGGAGTCCATGGCCAGGATGTGCGCAAAGAAGCAGGTGCTCTAACCGCTCCCAACCCCTCTCCCTTCCCCGACTCACCAACAGCCCGGAAGATCATAATAATCGACCGCTTCCCCCTTTCAATGATCCTAGCGAGTGCGCCGGTCTTGCGATCGAGGTGGAAGGCGGAGTCCATGGCCAGGATGTGCGCAAAGAAGCAGGTGCTCTAACCGCTCCCAACCCCTCTCCCTTCCCCGACTCACCAACAGCCCGGAAGATCATAATAATCGACCGCTTCCCCCTTTCAATGATCCTAGCGAGTGCGCCGGTCTTGCGATCGAGGTGGAAGGCGGAGTCCATGGCCAGGATGTGCGCAAAGAAGCAGGTGCTCTAACCGCTCCCAACCCCTCTCCCTTCCCCGACTCACCAACAGCCCGGAAGATCATAATAATCGACCGCTTCCCCCTTTCAATGATCCTAGCGAGTGCGCCGGTCTTGCGATCGAGGTGGAAGGCGGAGTCCATGGCCAGGATGTGCGCAAAGAAGCAGGTGCTCTAACCGCTCCCAACCCCTCTCCCTTCCCCGACTCACCAACAGCCCGGAAGATCATAATAATCGACCGCTTCCCCCTTTCAATGATCCTAGCGAGTGCGCCGGTCTTGCGATCGAGGTGGAAGGCGGAGTCCATGGCCAGGATGTGCGCAAAGAAGCAGGTGCTCTAACCGCTCCCAACCCCTCTCCCTTCCCCGACTCACCAACAGCCCGGAAGATCATAATAATCGACCGCTTCCCCCTTTCAATGATCCTAGCGAGTGCGCCGGTCTTGCGATCGAGGTGGAAGGCGGAGTCCATGGCCAGGATGTGCGCAAAGAAGCAGGTGCTCTAACCGCTCCCAACCCCTCTCCCTTCCCCGACTCACCAACAGCCCGGAAGATCATAATAATCGACCGCTTCCCCCTTTCAATGATCCTAGCGAGTGCGCCGGTCTTGCGATCGAGGTGGAAGGCGGAGTCCATGGCCAGGATGTGCGCAAAGAAGCAGGTGCTCTAACCGCTCCCAACCCCTCTCCCTTCCCCGACTCACCAACAGCCCGGAAGATCATAATAATCGACCGCTTCCCCCTTTCAATGATCCTAGCGAGTGCGCCGGTCTTGCGATCGAGGTGGAAGGCGGAGTCCATGGCCAGGATGTGCGCAAAGAAGCAGGTGCTCTAACCGCTCCCAACCCCTCTCCCTTCCCCGACTCACCAACAGCCCGGAAGATCATAATAATCGACCGCTTCCCCCTTTCAATGATCCTAGCGAGTGCGCCGGTCTTGCGATCGAGGTGGAAGGCGGAGTCCATGGCCAGGATGTGCGCAAAGAAGCAGGTGCTCTAACCGCTCCCAACCCCTCTCCCTTCCCCGACTCACCAACAGCCCGGAAGATCATAATAATCGACCGCTTCCCCCTTTCAATGATCCTAGCGAGTGCGCCGGTCTTGCGATCGAGGTGGAAGGCGGAGTCCATGGCCAGGATGTGCGCAAAGAAGCAGGTGCTCTAACCGCTCCCAACCCCTCTCCCTTCCCCGACTCACCAACAGCCCGGAAGATCATAATAATCGACCGCTTCCCCCTTTCAATGATCCTAGCGAGTGCGCCGGTCTTGCGATCGAGGTGGAAGGCGGAGTCCATGGTGTGCGCAAAGAAGCAGGTGCTCTAACCGCTCCCAACCCCTCTCCCTTCCCCGACTCACCAACAGCCCGGAAGATCATAATAATCGACCGCTTCCCCCTTTCAATGATCCTAGCGAGTGCGCCGGTCTTGCGATCGAGGTGGAAGGCGGAGTCCATGGCCAGGATGTGCGCAAAGAAGCAGGTGCTCTAACCGCTCCCAACCCCTCTCCCTTCCCCGACTCACCAACAGCCCGGAAGATCATAATAATCGACCGCTTCCCCCTTTCAATGATCCTAGCGAGTGCGCCGGTCTTGCGATCGAGGTGGAAGGCGGAGTCCATGGCCAGGATGTGCGCAAAGAAGCAGGTGCTCTAACCGCTCCCAACCCCTCTCCCTTCCCCGACTCACCAACAGCCCGGAAGATCATAATAATCGACCGCTTCCCCCTTTCAATGATCCTAGCGAGTGCGCCGGTCTTGCGATCGAGGTGGAAGGCGGAGTCCATGGCCAGGATGTGCGCAAAGAAGCAGGTGCTCTAACCGCTCCCAACCCCTCTCCCTTCCCCGACTCACCAACAGCCCGGAAGATCATAATAATCGACCGCTTCCCCCTTTCAATGATCCTAGCGAGTGCGCCGGTCTTGCGATCGAGGTGGAAGGCGGAGTCCATGGCCAGGATGTGCGCAAAGAAGCAGGTGCTCTAACCGCTCCCAACCCCTCTCCCTTCCCCGACTCACCAACAGCCCGGAAGATCATAATAATCGACCGCTTCCCCCTTTCAATGATCCTAGCGAGTGCGCCGGTCTTGCGATCGAGGTGGAAGGCGGAGTCCATGGCCAGGATGTGCGCAAAGAAGCAGGTGCTCTAACCGCTCCCAACCCCTCTCCCTTCCCCGACTCACCAACAGCCCGGAAGATCATAATAATCGACCGCTTCCCCCTTTCAATGATCCTAGCGAGTGCGCCGGTCTTGCGATCGAGGTGGAAGGCGGAGTCCATGGCCAGGATGTGCGCAAAGAAGCAGGTGCTCTAACCGCTCCCAACCCCTCTCCCTTCCCCGACTCACCAACAGCCCGGAAGATCATAATAATCGACCGCTTCCCCCTTTCAATGATCCTAGCGAGTGCGCCGGTCTTGCGATCGAGGTGGAAGGCGGAGTCCATGGCCAGGATGTGCGCAAAGAAGCAGGTGCTCTAACCGCTCCCAACCCCTCTCCCTTCCCCGACTCACCAACAGCCCGGAAGATCATAATAATCGACCGCTTCCCCCTTTCAATGATCCTAGCGAGTGCGCCGGTCTTGCGATCGAGGTGGAAGGCGGAGTCCATGGCCAGGATGTGCGCAAAGAAGCAGGTGCTCTAACCGCTCCCAACCCCTCTCCCTTCCCCGACTCACCAACAGCCCGGAAGATCATAATAATCGACCGCTTCCCCCTTTCAATGATCCTAGCGAGTGCGCCGGTCTTGCGATCGAGGTGGAAGGCGGAGTCCATGGCCAGGATGTGCGCAAAGAAGCAGGTGCTCTAACCGCTCCCAACCCCTCTCCCTTCCCCGACTCACCAACAGCCCGGAAGATCATAATAATCGACCGCTTCCCCCTTTCAATGATCCTAGCGAGTGCGCCGGTCTTGCGATCGAGGTGGAAGGCGGAGTCCATGGCCAGGATGTGCGCAAAGAAGCAGGTGCTCTAACCGCTCCCAACCCCTCTCCCTTCCCCGACTCACCAACAGCCCGGAAGATCATAATAATCGACCGCTTCCCCCTTTCAATGATCCTAGCGAGTGCGCCGGTCTTGCGATCGAGGTGGAAGGCGGAGTCCATGGCCAGGATGTGCGCAAAGAAGCAGGTGCTCTAACCGCTCCCAACCCCTCTCCCTTCCCCGACTCACCAACAGCCCGGAAGATCATAATAATCGACCGCTTCCCCCTTTCAATGATCCTAGCGAGTGCGCCGGTCTTGCGATCGAGGTGGAAGGCGGAGTCCATGGCCAGGATGTGCGCAAAGAAGCAGGTGCTCTAACCGCTCCCAACCCCTCTCCCTTCCCCGACTCACCAACAGCCCGGAAGATCATAATAATCGACCGCTTCCCCCTTTCAATGATCCTAGCGAGTGCGCCGGTCTTGCGATCGAGGTGGAAGGCGGAGTCCATGGCCAGGATGTGCGCAAAGAAGCAGGTGCTCTAACCGCTCCCAACCCCTCTCCCTTCCCCGACTCACCAACAGCCCGGAAGATCATAATAATCGACCGCTTCCCCCTTTCAATGATCCTAGCGAGTGCGCCGGTCTTGCGATCGAGGTGGAAGGCGGAGTCCATGGCCAGGATGTGCGCAAAGAAGCAGGTGCTCTAACCGCTCCCAACCCCTCTCCCTTCCCCGACTCACCAACAGCCCGGAAGATCATAATAATCGACCG